TCTGCCAATTCAACTAATCTACCAGGGGAAAACAGACCGGTGTCACCCTAAATTCAGATTTCCAAAAGAATTCCACGTTACCCACACGGAAAATCATTGGTCAAATGAAACGAAAGAAATTGAATTAGTCAATCGCATTCTTATCCCCTATGTTAAGCTAATTAGAGAAGAGCTTGGTTTTCGCGCAACAAAACAATAGGTTTTGATCGCTGATGTTTTTAAAGCACATTGGACTGATCTTTTGCAGCTTGTCGCAGCTTGTTGCTGATATTTTGCAGCTTGTTGCTCCTAAAATCGCCAAGTGCAGTGAAAAAAGAGAACCAATATCTCCGAGTGAGCGGCTCTCAGTTACTCTAAGATACTTGGTCACTGGAAACTCTCACGCTTCGCTGTCAAGCAATTTCCGTATACATCCTACAACTATCAGCCGTGTCATAAGAGAGACCACGGCAGCTATTTGGGATGTTCTTTCACCCATTTACGTTAAGTGTCCTGAAAGTGAAGTCGAATGGAAGAACATTGCGAAAGATTTTAATCGCAAATGGAATTTTCCACATTGCTTGGGGGCAATTGATGGCAAGCATATAGTCATGCAAGCTCTAGCAAGATCAGGGTCGAGTTTCTTTAATTATAAAAAAACTCACTCAATTATTCTTTTAGCAGTGTGCGATGCACAATACCGGTTCACCCTCGTAGATATAGGAAACTCGGGCAGAAATAGTGATGGAGGCGTTTTTTCTAGTAGTAATCTAGGATATGCAATAGAACATGATATTTTGCATCTACCCAGAAATGAGAAGATACCTGGATCAGAAAACAAATTTCCTTATGTTTTTGTTGGGGGCGAGGCATTCCGTTTGTCTGAGCAACTGATGAAACCCTACCCGCGCGAGGTACTCTCTTTGAAAGAGAGGATTTATAACTATCGTTTGTCTAGAGCTAGGAGGGTCATTGAAAACTCATTTGGCATAGCTGCTGCACGTTTCCGAATTTGGCGACGCCCCATTATTGGTAAAGTTGTCTTGGTCGTTTGTACAACAAAAGCAGTTGTGGCATTGCATAATTACTTGATGCATGGCAAATCTTTTGAGGCAAGTAAGTACGGTCCTCCAGGTTTTGCAGATACCGAAAACAGCTATGGATTTAAAAAAGGAGCCTGGCGCAACGAAGTAGAAGCATTTCATAGCACAGCTGGGTTGGCTGACATTCAACAACTTGGTTCTAATAAATACAGTAAAATAGCCAAGAGAATACGAGAAAATTTTTGTGATTATTTCATGTCTGAGGCACGGCAAGTACCATGGCAATTGAAGCATGTCACAGCAACACATGAATAATACAAGTTATCTTTAACTGGGTTTGACAATTGTTGGAGCATTCATTAATGAAACATGTACATATGAGTAAAGTAGAACATATATAATGTGTAGAAAGTTTGTAATTTCTTAAGTTTTAAGTATGCTAGTTTTCTAATAAACTTGTATAAAAATACCCACATATAACCAGAATTTTAATGCTCTAATCGTGATAAGGCCTTCAGAAAAAGCAACTGTAATTATAAATGACAAAACAACAAGCATCAGTTGAAAACCAATTTACCTTCAACAAAACACACTAGAATTAAATAAAACAAGAACTTAAACATCAAAATGGTATTTATAGTTCCAGTTAATGCAGTTATATAGCATGCAGTTAATCATTCATCATCAATGTCAAAGCTCATTAATACCTCTAAAAGTTTGATTCTAGCTCTCTTGTTCTTCTTAGATGAGAGTTGTTTTAAAGGTGCCACCAGACTTTTATAAAAAAGTAAATCAGAATCATTTGTGTCTTCACCAGATTTATTAATGTCTTTGACTATTGCTGCAGTAAGAGCTGCATTCAAAGGGTCATCATCTTCTTTTCGTTTGAGTTTTCGTTGAGGCTGCTATGATTTCTGAGGATGGTTTGGGCTTGGGTGATGGATTTCTCATTCCAGGTGCAGCAATTGCTATTTCATTGGAACTGCCTGAGGATACTTGAGTTAAATCAAATGGTGACGATGATCGACTATCTGATAGTCTGGGTACATTCACATTGCTTGTTGATTTTCTATTAGAAACACTATCTCTAAGGAAACTCAATTCAACAAAGAAGGCACATGTGGGTAACTTTTTTGCTTCTGCTCCAGATCGTGATTCCAATTCTCTCTTTTCAGACACTTTCGGAAATTTTCTCTTAACCTTTTGAACTCATTTTCTGCTTCAATTGCTGAAAACATATGGGTAAAATAACTAATTGTTGTCAAAAGCATACCAAGTCACAAATTTAAAAGAAAGCACAACACAACATGTGGTGTGCAATACTAATATTTTTATACACATCTGGTTTAATAGCAAAAAAATAAAAGCATCTGCAAATGAGTTTATGAACAAAATATCAATATCATCTGAAGTTTTGCTATGGACTTTACATAACTAGGACAAAACTAACAATATGGTTTTTTAGATGTAATGCTAGGTATGCAAACACACAGGTATAAACACATGAAATGGCATGTAACAAAGTAAAAACATGAGAGATTTTTCATTTCTGGTTACCACAATAAACATGATAAGCTTCCTGCTTGTCATTTGTCAAAGGATGCTTTGTCATTGATGCATATTTAGAGACTGTACCTTGCACATGGAGTTGCTCTGAAATTTTTAACCATGCTTGTTTCTTCATAACACTGTTCTTGAACCCTTTGGACTTCAAATCCCATAGGCAAGGATAATTCCTCACTTCATCAATCAAATTACTACTGAAGTGATTCTGACTTTGTAAAGAGTACTCGCTCTCTTCGTTATGTCCAAAATTGTCTATCGTATTATCACTGGTTTGGCTAAGCAGTTGCTGCTCCTTGGAAACATCTTCAGTCGCCGTCGTCTTCTGCATTATATCTTGATCCAATATATACGTGGATTCTTCAGATCCAGTAAATATTTGGCTACCATAATAATTGACATGCCGATTGCTTCTCTGAAAACTTAATAATTTTGTGAGCATCAATTCAGTATTATCCGCCATCTTGCTACTACCCAGGAGTCAATTTTTGTGGTATAATTTGATTGGCTAAAAAGTGAAACGGTATGAATTCCGCGGAAAAAAGTTGACTTGACTTCAACTTTTAAAATTGGAAAGCAGTACGGTGTGCATACCGTTTTGCGGTGCTACATTTTCTACTGCGCATGCCTGTACCGTTTGGCGTTTATCGTTTTCCGTCCTTACCGGGAAGTGGAAATCCAGCTTTAGGTTGGCAACGATCAGGTGGGAGCGCCGCATTGGAGGAACCACAACGAAAAGAGGATCCATTAGAACTGTAGCTAAACTTTTGTTTGACTTATAAAGTATATTGTTAGGCAATATCATTTACTACATTTTTTAGTTCTTGTTGGGATAGTGAACTTACGCTTTATTTTGAAGCCATTTTTGAGGCCACCCAATCGCTTTTTTGATGAATATTGAGGTATTTCTTAATAAAGAAAGCTCAATATAAATGCGTTAATTATTAATAGTTCTTTTGAACAAACCAAAAAGAACGAGCACATAAAACTACTTGCGCGAATTTAAAGCTGCGCGAATAATTGTCAACAAAGTGCGCGAAATTAAATCGCGCGAATTTAAAGCTGAGCGAAAATGAGTACGACTCGAATTTTAATACAAGTAAGGTATGTAGATTGGAAGAGCTAGGAGCTTCATGCGATTTGTTTCTCCGTTTCCGCTTAACTTCTTCTTGCCAACGACGGTGGTAAGTATTAAGTTGCACCAATTGAGCGATAGTCAAAGCTACTTGTTCATTGGATGATTCTTCGTCTCGATTAGCTATGCTTGGTCTATAAAGAATCATGCTGACAAGGAATAAAAGGATTCTGGGACAGAATACGCTTGACAATTTCGCTCAAAAGTTCTGTTGCTTCAGGGCAACAATCACCGAACACGATGGAGCTTGGTCAGCGAAAAAATTCATGCAACAAAGGGTTAAAAGCGCACTCAGTGTCAAAAATGTGTTTACGGACGATTGGCGATGTTTTCATTATATTCATTGATCGTCACACCAAGGTTGGAAAAAGAGATCGAAAGATTTGTTGCCCTTTTGTTTCATCAAAAACAAGTGAATGATGTAAATACAGCACGTCATAACATTTCCGACTTGGAAAGTATTGTGACCAAGAATGTGTTAAGGAAACACCTAAAGAGAGTTGCGTATCTTGCTGCAATTTGGAGGAAAGCTTTAAATTCCCTCACTGATAGTCCTGTCGTAGCTGAACGTGGCTTGCTTGTTGAAGATGATGGGAATGTCTCAATAAATTGGATAAATTTAAAACCCACCCCAGGTGGGATTCTTAAAAATGTTAAATGGCATGTAAGATGGGATGGACATGAAATAAATGATCTTGTCACAAGGTCTACTTGTATTGCGCTAGCGTTTGTCAGTGCAATCAATGCGCAAACGCATTTCATGAAAATGACGAAAGTGACTCGATCTGAGCAGTTTTATGCCGATGATATCGATGAAAATCATTACGATGATGAAGAGTAAGCTCACTGGTTGAGAAGCATTCCCCATAATTATTGACACGTAAGTCATGACTTCAGAAACAATGCATCACATTGTAATCTTTTTAATTTTAATCACACAGACTTATTGCGATTATAATTGCTCTCAGTTCAAAGAGAACTAACCCTCAATTAATATTTTTCGTGGATAAAGTCATATTAATAGAGTAAAACAAAAGTGTTAGTAACAGACAGGAGACAAAAATGTCTAAAATGCTGAATCAGCACAATTTCTCATTCATGTGCACAGTTATGATTGGGGGTAATTGGGGGTAGGGAGTGTTGTAGTAATTTAATTTATGACAGACGACGGCCTAAAGCAGTAATATGAAAGCTAAGATGTTCTTTTGTTCTTTTTAACCATCAAATACTATCATATGAAGATTCATTCTCAAAAAATTGAAACTCGATGAAACTGATAATCAAGGAAATTCGAGTATTTTATTACCATTTTTTTCATACAACATGAAGTATTGTGCTACGAGTTACCATTTTACTATAAGCTACATGGGCACAAATTTGCCTTCAGGTGTTAATTGTTTAACAAGTGACGATAAACAATGATTGCACCTACGGTAGTTCCTCTTCCTTCGTGTGTAGGATATAAGAAATAAAAGCGTATGAAGAAGTTTCCAATCACATTTCAAACAAGACAAGAACTAGTCCCATAAAGAATAAAGATGGCATACCAACAACATTCGAGCCAGCTCCGCTATCGTTCTGTGGATATGCAGAAATTTAGAAGAAATAAGTGAGTCACACAAGTATATATTCACCTACATACAGTTGCATGCAGAATGATTGATGGAGGATAAACCTGAGTACAATCCAGTATTACCTTGTTATAGGTTACACGGAGTTCAGCCGACTGAAGTTTAACCCAGTAAGTACGATAATCCTTCACGACGGTGGCATAGAAAGATATATTACCTGATAAACCTTTTGGTGGCTCCCAATCGAAAGTCAACGTTCTTACATTAAGGCGAGCGGAGTGAGTGACAGCGCTCTATAACAGAAGATGAAAGATCAATAGATACAGATGCTCTCAGCTCTTTTCCTAAAAAATGATGCACATTTTAAAAAGTCTGCTCTTTTTTCCAGCGATAACTTGAACAATATTCAAGGATATTAAGAAATCCTTGCACTTTTGTGGACGTTTTCATAAGTCGTTTGACCTTTTGCAGGTTATACCTATTTGCTACAATTTTAGCAAAAACAATTAAAAGCACGGCCGTGACATAGATGTATAAATGATGAATTTGAAATTGCATATTTTGTCCTTTGAGACTTGAGCGATATAATCTACAAAAAATAACTGGGCAAAGATTTTTCCAAAAGTTTGTAACAAATCTAATATTTGTAATCAGAAAGGTAAGATACTAAACAAATAAAGTAATTATAAGTCGTATTAAAGATACAAAATGAAATGACCTATAAAAATAAGCTTAATCAGTACTAAAATTTACAAAAGATGGCGTCGTATTTTATATAGACTATTATAGTTATTATGGAGTTCACTGTTGATATAACATGGGTTGCAACGTTACTGCGGTGCCTTAATAGAGTTCTTTTACGTGTGTTTTCATTACAACAATATTCAAATGTTGAAGCAGCATTGGAAGAGCAGAGATGGCAGTTCAGGAAGAAAACAAGCAGAAAGATGAGGGGATGAAAACATTGTGTTGGCTAATAACACATAGGTTAGTAGAGCATCCTACAAAACCATGCATTGCGTGACGCAATGAAGTTGGATCCCGTTTGACCCTATATTCAGCCACTTATAAAGATTGAAGAAGCTTCGTTGGACAATATTGTACGTCACGTGCGGTGCAACGTGTTTGGCTGAGTAAAAAAGGGAAGTATAGAAAACGGCAAGGTATCAAAGCTTTGATAATTTCGTAGAGGTTGGTAGCAATCAAAGAAGACGGTATATCTACATACGCATAAGCGAGTTGCCTAGACACGTAGGTACGTAGCCTCATGACAGCGTAGTTATGTTGACTTTAAAGAGGCATTTAGGCTGAAGGTACTTTAAAACCTATGATAGATTTGCTCTGACGTTGAAGCTGCATCGGTATACGGCATGGCTATATACACTTTTGATTCGTTGGGTATTCTAAACCTATTCCCTGGAGAATGATTTACTTATTAAACGACCGAGAGTTCTTAATAGTGTAATTAAGGCCCAGTTCAAACGTCGCATTTTACATGCGCCGAATCAAATGCGAGAATTATGTGCATGTAAAATGCGACGTTTGAATCAATTAAATTCAACGGATTTTAATTTAATGCGACTTTAGTCGCATATTCGACTGAGTTAGTCGAATATTCGACGGAAATTCGATGTTGATTCAAACGTCGCATTTTACATGAGCCGAATTTAATGCATAATTTATTTTAAGATATTTCTAAGCAAAAATCAATTATTTCCATGCTAAATGCCATGCGCAAAGTTGTAAAAACATGGCGGCGGCGAGTGTTGGTAACGGCCCTTGTATTTCGTGCACAAGTTTAACAAAATACACTTGTTTAAAGTGCAAAAAATTTATATGTACAAGGAAAGTTTCCTCGAGATACACGAAATGTTTTTTTGAATCGAAGATCAGAATAAATACTCCAAACTTTCTTCCAACAGCCGGAATTTCTATCTTGTCTTCGACATGATCGATAAGGAGGGCTACGTATGAAGGCTTTTTTTGACCAATTAACGGTAGAAAAACATGGGAAATTTGCAGAAGCTGCCGTCTCGTTTACAATAGTTTATTTGCTGTAACATGCATCAATATTCGTCTTTTCCTATTAACACGAATCATATTTGAAATGCATAAACTCAACATTTTTCTGTTCGCCATTTTAGGAAATTAGTACAAGAAAATGAATAAACTGTGAAAAAGTGGAAGCATAACTATAATAAATGCGACTATTAAATTCGACGTCTGAATCAAACTACGCATAAAACTATTTTAGTCGACTAAAACTCAGATTTGATTCGGCGCATGTAAAATGCGACGTTTGAACCGGGCCTAACATGTCAACTAACGGCATAATATCAGATTACCTTGCATGCTTCTTGATTTCTAAACGCAACTTTAGATCTCAGTGGTGAAAACATGCAATTTTTATCCGTTATTTTTATATTGATTAGCAGTGTTTACACTCTTTTTACACTCAACAAAATACAGAGTTAGAGTATACAAAAAGTTTTAGTCTTAAGAGGAGCGCAAAGCAACTTTAAAATTTAGCTATTATGCAAATATTATCAGTACCTTACTGTTACCACAATTCACGAACTTTGTATTTTCTGGTAGTGATGATTCTGAAAACATCCCGATTGCCGTGTTTTCACCAACTTGCCTTGCTTGAAGAAGAAATCCTTTAATATACTCACTCAAACTTTCGATGGATACATTGATTTTTGTGTCATTATAGAATGTTTTATCAACTTTAACATGATATGGACTATTAACTGTTTGAGACGGAACATCGTGTCTTGGCATCATACTCACGCATTGCGAGTCAGGAGCACCGTCAGAATGACATCTAGCTACATGGAATAGAGTTAAAAAGAGAAAAATGATTACAGAAACTGACATTTGTAGCTTATGCTCGATGAATTTTTTTATGTTTAGCGTCGATGACAAATGCTAATAATTTATGATCGTAATTATAAACATCTGTCATTCGTTTTTAACATTTGCATATGTATATTATCATTGCACACATCTCGTTAGAAAAATGTCCGGCAGGGTTTCCTTTGTCAACGATCGAAGCAACATCGGGACTAAATATTTTTTGTGAAAATTACATAAATATGTTGTACATGAACTTTGGTGGCAATTAAATCAAATTCTTTAATTTGGTTCTCAAAATATTCTGCATCTTTCTATAAACGACTGCATGGAAATACCGACCAACTTTTAGTTGGAACATTTGAAGACACCTGTTTATGACAACTGATTATCATTAGTCTAGTATAATATAATCAGGGCCAGATTATTAAAGAAAGGGCGTTGTGGGCGTTCGTCAGGGGCCCCGCGCTAAGCAAATATTTCAATGGAAATATTGCCTTTGTGTGGCAAGAAAAATGCAAAAACCACATCACAGAAGATAGGATTTTGTTTTTAAATAAAACTTCATATAACAGACAAAATTTCGAGTGCTTCCATTTGATGTCAACTTGGCGTTATTACAGACTATGAATGAGATGAAATTTTATGTCAGTAAAATGCATTGTATGAAACGTTGGGCTCGTCATTGTTCAAAAACAACTTTTGTATAAAACGCTTTAGTGGAAACATTCTTAGTAAATATCGCAATTTTTATTAGAGGGTGTTTACATGAATCCGGAATGACTTTCAATCCCGATCGAAACGTGATGTCAATCCGTGTTTACATGAAACTAATTGTTGTTTTTCTTCGCACTCATTTTAACCCATTTAGCCTCTTTATTTGCTTACGAGCTTCAATTTGCCGGAAGACAATACCCATGCCACATGCGTGCTTCGTCATTAATCACAATATCATTCCAGAATGAAATTCAATTCGCGTTTACATGAGATAACAAGTAAATTTCGATCCGGAATGAAATTTCGATCCGGAATGAAACTAGGAATAAACTCGATCCGGATCGAGTTGTGACTCATTCCGGATTCATGTAAACATGCAATAGGATTTCTTTTAAAGTGGAATGAGTTCATTCCGGATCGAAACTCATTCCGGATTCATGTAAACACCCCCTTACACCTAACTTTTTTGTTTCTAAAACATAAAAAATTATCAATTTTTCTGCAGTTTTGGGGATAAAGGATGTCAGTTGGGGAGGGGATAGCTTTTGGAGCGCCAGGGGCCGTGCGAAAGCTTGATCCGCCCCTGAGTATAACATCACGTGCTAAGCACGTTCACCAAAATATCTGTCAATTTCCAGTTCTTAATAACCTGTTAAAAATAGGACACCTGCTCTCTAAAAGCTATGTTGTACTTACATGCAGTATTACACATATTTCAATATAGTTCAAGTAAAAATATTAAAACAGAAAGAAGTGTTAAAAGTAATATTGTTCGACCTTGAATATGAACTAGCAATGATAATCGCTCTTCCATATGCTTCTGCGGTAATTCTCGTAAAACCTTTTTATAATGATGTTTCAACAGATATCCTGAATTAGCCTATACTTACCAACTATCAAAATACTTGACAGACATATACTGCACCCACATACAAACAAATCAAAATAAAGGTTACAATTAACTGAAACCTTCATTAAAAACTAAAAACCATACATATAACCAACAGATAAACAGCCGTCTTTTGACGACAAATCACTGTTGCTAAAATTTTCATACAGACTGTAGAAGAACGAGTGCTGGCGACTTACCAACATGCATTATTTTTTTGGTTCCGCTACGTAGACGATAAATCACAGCACTACACGCAGATAAGATTAATGACTTGCACATTCACATCAACAAACCAAGAAGCCATACACAATTTACCAAAGATTTAGATTTCAAATTAAACGGAACTCTTCAAGTTTCTTAACTGTTTGGCAAAACACGACAATCTAAAACTACGAACCAAAGTTTACAGGTAGTTAATAACCTTTTTATGCAAACTTTTCACTGCTGTTTTAACAGTAACTATCATAACTATAATACTCGTTCAAAGCGAAATATCCGCAAATCATTCGCACATAGAAGATGGGGCACTGGATAACAATAAATTTTGCAGCGGACGTTTGGAATGCCTTACCCCTTTCCCTAAGAGATGTGCCCACCTTAAGCCAATTTAAGCGTGGTATCAAGAAAGCACTATTTTAATTAGTTTTGTTTTTCGCGTGTTAATTTTCAAATGATGTAGTTTTATCTTCATATTTTTCGATTTGTATTCTTTTTCTTTTTCTTTTTAAGTAGTTATATTATATTTATTTACTTTTAGAGGACCCCTCTGTAAACAACTTTTAGTGATGTTGGCATCCTCAAAAAAGATTAGCTGTTATTATTATTACTTCTTTTGAATAGTATCTGAACAGCATTGATTATCGTAAACATGCAGTGTTGCAATTGAAAATCATCGCAAAAGATGTTTCGGGAAAAACATGAAAAAGGTGGAAGTGAAACTTGAAGAGATACATGAAAATTTGAACAAAAAACAGAACTTTAATCATGTGAGATTAGTAAGGACTAATGTAAGAGAACAAAAAGCAGCAATTCTCAAGCAGTATAGCAAAAGCAAAGCAACTGTTTTTTTTGATGAGTTGCATCAGCGGATGAAGACAAAGGAAATGGAAAGGGAGCTCTTGAAGTTGAAAAACGAATGGACGAAAAAGGAAAAGATGTAAAACGAGAGTGAAAATGAATTGATTTTCATGCACAAAAGGAAAAGTAAAGGAGTTGAACACTTTGAAAACATTCTAAACAAGACGGATGACAGAAGAGAGGAGAGGGAAAAATGAGAGAAGTGTATCATATAGTTTTGCCAGATAAAAGGACACTCAATGATATCATAAAATCGTATAGGACTGAATTTACTTAGCTGAAACATTCCAAAGACGATAAATTTGAAGGAAATATAACACATAATTAAGATATTTAAGAAGATATACCTGAAAGTCATGTATTACACATGATATTACACCTAATCATAGTTGAAGGAAACCGATTGGAATGAAAATTGAAAATATTTATCGCATGATTTTTGCTAGATGCATAAATTTTAAAAGATAATACTCCACTTACTACAAGTGATAGCTGCAAGGGAAACAACATCGCTATCCGCCTCAATGTACACATTATTCATTGATCGACAGATTTCATTTTGTCGCTCAAAATGTCGTTTTGAACACTGCATAGAACATTAATATTTGCCATGGACTTACTCAATTGTTTAAAATGAAATTTCGCAACACTTTTATTCGATGATTAAAATTATTCCCTGCGCTGATCCCGATATTAATGAATTTCCTGTGTCTTTGTGATCGGTCAATAGGCCTCTTCAACTACACTAAGAGCTTAAGCAAGTCAGGCCACCCATTTATGAGTCAAGTTACCAGATTTGGTAAAAATGAGGGTACTGTTAAGTTTTATCGCTTTTTACAGCGAAACATGTGATTAGTAAAAAAAATCGCAGAAAGCTGAACTTGGACTTCTACAGAAAACTTTGCTAATGTTGAGCAGTCTCCAAGAAGATAGACGATCAGATTTGGAAATTGATTTGAAAAATTGTGGTTTCTTGGTAAAATGTATACGTAAGTTACGTAAATTACATGACTTATAATAGATCTGCCACTGACTATACGTGTACTCATACAAAAAGACTCTAAAGGTGACTGAAAAATATTTATATATAATTATATTATTATAGTACTGATAGATGACTATATTTATTATTTATTACGAATACAACTTATACCATATATATATCCGTTTCGTAATTTAATTATGCAATCATTAAAAATATTGATTTGTTAAGAAATTCTCATGAATTATTATATGTGAATCCACAGGAAAGTCCTTGTGCGGAATGTAGTGCTTGTCATTTAGTTGAATAGTATGAATGTAATACATCATTAAGTTATATCGCCACCATTTTGTTTCTATTTTAAATCCAAATCCCAGAGTTAATCCGTAATCTTCACCGCCAAAAGCCTTATTCCGGTGACTCTACTTCCAACAACAATCGGTAGAAACACGATCATTGACTTAGGATTTGCATTTAAAACTTTAGCCGAATTTTTTTTATTTTCATTATTTTTAAAGGGAACATATTTGTCATTAATATGATGGACTTTAGTTGACGGAACGAGAGCGCACGTAAATTTTGATGTAATCGGTTTCTACTTCTGTTGAATACCAGGACCCGATTGAGTATATTGACAACGGACGGTATTTTCCTGGAATGTGCAGTCCGATACCAATCGCTTGGTCTTTATTGGGACAGCCTGCCAAAAGATCAATAAAGTTGTATTAATCTTAATATCAAGTTGTGTATCATCTTAAACTTAATATAAGGAACTTCTACATTGTACGTTGAACATGCTGCATTGGTGAGTGACCATAGATGCCAAGGTTCAAATTTGGCCATGCGTGAGATTGCTCACGGTCCAACAAGTCTAAAACTTGGGTTCGGGGCATTTCTTGGAATAATAATAATACGTTAGTGTCCAACTACAGTTATAGAGTCCCTTATGAGCCATAAAAAATCTTTCCTTTTAAAAGGGTGAGATAGAATTTCACTATCGACCTCTAAGGTCATGAAAAATTTGTTAGGTACTACACATATTTTACAATCTTCGAGAAACAGAAAGCCTTATTATATTAAAAATTGAGCAGAGTTAAAGGCAATCAATAATACAATTTATAGAAAGCTGTTTTCAAAAACTGTTAAAACATTTTGCGACTGCCATGTGTGATTTTGCTATATTTTAAATTTTCTTTTTTGTAACTTTATTTTTTCGTGTGGAATACATCGTATTATGAGACTTGATGCTGAATCGTGTGTCATAAGCCTATAACACGTGAGACTTGGCATGTATGAGTGACCTAGATAAACCGTTAGATGTTTGTAGATGTAGATCATCTAGGTTTCGAGAGTCCCGAGAAGGACTTCCAGTTGGTGTTGGTGTTGAATGACTTTTGACAACCTAAGCGGAAGTCATTTTCAGTGTGAAGATGACGACCGCTAGGGTTGTCGAAGCGTCAGTCAACATTAACTCTAACAGTCCTTTCCAGTACTCAACTAACATGGACGATCTACATGTACAAACATCTAAAGATACTTCCGGATTCAAACCGTTCAATTTACCAGGTAAACAGTCTTGATTTTTTCGAAATGTAGTGCCGATGTTAAAAGAATCGATTTGATATTTGATATTTCTTTAGCAATTCAATCAACTTCGTCAGCAAGATGTATTTATTTTACTGATGTTATTTGATATAACTTTCGCCAAACACCCACCTTTTTTCTTCAGGCTAACAATTCCAAAGCGTGCGCGCAAAGATGTCGAGTTGTAATGATCCCCAACGTTAAAGCCCGCTTCGTAGCAGCCTGGGACAAAGTTAAACTTTGTTGTGTAATTGTAATTTTTGATACCTTTCAACCATTCTTGGGAAGACAAGTTCAATTTTTTTTTCTCAAAAAACAGACTACGCATCGAAGGAGCCTTAACTGAAATATTATAATGGATGCCACCGGCCATGACACACACTTCGTTGACATATGTGCTCCAAAACATAGGATTAAATGCTGTTTGATACGGTCCTTTTGATGTCCACATAGCAGAATTGTAAGAAGTATCCTAATAAAGAAAGTAATTTTCTGATCAAAAAATGCTTACTTCCTCAGCCAATAGTGAGGATGAATATAAACACGCATATGCAATGCCAACGCCAACATTACAAAAAAAAAAAACATTGAGAAAACTGTAAATGATCTAATAAACGCCAACTACCAAATAAACGCCTCATTTGTAATAAAAATCACCCCCCTTTGTAAACCTTTTCCTTATAAACTTTACTTCTCTATCAGATACTCCCTCTTTGTACTACCATATCCTAATAGAGCTTTTTAGATTGTGCTTAAAAACAGTATATTTAGTGAGTTTTGCTTTCATTTATTTACCCCAAAATGATAAACACTGTGAACGCCTTGTATTTAGTTAACGGCACCCGCCAAAACCACCATGACTTACTAAACATTCTTGGCATTCATGATACCAAGAACAAGACGTTCATCCCAAAAGGGTCTATTCATCAGGGTCAAAGAGCCTTCTTTTAAGACGAGTCACATACATTGCAAATATTCATAAAATTGATTTGACTATCTAAAGGGGTTCTTTCCTTGATACGTACATAATGTTATAGGCACTATAATTGTCAACATGCATGTTATCAATTATAACAATCTTTAAATATTTAAGTAACATTGTAAAGGAACACTGATAATTTCTTATTTAATTTGCATTATAACTCGTCATATATTTATTTTGTCTGCAAATATTTAGCTTGGTCGACTTAAAGTTAGTTTAGTTTTTACTCCATTGTTTGTTTGTTTTTTGGCTTATTAGCACAGTGATAAAAAGAAATGTTTTTAAATTTTAATGAATAAATTTTTACATGTTTGCTCACATCAGTTATGAAACCATTACCCGTATGAATAGATGTGTGTATGAGCGAATTTTTTAACTTGAACATTACCCTAACAATGTCCTTACCATCATGGTCGCATTAACTGTTCCCAGTTTTGTCCAGCCGTATCCACCACAAATTTGTGAAGAAGTGCGCCTTTCACATGGCGGTTTGTTGTTTTCATTGTAATAACCCATTGGCGTTCTTGCTTTGATATAAGACCAATATTCAGGGCTACAAAGTAAAATTCCCCACGTTGATTTGCATGGAAACTTTGACATACATCCGACATTTGGTTTGGTTGCTTGTTCAGACGGTCCGATAATTTTGTTGATATTTGTATTTGTTTTTATTTATAGTCGTGTGAACAGTCGTTTGTGTTATCCAGTACATTTATTGATATATTTTTTGTATTTTATTCTTGTTTTCAAGTTTTTCAAATCTATGTAATTTTCAAATCTAGTCGACTTCCTTTGATCTTATTGGATGAAAATAGAGCAAGTTCTGTTTCCATTCGATTTTTTAGATTGACGGATCCGACTATCGGAGGCTCTTTTTATATGTGTTCACACGATCCGTTGATAAGGATCCTACAAAATCGGATCCGATAAATCGGAGCGTGTGAACGGGCCGTAATGCATTGATTGGAGGAAAAAAATATGAAAGAATTGACAAAACATAATCGAACTAATGGAATATGGATTCTCCAATGAACACCATACAAGTTAGGTCCGGCAAGAAAGACAGATCACAAAACGAAAGGCAAACGTTTTTTGAGAGGGAAGGGGGTTAGAAAGTGTGAAGGACGTGAGACCAAAATTGTTACGCGCAAAAACATGTTCCCGCAGCATTGGCATTTGCAATTTACCTGCATCCTTTTTTGTGGTAGTCGATACAGTCATCATAAATTACGATTCCTACGAAAATATATCAAAGTCACGATGTGGTCTCACTGAGAATAAGATTTAGTTACAGCAGAAAACGAGTCTAATTAATCAAAAGATAGCATACAAGACTGTCGTAGAAACCTCTTGTTCCACGCACGCAACAGATTATAGAAAAACTCTTAAAATGAACGGGAAATCTTATTTGATAATTTCGCATCTTTGGCAAGCAATTTTGAAGGGGTTTAACATTTTTCAATGTCCAATCTGTTTCATTTTTCTCTTTTCCAGGCAAACGTCATTCTCTAGTGCTCAGTGGCGGATTTAGGGTAGGTCAAAACAAATTACTGCAGCTCATTTTATGCGTATATTTATATTTCTAAGCATCTTAGAGGCAAATCCATTGGTAAAATTATATTCTGTAGGAACTAAAAACCAATATTATTTTTCTGAATGTTACTTGAATTTGAAATTGAGAAGCTGCTATTTATTTTGACGTACACTGGATACGCAACTGCTAGTGCCAGCTATTCAGACGTAATCCTGCACGTTTTTACCTGGTGGTGTTGTTGTATGCATTTCTGTTGGTTTCATGGCTGTTGGCGATGTCGTCTGATTTGAAGTAGAAGGATTTTTTACCTTATGAGAAAATTCAAAGGCAATTGGATATAGCAAAATCTGAGCAAAAAGATTACATTAAGAACAAAACATTTTCAAAAGAATGTGGCTGGGCCGCTAGTACCCTGGCTGGCATACGTATTGAGCAAGAAACACGTTGACTTCGGTATAAGCATAATACCTTATTTTGCTATTCTTAGCTGTTTTGAAACCTATAGGTAATAAACTTGCCCATGTCAATCAGGGCCGTCGATAGAACAGGGTATGGGTGAATATTCATATAGTCATTTGTACCCAACAGATTTCTATTGAAAGCCAATTCCCTTAAGGAATTGACCGAGCCCAATGAAATAAGTTGGGCACCATTGTCTATATGAGTCCTCCAATTAACTTCTGATTACAGCCCTGATTTAATACCATATTTTATACCAGTACCATCAAAAAATGAAAGATTCAAATGCCTCGTGAACCATCGCAATGTGAGCAAAACTAAGCTTTCATGAGCTCTTTGGATTGCTTGAACTCTTTGATGATATAATATTGCTCTCTGTTTGAAATATTGCCACGTTATCATAGGAAAACAAGGGCAAGTGGTGAACGAAATCTTTGAATGTGGGGAACCATTTAGAATTGCTGCTACGTTTAAGATTTTGAATTCAACATGTAGCTTAGAGGCAAACATAGAGAGGTGTGATCGGGCAAAAACTAAAACAACGACAGGCCAAATTTTCCATTTTGTTGTATTCTACATATAGTTTGAAGTATAGTAACTGTTTTGTTCCGCGCGCCATCTTTTCCAAAATTTCTGGTAATGAATAATATTCATGTACGTTATATAAACTCAATAAAACGCGTGGCTGAATGGTCTATAGCTGTGTTTGCATTAGTTTGTGCAGAACAGATCTTCGGTCAAATGAACAATTAAAAGAATCACGTAACAAAAGTACTGGCCAATCAATCATGAAAATATTTTAGATGAAAAATTGAAACGTTTGTTTGAAATTTGTCTTTTTTGCATTATTGTCGTTTCATAAAAGAAATAAAACGACATTCGCTCTCGGACATGCACTGATCTGCTTATAAAGTCTGTGCAAACCTGGTAATTATCTTTTTTTTCTTTAGAAATCTATTGTTTTATAAGTGAAAACCAAAACACTCACATTGCACGAGCAAATTTGCAGGCTGGCTAAGCGACGTCGCACATTACGGTCTTTTTGTAGAGAAATTAAAGAATTGGATATGCGTACCTTTATATGGAGTTCAGGAGACTGAATTTGCACCCAGAATGTGGAAAAATCCTTTACGACGGTAGCGTAGAAAGATATGTTTCCGTAAAAACCACTTGGCGGCTCCCATTCAAAGTTCAAAGTTTTTACATTAAGGCGGGTGGAGTGAGTAACGGCGCCCTGGCACGGTAGAAAAAAAAACGAATCAAATCTGTTAAGGGAAGAGTGGCTAAACATCAAGCATCATTTAAATACTGCAGCTCAGAAGTAATTAGATGAAGACGAAACGTTAGGTCAGTGCTGGGTATGATAGCTTGTAATAAATTCCTAAACGATATTTATTGAGCTTTAATATTTCTATTTCTATTAAATACAACTACAGTGGCAGTGAAAAAGAAATGATCAATAGCATGAATAGTTTAATATGGGGTAGCGTTGAGACAAAATGCCAAATCATTCATCAAAATTTGCACAACAAAAAATAACAATACATTAACTAAATATAAAATAAAATATAATCCGAGGAAGGACATCTTGTATAAGCCTAATGCAAATTGAACAAAACAATTAAAAGTGTAATTTTCGGTTTTATTTCAAAACCGAAATATAGCACTTTGGAATAAAATCGAAATATTATACTTTCATATATATTTTTTCATATTTTAATTGAATTTAACCCTTTGTTGCATGAATTTTTTTGCCGACCGAGCTCCATCGTGTTCAGTGGTTGTTGCTCTGAAGCATCGCCATGCAGCAAGGGTTAAGCTCACAAGATTTCTTTTTTCGGATTATGTTTTATGCTATATCAGATGAAATTGTTGTCAAGAAATTGAATGGAGAACATACTTTTGTTCAAACATGCGTTTTTCGGCAAACTTATGCCATCATCAGCTTGAAGGAATGTTATGTGATACATATAAAGTTGACCCATGGTTTTTTATGGAACAAATTTCATATGTATATAATCTAACGTGATTATATATTTATATATATTAAGTAGCTATCACAACTTTTAGCATATCCTTTATTCACTCGGATGATGGCATAAGTTTGCCAAAATCTGTATTAAAATAGTTTGTTCTCTACCATTAATCTGTTCAAAAGCTAATCAATTATATAAGAGGATATAGAAATCGAACTACAGAACAATCCAAAGACAATGAGCAAATTTAAGGTATAGAGGGCTATAGCTAAGACATGAGAAGTCTTTCGTGTGTCAACAGTTATTTATAGAAGAAATACATGCAGAAGAATACAACAAGAGTGCCTAGAGTACGAATAGACAGGTAAGTTACTATACGCCTAAAATTTATATCATTATTTTACCTCGCTGTTACCACAACTGACGAACTTTGTGTTTTGTGGTAGTGACGAAAACGTCCCGATTGCGGTGTTTTCACCGACGGACCGTGCTTGAATAAGGAAGCCTTTGATATACTCAGTCGAACTTTCAATGGATACATTAACTTTCTTTCCATACATGTAATAGGTTTTATTAACCTTGACTTGATATGGACTAGCAACTGTTTGAGACTGAAAACCGCCGTGGCTTGGCATCATACTCACGCATTGCGAACTAGGTGCACCGCTAGGACGACATCTCGCTACGTGGAATAGAGGTACACAGAATAAAACAACTACAGAAACAAACATTTTCGATTTAGATTTCACAGACAAATATCTTGTGTAGCTGCTGCAGGTATCAATAAAGCTTTGGTTATAAGCGCTGATTGCATGTGCACAATGCGTAATTTACATCATTTATTTTATAGCTCCATCAAATATAGCAAATGTCATGCAAGGGTATGGTAATTAGAGGCATTTATAAAAATTACATAACTGAAAATTATCTGTTTTTATTATTTGAAGCGATGCCATGGAATCCTCACAAAGAAAAGGGTTTCTTGACGGACATTCTGTAAACAGCCTCACGCAACGTTTTCCGTCCTTACTTAAGTTTTGAATTCGAACAAAAAGGATGATTTTATTATTGAGGCAAGAAAACGACTAACTGTACATGGCGCTTACGAGGCAAAAACACAACATTTCTCGTGAGATCAAAACCATCGGTTGTGTCGTCATACTATATGAGTCCATATTTTATTGTAAACGGACTTTTTTCTGGCTACCTTATGCACATATAGAATTAATTTAAATGATTCTCGTTCTCTCTTTGAATGTCGGAACTTTGAAGTCATTGACTAAAGCTTTATTCGTGACATGAGCACATTCCAACAATTAATGACGCCTTTTTCATCTTTTCTCTCGAAATAAATAGCAATTGAGCCACAGGTAGTCATGCTTACAGTCCTTGTTGTGACACGTTGGCAAAACAAATAATTTCTGTTTGGGCGCAAAAATCAATTAAAGATGTGTTAAATACACGTTATGTGCACAAACGCTTTTATATATTTTTCTGAAAAAATATTCTTTCTATTAGGAATATGCGCTTGCAATTATATTATAGACAAACTCATACTTCGAAGTGAATTCGAAACATTTCATCAATGTTTGTTTGAATGCAGAGGCGTAGCGTAGGAAGATGAAGCCAAATAGGTTGACGGCGGGGGTTGGGGAAGGCTGTTGACTGTTATTATTTAAATGGAAGCCTCAAATTTTTCATATATTGTGTGGAAGCTGTATTTCTTCTATCTTTCTATAATTTATAAATTTGCTTAAAAAGGAGAGAACATTTTAGTGAAAGCTTTACATTTATCCTTCATAGCTTATCGTAATAACATTACTATGGGCTATGGTAGCCAGCCACCACTTCGGTTCTGCTTTGCAATTTTTTTGGCTTATTAACTTTTGAATTTGCATTGATTTTTAATATATGTTTTCAATAAATTACAAAATATGCTAAATTTTGTACTGCTTCTGACGGTGACTTAACGCGCACGTGCCCTTGGTTTATTAAAAGTTATTCGATCATATTGCGGGAATATCGAAGAGCAGCTTTTGCACACAACGGTCCATCTATCTCAAGTTCTAGTATAAGCCTACATTGCAGTGCTTGTATTTATTAGCGATTTCACTGCACATATTTGACATGTTTGAAATGACTGGAAGTATATAAATGTATGCCTCAACTCAAAAAACGTAAAATTGCTTCTTTTGTTGTCAATGTCCAAGCGTTTGTTTAAATGATTGAGGAATTCAGCAGCAAATAGGTTTCCTGTCAGTCTGAACGTAAGAGCTTTTTCATTTGCTTAGATACGGAACTTACAGCTTAGTGTAGTCAAAACAATGAACAATTATAATTGCATGATAAACTTATTAAATCGCCGACGCTCAATTCCTCATTTAATAATCTACGTTGAGATAATTTACGATGGTGACTGGATGATTTTAGTACATTTCATCTGTAATAATATACATGAAAAAAATTTCTCAATTCTGATTGGTTAAGAGCAGTGCAATTTTTCCTAAATACCAGTGCAATTTTTCCTAAATACCAGTGCAATTTTTCCTAAATACCGGTGCAAAAAAGCGAAACACCAGTGCAAAACAGCGAAACACCAGTGGAAAAAAGCGAAACACCAGTGGAAAAAAGCGAAACACCAGTGCTGATTTCTCTTCAAAACTGCTCCTGATTGGTTAGTCAAACAAAGAAGTAATATAAGAGCCAATCAAAATAAAACATTTCAAAGGCGGGAAAGTTACATTATAGTAAACAAAGCAATTACAATGGCTTGCGTAAGTTTTAAAGGACACATGCAACATAAAATTCGGATTGTTATTTTTGTACTTTACATCAAGGTATAGCTCCAACTAATAGTTCACCAAAGTTTGAGACTCAAAGGATAAATATTTTTGAAGATATGGAGGTTTAAAGTTGATGCTTTACTGATAACGTATTGAAAATGCCCGACGAGCTAACGACGGCTACCGATTGGAAAAAGGTCGTTGTGACGTAATAGTTGACATTAGCTAAACGCGGTCAATTGCGCGCTTCGTTCAAAATATATTGGTAACTTCTTAACAACATGACAATTTAGCATTGAAAATTTGGTTTATTGTGCCGCATTTAATTGTAAAAATGGGTCTTCTAAGAACTAACAAACGCAGCAAAAGGTTTCTTTTTTTTCGTTTCCCGAAGACAAGCGCATGCGAGATATTTTGATTGAAAAAATCCGACGCAAAAATTGGAAGCCAACAATGAGCTCAAAATTGTGCTCGCAACATTTCGAGAGTTCGTGTTTCGTGCAAAATTTTGAAGCGATGCAATCAGTAGGATGGACAGCAGGACGGCTTCGCCTTAAGGATGCTATACCCACGATTTTTGAATACTCTGTGGAACCCACAAGTGTAGCATCTAAAAGGAAGCAGCCAACAAATGTTAGAACTGCATTTGAGAAGAGACGAAGGCAAGAGGTGATTATTATAGTTATAGTTAGCAATATTTGTTTACTTTTATCAAAAACTAAGCTATATAGCATTACCAAATTGAAGACAACTTTATAATTTTAGATTATTGACGACGTTCTTGAAGACGACGACCACGATGTGTCGACATCGGCTCGAAATGTTTGTGCGTTTTACCTCAAAGGAAGTTTGTCTAAGATAAAAGATGTCAAATATATGTAGACAGCGAAACACAAACATATACAGTGGTAACTAATTCAGACTAATGTCGTTTGATCTTTTCTATGTTATTTGAACTCATAGAAAATTCCTTAACGTACCTTAGAAGCGCAATGTGAAATGCCAAGCAGCCATAACAATCCGCCCGCAAAAACACGTAAGGTCAAGAACCACTCAAACAAAAGTGGCAAATATGATAAGTAGAGGTAAAGACTTTCCATTTCGGCCGTTTTGATTTTTGTGAAAAATCCAGCATTACGATAATTTTATGCTAAGGTACGGAGGGTTGAGTTAATTTCAACCACAAATCACAGCACACAGACGACGTCATGTGAAATTGAACATTTTGAGGATAGCGCTGTATGGTCTGATACAGAAAGCACGTCGACGATGAGCAATAGCTACAATGGATCAGACTCTCAATGTTCAAATGAGTTAAGCGAAAATGAAGAATCCGACAATGACAATGCGACGTTAGTACCAACTATTCAGTCACCCGACTATTCTTTACATTGCTTTTCTCTGTTATATGTTTCTCAGAACGTTACGTTTATCTCTTTGATTCTGATGGTAATTTTTATGTTATAGGGAAGATGCTCAAAATGAGAGAAAATACATAGTGTTTGATAGTTGCCTGAGACAGTTAGTGAGTCAATGCCCATGTTGTGGTGAAAGCTGTTCCATTGTGACCAAAACGACTGGTAGTATGGTTAACGTACTAGCAAAATGTCATTGTGGTTATATTCGAGACTGGAATAGCCAACCTTTGCATTGGCGAATGCCTTTGGGTTACTTGGTCTTTGCTGCCAGCATCTTGTTTAGTAGTAGTAGCCCCAGCAAAGTTCTTCAATTCCTTCGTCACTCAGGCATACAATTTCTGTCAGAGCGTACATATAGCTATATTCAAACAGCGTATTTGATACCCAGTGTTTCAAATGTTTGGCTTATGCACCAAAAGCATCTTCTAGAATCAATCAGAGAAAGGAACATTAACCTTGGAGGACATGGAAGATGTGATTCGCCTGGATATTGTGCAAAGTATGGGTCATATAGCTGCATGGATTTGGAATCTTACAACATTTTAGTCACACAACTTGTTCAGGTAACAATTCTTCAACAACTGTACATAAAACATGATTAGAATACTCACATAATTATGTTAAACAGTCCAATGAAGTGCCCAACTCTGGAGCAATGGAACTTAAGGGATTAAAAAGATGTCTGGCGAAGTTTGATGAAAGTGGGATGAAGGTGAAGTCAATGACCACAGACAGACATGCTCAAATCAAATCCTACATGTCAAAACAAAGACCAAAAATCGAACACTACTTTGATGTATGGCATGTAGCAAAAGGTATAGATTGTCATAACAAACCAACCTTTTACACATTTTATCAATAATCAAAACCCAACAGGAATCAACAAGAAAATTTTGGCAGCATCAAAAAAAAGTGGTTGCAAATTATTGTCAGATTGGATGCAATCAATTTCCAACCATGTATACTGGTGTGCTGCTTCCAGCAATGGTGATGAAGAACTTGTGAAGGCAAAGTGGTTGTCAGTTCTCAACCATATATGTGACATCCATGAGGGACATAGTGATGTATTCCCAAAATGTGAACATGATATTTTAGAGCCTAGAATGTGGATAAAAAAGGTATTGTAAGCGAATAAATTTCAAAGTAACATCAACATTCTTTTTTTTTTGTTAACTAACTTCTGATCTTAGGTTCAAAAGCTTATGTTGAGCTGTCTTCGATTGTTGAGTCCAAGTGTCTCATGAGAGATATTGGAAAAACTCAGTTATCAGAAGCAGACTTCATTCATCGAGGTTTCCACCGAGTGGTGATTCTTTTTGCACCAAAACATACCAATTTTTTCTACAGATCAATGGAAGCAAGGTAATATAATTATGACTTGTGTATGATTACTTAAAAATGTCATCATTGCAAAAGCAATAAGTTGCAATAGTTGTAAACATAAACTTAACATTCATTTGTAGATTGTTTATTGCTGCTCTTCATTTCAATGAGAATGGAAACAAAGCTCAGAAAACGAAGAATGGTGGGCAAACAGAAGAGGCATTGATTTGGAGAATGGCTTATTCAAAGTCAAAAGAAGGACTAGGGGTCATCAAACCAGTGAAAGTTGACAGCACTTATGGTTAGCACAGAAAAATAAACTTACCTTTTCTCAAAGTGCAATGCAAAGCCAACATAAATAATGATTTGCTTTTCAGGATATGTTAAGGACTTGATGATAGAAGTTTTGTACTGCAGACGCATTAATCCAACACTGTCCAAAGCTCTTGATGTCGCTGGAGTGAAAGAAATACCTGTCCCATTGACTAGCCACAAATCAAAAATCAGCAAAGCTGAAGCCATTAAGCAACATAAATCTCGTTTTAATAAATAAAATGAAACTAACCATTCAACATTTCCAATTCTGTGAATGTATTCATCTTCGCTTTCCGATGACGAAGAATTGTCATCATTATGACCACCTTGCGCGTTGGCCAAAGGCTCAAACATGTAAGGTTGTACCTCATTGTTATTGATGACAATTTTATAATCGGCTTCTTCTTCAGAAGAATCCATTAATTTTTGTTAAATAAAAACAATAACTAGCAAACTACCTTAATAGCAAACTACCAAAGTCGTGCAAGTCGTAGAACGATATAAGAACGATGCTTGAACGATATAAGAACGATATAAGAACGAGTCGTAGAACGATATAAGAACGATATAAGAACGATAATACCGACGGAATTGAAATAGCTATAATTAAGAGCCGGTCGATATTAATAACTTGCCGGCTGAAATGTACGTACGCTGAAGTTAAAAATGAACAGAGTTGAGAAATTTTTTGATGTATATTATTTATAAGTAATAGCATGGTTTCTTGTGCAATTTAGAAAACAAGCACTCATGAATTTCAAGTTTTTGTTTTCGCTAACGGCAGTTCGTAAATGGAATAATTAGCTAAAAAATATGTGTCAATGTTAAAAAGTCTGTCTCAAAGTATCTCAAAGCCATATTATCTACAGGCAATGTTGTTAAAGGTTTCAGACGTGCGCATTTTTGAAGTCTTTAATTGAAACTAAACTATTACGTATGACAAAGCTTCTCGCGTTCGTGAATTTTGTCGTCGTGTGGTAGAAATATTTGGTGAGCTGAGGAAATATGTGCTATAGATGCGAATTTTCACGCAATGCCAATTGCCATTTACCAAGCTCTTATTTACTAAGCGGAGGGAGACGGGGGGGGGGGTTAATAAATTAAAATCTTAAGATGAAAGTGCAGAATGCAAAGCAAAAGCGACGATTTTAGAGTTGGATTTTGGGTGAACATTAAGGTGAGGTTGAAAAACAAAAGAAGTGAAAGTCAACCCGTACAAAACAGCAAAGCAAATAATTCCATATAATAACCCTTTTATTAACCTCACTTTCTCAGTTTTTACTAAAAAATTAAAAGATTAAATTAGCCAATTGCAGTTGAGAGTCTTTTTGAAAATAATGGCGTATGCACCACTTCAAGGCATCCAGCATGGAGACAGAAACATTTTTCAAACCAGTTGAAAAGTTCACTCATTTTGTCGGATTTTCGTCCTCTTTTTTAAAAGCATGGATTCATGTAGAAAAATTATCCTATTTTTTAGTAATGTAATTTGAATTCATGTTTGTTTTTTAGGTATTATTACTTTATATAAAGGTATGTGTTCGTAACTGCCATAATAGTTGCCTGCCTTTGGTAAATATATATAATATATATATATATAATCAATTAATACAAAGTCTGCGGCGCACGGTCTGTTACGATGGAGTGGGACGAGCTATCGTTTGTCTATACAATTTAGCTAGCTAAGTGATTTATTGGGCCGCCTATGGTACAACAGAGCAAATTATTAACCTTGGGAAGTAATATTGTTTTGCTAATGCGATTTTTATGGTTTTTAAGCATCCCGAGTGCAAGTGTTTTTTTTAGATACGCGTAAATATGTACATTCGAAATCACATCATATTAGTAGAATCATACTATTATTCTATTTTAAATGCTTTCCTCTCGTTGGCTACTCTACACGCTCTCTATTTTCATTGGGTAGCGAGCATCAAAGAAATGGCTTGCTAGTTAACTGTGAAGAAAAAAACATGGCTTTTGTTTCGCGTTATACATAGGCTTCTGACAAATATAGACTACATAATTTAATCCAGAAGGAAATTCTAGAGAAGACCATGGTTGCCACTAGATACAACATTCAGATATTTAAAGGTAAAGTACGCAAAAAGCAATCAAATTAACTTAACATTCATTGGGCAATAGTCGTTGCTTTTTAACATCAACGATGTCAACAACAACGAACGCAAAAAAACAACAAATTATATAAGGAAAACTATAGCAACCATTTTCTTTATGAATACTTGTATGATTCTACTAAAACAATTAGATTACTATCTCGAGATTTCTAAGAGGTGATAGTTGAGAAAGGCAAGACCCAAATCAACTATCGCATCATGGAAATCAAAAACGAGTCAACGATTGAAGAAAATATTACTAACAATCATCAAAAGCTATAAATAATTGTCATATCTGATCGAATTCAGTTAGATGCTTTTGTCCTTCTGTAATAGACAGTCTACTAAGGCGGTATAGACGAAGGAGCAAAATTTCGTCGAGTTCTTTTTCCAAGGAGCCTCTCCCTGACCGATCTTGTTCTGAAGATGTAAATGAAAGGATTGATGCAAACGTGAAGTTGTTGAAATGCTATGAAGAAATATATCAAGCTGAAGAATGTAAGGAAATCAGATGTGAGAATCCAGTAGACGTTCAGCACAATCTGTGGCAGCCAACTTGCCACAAAGACAGTTGTTAAAAGTGTTACCGTCTTTGCTGCTCGAGAAGAGAACACTTTGCGTTGATCGCTAACCTTCATGGAGAAAACTTTGCCTTGATTGGCTGTCGTAGGCGAGGAATTTACATTTGGTACGCAATCTGCAGCAATCATCTTTTTGAAGCGAGGGAAGAGTCTAAATGAGTTTTTCTTAACAGTTTTCATCTGCTCGTCTTGTTTATGAACAACTAAATCTTTCATCTTTTTATCAAAAGATTTTGGATTCTTCTTTTCACGAAAGTTTACACCACGTCGAGCCGGTGTTTTGTCATTTCCAATGATTGCGGTACAGGAAACGATCTCGCTGTCACAAGAATGGCTACAGCTTTCATTTTCCAACTCATTTACAACACTCTTAGATTGAGCCTCTACTTGCGTGTTTCCCACGCAGCAAAAGACAACACTCTTTTTGAATTCGGCATTCAGGAAAGTTTTCTCGTCACAAGACTTTGACCCGACGACTCCTGAAGACTTTTCGGACATGAAACAAGACTTCAAGATGTTTTCGTCATTGGTTATTATTTTCAAACCGGAGTGCGATTGTTCCTTATCGAGATGTTCCAGTTTGGAAGAAGCTAAGCGGTTCATTTTAGGATCAGTTGAATGTCGATTGGTATCGTTGACATTGGTAGAAACGACTAAGGCGGCATCAATCTGTCCAATATTAATTTCCTTTTGAAGACGCTTTACTATAAGGTAAGACCACAGCTGGATGCTGGTCGTAGTAACGAACATTGTGATGATCAAACAAGCATTCATATAGCCCGAAACACGTCGAACTTGTTTGTCGAAAATGGCGAACGTTAACCCGAATGTAACAGCGAAGATCCAACACAAGATGACGAACACAGCAACCTTCTTCTTGTTAAACCATCTACTATAATGTAACGGGTATAAAATGCCAAGATACTTGTCGAACGTGATTAGAAAGATCGCGGCACAGTCAATCAATAAGCACGAACATGTCGTCATTCGAAGAGCGTAGGTCATATGACTACTTTGTTCACTACGAGCAAGAAGACGCATGATAATTAACGGTTGGTAGAATACGCTGCTCACGAGATCTGCGACGCACAAATTGAAGACGAACAGGTCCATGGTTTGAAGCATGCGATAGTTTTTCGCGATGATGAAAACGAGTGGAAGGTTGACGACGATGCCAAAAAGAATGAGAAAGCCGTCAATTACTGCCGCGGCGATGGCGAAGTTATAAGATGCTGTAACAATGGGAACTTGGAATTTCGTAAAATTACAAGGGGATGTGTTGTTCACCATACTGATGTTTCTAATGCGACAGCAAAAAACAACCAGTTGCCTTTGATGTCTGTAATAAATGAGACATTTGCCAACAATAGAAGCCGTTAACTTCTTGTTTTCTACGAAGGCGTGCCATTGGCTGAAATTTCCGAACAATTCATTTCCACTTAATTGCAAGAGTAGACATATACAAAAACAGCCATCTGCTAATCGTCATTTATAGCGCTTCTAGCACTGGCTCGATTTGTGATTGGTCAACACACTGAGAAAGATACATGAAAATGGCTTCAAATTACGGCAAATTGTTTCTACTACACATCATTAGCAATGTTTTCGAAATGAAAGGCTATATTTTGATGTTCATTAGGCTACAACTACGTGACCTGCGCCAGATGTAGTATGAACGATGAAATGAAAGAAAAGACACCAGTTGACTGTTGAGAGTGGGCATCAAATTCTAAGTACAACTGATTAAAGCACTTACCTATATAGCTACACGTTGCTGAAAATTACATGCCACATACGTAAGTCACGTGCAATTTAATTGGCTAACAAGCAAGAAAACATTTTTGAACATTAATGACTACTGCATAGATTATATCTTTTTCACATTAATGCCGAAAAATTTTACTGTTGTTGACTTTTGAGACTAGTTTAAAAAACATAGTTAAAAAGCATAGTTAAAAAAACATAGTTAATAAAACAAAAAACAAAAACATATGAAGAAAAAAACACGATTTTCTTGTGTATTGGTCGATGAAAAACATGCGTCTAGGTTATTCGTTTTAAATAAATCTCAAATTGAATTTGAATAAATTTACGGGTTATGCAACAGCTTACGTCATTTATTGCACAAAGTATTGGCTTGATACACAAGCAATTTAATCCGGCAAACAGTCAAAAAATTCGTTTAATAATGAGCAATATTGACTAACAAAGAGATATCTCTTCCACTAAACGTCGAAAAGTTATTATATGTTTTGACTTTTCATACTATTTAAAAAATTAAGGAAGGCGTGCTGGTGAAAACATAGCTTTGTTCGTGAAAAAAAGGCTTAGTTTATTCGTTGCCAATACGACTCAAGATAACCAGCTGTAGAACGTGTGTATAATGCAGGGCCCCGAAGACAATTGAAAACTTTTTATCGAAGAAACGTTTCAAATATTTAAGATAATTAACGTCATAGATTTTCTCACAATATTAATACATCGTCTTCACCATTTACGGCAGATGAGGATACAGCAGATTGTGAGTTCGCTTTTTCCAAGCATTCTCTCTTGCATTCCAGCAACATGGCCAAATCCTACACAATATGACACAACATGATGTTTGAAATATCGAAAAATTATTTGTTGTTAAATACACCCAGACAGAATATTGAACTGTGACAATCATATGGTGACAATCCTCCTCAAAATACGTCATCACGTGCTTTTTCATACCATATAAAGAACTGTAATGTACATAAATGCAAATATAAAAAATGAAACAAAAGTCTCCTCATTGCGCTGCATTTTTGATTCGCATCATATTCCCTCTCAAACGGCATTAAACTTTGCAATGCTGAACATAAAAAGTCCGCGCATTTCTGTTCTAATTTAGCTTATTTACTGAAAATTCAATCATTGAGGTCCACGCTATTTTGCCTGAATTTCAAGGACTTTTCAAGGACTTCTGAAGCATAAAATATGGACTTTTACAGGACCCTGTGTATTAACAACTGGTAGTAATAAGTCAGGAGGATTTTTAATGAAGCCAAAGTTTCCAAAATTAACAGATCCTTATGCTTCGATATTTACGTATCCAGTGCACTCCAAATATTCGAACGCCGCCATTCTTGGAGTCCCTTAGAATGTCCAACCAAGCGCCCAAAGCACTATACTCATTATTCAAGTTTGTATAAATTTTCAAAAGGACCAGCACTTCTACGCCAATAAACTTCTTTGCAATGGAAATAAACTCATGGTGAAATAAAGTTTCAGTGTAGAGAAACACGACGTTGTCACATTAAAAAAAAAGCATTGAAGAGAGGTTTCAAATTCGTCTACTTCTAAAACATTTCACTTTTTTACTCTTTACAATAAAAGCCACCAATGAAATGACCGCCTCGAGTCTAATAAGAACCCTCCTTTAAGCATACTTTTTGTTTTAGAAGCATACGTTTGTATTATAATTTCAGTTGGTTATCGTTTGGGGAGGGGGGAGGGACAGAAACCGTGTTCAGTCCTCATTTTCTTTTGTAAGAAAATCCATTTCAAATACGTACGTTCCACATCTTTTTCTGCTTGATACTAGGAGCGTGATTCTCGCGAACATTTTTTTGCTTCTCTCTTAAGCTCTAGCAACAAGAACAAGTACATGATCGAAAACATTCGCAGCCAACGGTAAAATTGCCAAATGCAAATTCAGTAAAAAAATGAAAGAGTACAAATTACGATGTCGGCAATTCTAAACTCATTTTTACCTTTCCCAAATTCTCCTGCTCTTGGATTTTCTTCGTATACAGTTCTCTATAAAGTTATATACATGTAAATATACGTATCACAACTAACAAACAGGCTATACAAAAAAAATAAATTTCCAGTGACAGCGCTCGGAGGGCAAGGGAAGGAGGGCAAGGGAGGTGAGGGGGCAAGGAATGGGGCATTTACCCCAAAAGTTTGTTGTACTTCCGCGGTTTTCTCTACCTCAGGTACTTTTTTTTTTCATTTCTGCGTTGTCCAGTAAGAAACCAAAGAGTAATTTAACGAGCTGTTCGTCCAAAGATAGAAAACCTAAATTAGATCCCCCTAAACATTTCTTTGTCCCCATTCCTCCACCAACTCATTCTAACCTAACGTCGCCACTGAACTTGTACGTTAAAGATGTTATAAATTTATCCATATAACAGAACGCATGCACAAAAACAAAACCTTGAGCCCCAATTTTAGGCACAGACAAGTAATCATGGACTCAATTTAGACCCAGTCAAATATTTTCTGTTACCAGTTTAAGTCACGGGGGCCGGTTGCACGAAGCCTGGATAGTACCAATAGGATAGCAATTTTTTAAACGTTAAAAAACCCTCTTAAAAAAGGTCTTCAATCACAAGCAAACCTGTACGACTTCTTTTTATCTTTGGAATCCGACGACGTGTATGATTTAATCTCAGCTTCAACCCTTTTTTCCTGCACCTCAAGAAGCTAAAGATAAAAATATACTCATTGTCAAGATAAGCCGGCTCGTGATGAATAAAGTACTTTACCTTAAACGTTCAGTTTGCAAATTCATGATGTAAACGCATAAACGAGGAACACACAAAATACAAAAAGCTATGTACGTGTGAAGACATTTAGACAGCGAGTCCATGTAGTCTTTTATGTACAAATGTACAAACGGCATACTTTTATCATGGAATCTAAATAGAAATATCTGCTTTCATTGTTGGCAAGTTCATCTCTTAAGGATTTCACTTCCTACAAACAAAAAACAAACATCTAAATGCTTAGAATGTTTGTCGCCATTATTTCATGTAATATAGTAATTAGTAGCTACACCACAGCACGGACAACAACATTTATATATACACAAGCACTAGGTGACTCTTAAATGGAAAGATAATATCTCACATCCGTCTAAGATAGAAACTTAAACAAAATGGTGGAATGACCTGGAAGATATCAGCATATACGACTCGAGTTGTACGAGAGTTCAGAGTAACTTATGAATACCAATGCAACACGACTAATGTCTGGCAAAGTACTCAACCACATAGATAATTTCATTTCCTTACAGCTATACCTGCTCAAGTTTGAACATATTGCTCTCAAGATTTGCAGCAAGATTATCGTAGATCGCCTTTTGTTCATCATACTCTGACGTCATTTCCTGTCATGTATTGAGAAAAATGTAAGATCATTTTGTGCAACAAGATAGAAACTTTTTTTACAAACATAAATATTATAAAAGACGAACCAATGAATGATTTTTCATTCAATAGCATAAACTGTATTGAAATATAAATGTATAGACATGTCTGCAATAAGCTGCAATAATGCGATGCGTTAGCCTTTTATTGCACGTTGTACTCAATAGTAAACGCAATAGAAACCGAATCCCACTCATATGAAAAAGCAGCTCGCGTGACAAAGCGTTTTTAATGCTTTAATCTAGACCCTTAGTGATTTCTTTAATCATATAATTCATTGTCCTCCAATGTATCATGGCCTAATTTCAGTTGTATAGTACTTTTATTTTAATGCACCAAATTATTTGTAAATTATGAAAAGGCTTGTAAGCGCACCACACATTTCTGCCTCATAGGCCGTAGTTCTTTAATAATGGGAGCCAAAGAACTCTTCTTCTCAACGATTAGCGAGTTCAACTTTCGAACCTGAAACAATGAAAAATACTTAACACGTCCGAAAAAGGCAAGTGTGTTCATTAGATTCGTGTCGCAGAAATATGAACATCGAAATTTCCGTGAAAACTATTGGGATATCTCATAAATTGTCATGGAACGCACCATATCAGAAATTTCATCAAGTGATTTTCCTTTTTGTTCATCCAGGTCACCTTTCACTGATGATACCTTTTCCAACTCTTCTTGCGTGTCGTGGAAGCCAGACACGCCTTCCTTTGCTTCGAGTTGTGACTGAGAAAAATGATGTCAGAATATCGTCAACTAGTAGAAATGTACCCACTACACGGGAAATGGACTAAAACTTTTAAAGTATTTGGTTGCGACGATGCAGCAAAATCCACAAATTTCTCGTATTCTTTTAATGCTTAAAAGTTGGTTAAACTTATGGTAGTATCGGGCTTTTTGCATTGTAAAACCGCGCATCACGTACATTCATTATTTTGGGTGTTTTAATGCTACATTATTGACTAATTGGTTATTGTAATCCACTAGCAACTTGTACATGTGGCAAGTAAAAAATTGAACTTTTTTTTAATACGGGTAATGAAATCCAACGATAGCTACTCAACTTATTTACCAGGTGTTCATTAAGTTGTCCTTCACGTCGTTTTAAAATCTCTTCAGACCGAGATAGAACACCAAATTCAGCTCGAAGTTCAGTCAACTACAGAAATAAATACATATAGCTATACATCATTTGATGAAGTAGTAAGAGTTCAAGTTTGACTTCCGATACTAATACCAATACCAAATGAAATTGCAAAGAAACGAAGTAAAATATGCATTGGAAGTCGTCACTACCGAAGTAAGCTCGCTTTTGGAAGTCGATATAAACGTTGGCCAAGAGATAAACTTTTAGAAAAACTTTTTTAAAAGGTATTTCAATATACAAAAGGCTGGTTTATTTGCATCAGATGAAGCATGTTTGAATCAAAATGTTTACAGAACGTAGATATTTTACCTGATTATTTTATTGCTAAGAGCGTTAGTGGTTGTCTATGTAAATAAACACTTCACAAATTCCCGTTACGTAAATGACGTTTACGAATGTATTGGCATTTGTATCATAAGTCGAACTGAAACTCTGTATTATTACACCAGAGACAGGATCAAGAGACAAGCATGAACGGATAAGTTTACATTAATAAACGAAGCAAAGCGTACCTCTTGACGTTTTTTCTTGTATACGGTGCTTTTGCTTCTCAATTTGTTCACATATCGCTTGAACTGAAATAAGATTTCATTAATTTTGTAACCATGATTTATGTCTTCGTTAACATAAACATGTGACAGAAATTCAATTGCGTAAAAATCATCACCTCTTCGCCTTTAACTACTTCAGTTCCCTCGCTTTGTTGTAATGCTTCACGTTTGCCTTGAAGCTGATTCTCGATGTTGCCCAACTGCAAATACGGGAAGTTTCATGACAAACACTCTTGAAACAAACATTAACATAATTATCCATCTAAGCAAAACTAACAATTCTCAATTAGCTATTTGCAACACTGCAGATGATCGCCTAAAACGCAAAATCCTTCAAGGAAGTAGGTTAGGAATGTATGTTAACGTTGTTGTTGAAGACATGCTGTACATGGTTATAAGAGCGCGTGTTGGAACAAAAGGGAAATTTAAGGACAGACCAATTTCTAAAGGCCCGTCTCCACTTAAGAAAATTTCCCACGGAACGTATAAATTTCCAGATTGCGCATGCGCTAAGTAAGGCAAGAGATGCGATCAAATTTTCTAGCGGAAAAAAAATACGTTCATTCAAGTAGAAATTTTTCGACGTTGGGCATTTACTTTGGTGACAGAATGCGCAACCTGAAAAATTATTTGTTTACTTTTTCGGTTTACTTATTGATCTGGAAGTCACTTTTGTGTGCCTCAAAGTATTAAATATTGAAAGATTAAATATGACTCAAGTCGTAAACATGTGTCACCATGGATGGTCAAAATTTTCAATAATTTACCTCGTCCATGACCTCTTTCAATTCTTCGGCAGCAGCTTCTTTTTTGCGAATGATTATCGAAGCCTGCAAAATTTACGTATATGATCAGAGACGGAATAAGCTTTTGCGGGAACCCTGGTAGACCAAAAGCTACCCTCCCCAACCGACATCTTCTATAAACAAAAACTAACAAAAAAATGTGCAATAAAATTGGTGATATTTACAAAGAGTGTTCAACATAACCGTTTTATACAAGAGTTGTTTTCTGCATACAAGAGTTGTTTTCTGCAATTCCATTCATAGTATATAAAACGCCAAGCACTTGAAACACTGCCTATTATATGGAGTTTTATGTAATAGCCAAAATGCGATTTTGTATGTTGGAATTTTTTGGTGGTTCTTGCGACACAAAAGCAATAGCTCCATAGACAAAATGACTCCCAGGGGACCGCACGGTCCCTGGCGACCGCCATCGCGTCCCCCCTTGCGATCTGCCATAACACCCCCCCCCCTTGACCGCTATGCATATGAATTTCTTACAGAAAATGGTCATTGGTTGGCAAATACATTCCAATTAAATACATAAATTCTGACACGGTTACACATCATCTCCAGTCACATTTGGCTTAGTCCTTAACAGGTACAGGTACATGCATGTTTTAAACGGGAAAAAAGTATCAGAGAATAAAACACACTGCTGAAAATCATGACGTTTCGAGGTAATTTAAATTGTTTATTGATATTGAGAATGTCCTGTGGCGGAGTTTTGAATGACAAGGAGGGTCGGTTGCACAATTTCTCCCACTGAATTTATACAAGGACTCTTCTTATAAGACGTCCCTTGGCGTGTGTTGAAAGTAGTCAACAAAGACAACAAATCAATTAGTGTCCACTAACCTGTTGTCGAAATAACGAAAGCTTGTCATCTATAGGATCGTTGCGCACCATTCGTTTCTCAATTAGTTTGTTGATTTCATCCGACAACATTCCAATCTAGATGTATGTCAAGGACAATATATGAATACAACCCCCAATCCCTCCCCCTTCCTTAATTAACATTCTGTCTACGGTCGGCACTAAATGCATTAAAAAACCAAAGAAAATAAAAAGTTTACTCTCATTTTCTGATGTCTTTAATGCATTCGGCACACGCAAAGTTCAAAGTGAAATTTAAGCATCTACATTCAACTCAAACATCAATCTTCTCCACGTTAACTCGAGTGTCATGAAATCAGCCTCTTTCTAGAAAATTTTGCAATAGCACCACATCCAAGATCAACATAATCAAACGCACCTGACGATTTAACTGATCCAATTCAGATTGCCCCATCGCAGGTTCGTCAATTACTCTCTGTATATCGGTGACAGCTTTCTGCTTCGCTGCAATATCCTTGAGAAAGACAAAAAATATAGATTGGCGAAAAAAGAACTCGACATGCAAACATTTTTCCAAATTTAGAAATTCACATACGTGGCAAATTTTTGCAAAGATTTTATAAAATTTGCTTAATAACAAATAAATTATTTGTATTATTTCTTTGTTTCTTCTTGTCTAAATGTATTTACTATTAAAATAAATGATTTGAGCCCGGGAGTATCCTTGATAGTGGTCTAGATTAGTAGAATCCTGAGAAGGACTGTTGGTATTGGTTTTGTCCGATTTAGAATTGACCAAAGTTTTTTACTCTGTAGATGACTACAGCTAAGAATGCTGAAACGTCAGGCAACATCAACACCAACAGTCTTCCTCGGGACTGCACTGACATGGACGATAAACATCCACAAACTTGCACAATAATTCATTTGCTCTTAAAATAAATGTTTTGAGCTTGAGAGTATCATTACATGTTTGTAGACGTAGATCTTCCAGATTAGTGGAGTCCTTATACGGACTGTTGTTGGTGGTGTGACTAACTTATATTGACATATTATTCACTGACTTAGTATTGAGTGCCTTAATGTCGACTGACTTAGTATTGACAGACGTAGTATTGACTGACCTAGTATTGACTGAGGTTTTTGACTCTGAAGGTGACAACCGCTAAGAATGTCGAAACATCAATTAATACTAACACTAACAGTCCATCTAAGGAATGCTCTAACCTACACGATCAACATACACAAACATGCACTGTAACGTATTTAATCTTAAAGTAAACTTTTTGAGCACGGGAGCATAGCTCTAAGTTTGTAGATGTTGATCGTCAAGATTCGTTGAGTGCTGAAAAGAACTATTGATGTTGGTTTTGACTGACAAAATATTGACTAAAGTTTTTGAGTCTGAAGATGACTACTGTTAAAGATGTCGAAACGACAGTCAGTGTTAAAACATCAACACTTGTTCTCAGGAATGCACAAATCTGGATGATGTACATCTGCAAACATTTCTAGCTCCATTTCACACAATACCTTAGGAATTTTCTCTTGATATAAATAGGAGTTGACTTTATATTCTTCTTCCAGCTTTCGTAACAAATCTAAATATTACAATGGAAAATATTAAACAAATACTAAACAAATAATTTAATACTAAACAAAATCAAGACAGACGGAACTGGTGAGTGGTCGTAAATTAAATAAATTTGAAATTTTTGTGGGAGTTTCTGAAAGATTCTCCAACATGATACAGGTGAAAGGAGTTTTTCAGGTTTTTCCAAAAATGAGACATTTCATAACAAAAGCATATCGAAAATAAAGAATATAGAAATTCTTTGTTGATGTAAATGATCATTAAAAGCTCGTACCAGCTCCATTTGTACCAGCACCTTGAGAACGAGCGTTGTTCAGAGTTTGTTGTTGTCTTCGATACCTTTGCTCGGCATAAAGAAGCTTATAAATAAAGAATACATTGATACGTCATTAGAATTTCCTTTACTGAAAGCTCAAACTTCGCAAATAAAACATGTAACTGATGTGAGTATGTACTTCTTTGGGATTCGGAAAAATCAGAAATATGATTTGTATCATATTTTGTACGTCACAAAAATAGGAAGATTGAGATAATGGAAAACTATGTATAACTAGCGCAAATAAATTATTTTATTAGCGTGTTTATTTAATCTGTACATAAAGAGATAAGTTCGAATGATATACGAAACGATACGATATGATATGATATATGATATGATATGATATGATATGATATGATATGATATGATATGATATGATATGATATGATATGATATGATATGATATGATATATAATGTGATAATACATTGTTTGATGTTATCTATTTACTGACTTGATTTTTCTGATCCATCATTTGCTGTTTGAGATCTGTCTCTTGCTCTCTCACGATGCGCAAATTACGCGCCGACGATATTAACTTTTCGTGATTTTTCACAGATTCAACCTGGAAGAAAAAAAGTTATGCACCAGACCGAATGATCGGCCAATAAAAACAGATTTGCGCTTACCTTCTTCCTCACTCGATCCACACGCTTGATCAACTGCTCGCGCTCGTCTTCCATGTTTACTATGTCCTGTAGTAACAATATTCGATATGTTATCGATACAATCAATAATCTATAACCAATACTAGAAAATTACAGTCAATAAACGATCATAAATTTATCATTGATATACTGAACCATTCCCAGTATCAAATTGTGATCGATACAGTTTATATCGTCTTCAAACATCGACCAGGGACAATCTTTCGTTTAATCGGATACAGTCGCAGACATTCTTCATCGAGGAGATCATTCGTTATTACTTTTCATTGTGAAATTGTTTGGAAACACCAAGGGTAACATGCATTTGTTGCAAAGGCATCACAAAATTCTTGTTGAGCGATAGAACATGATTTAGATTTTAACTGATTTACGAATTCTTCCTACATGATCTGAATTCTTGCATGTAAAAGTGTGATTACAATTCTTTTTGGCATAAAGGTACTTTCAATAGAAAAACATGATACTCGTCGGGAATATCTCATCTCGATTGCATGTGAAGCAGCATGAACGTGTTGCAAAAACTGTGAATTTCTCATTTCGTATTTTTAAAAAATTTTATGAAATGTCATCTAGGTACAACGGTTTCTGCCTCCATATTGTCTCTTGAATCATGAAAATTAAATCGTTTGACTCGTTGTATACTATGTTATCAATACCGCACTTACACATCATCATTTATCATAACGAAAAGTATGCGAAAACATATAGCTGACCTTTTTAATGTCACCAGTCGAGAAACCAGATGCTTTAAGACGTTCCAATTCTTTGTGAAACTCTTTAAATTGTTCCATGAGTTCCGTGTACTAAAAACAAACAAGCAAATCAGTGCACGCTGCATGGTTCTTGCTGTCGCTCATATGTAACAACAAAAATGGGCAAGAAGACAATAACGATGGTGGGCAATTCAAAAAAATTGAGCCTGATAAAAACATTTTAGAGCTACATGTAAGATGTGTTACAAGCCCTTAATAATCGAGCGCGAGGTCATTACGGAGAAATAACGGACCAATAGGACACAATAAATATATCCTAAACTTTGTAAAATTTTAGTTTTTCTCTAAGTTGAGAGCAAAAATAACAACAGAATTACTGTGTAAATGTCACACACGTAACGGGAGAATCGTCCTGGTGCATTTTAAATGATTACCGCCGGGTTTCTGGTTTTTCACTCCTTATAGTGCAAACATTCATTCCCGTATTGATCGGAACATAAATGCACAAGTACTGCGTATGACTTTAACGAATCAGTATCGAATAATGCATGAAAAATATTAAATTTACCGTTTCATGAAGCTCAGAGATATCTACATCTGCCAACTGCTCATCTGGCACATCAATGCGAACCAAATACCGTGCAAGGTAGGCTCGCTTCTTGAGATCATTCAAATTCTGAAACAACCACTGCAGTATGGGATATATGACCGGTTTGTCGCCCTGAACCAGTCCTTGACGAAAAGCATTTCTAAGAGAAAAATTCATATCATTTTTTTTACTTTGAGGTGAACTTTATTGACCATATGAGCTAATATTAGAGGTGTGCTGGCCAGAGGCAAGACAACAAGAACTCGTTGTGGGCCCCGGGCCTTACGCGTTCCTTACACGATGATAAAAACTATGTAAGTTACAAATTTTTGTAGCCTACATATAGTCTCATTTCCCTGCTAGACAGGCAGCAATTTTGGTAGGGAACATTGCCTCTCGTGATTTGTGGTTATTTTACATTTCCCAATTCGCAGTTTTTCCCATTTTTCGAACGAAATGATGAAAAGTGGTGGTTGAATGCCAAGGAACTTCAAAAATTTAACTTACTGATGTCACCTTTTGTTGGGGTATAACAAAACGTCGTGTTACTAACTTTTTTGCAGGAGTTATTTTTTTCAATGGTGGAATTTTTGCCTAAAATTACTATTTTGTCCATGGTTTTTCTGTATTTTTGCAGAAGTCAATCGACCAATCAAAACTATTCAAAAAATGTTCAATATACCACATAGTCCACAAAAAGTTTGACTTTTTTAAAATGATATTAATTCTTTTCCCTTTTTCTGAAAACTCCCAAGAATGACTTACGTATTGTGTCATAGAAGTTAATAACGTGACGATATTAAGAAGCTAAAATTCGATGTGAAAATGACAAAAAGTCATCAATCCATGATGCTAAATGTACAAAAGACAAAACGTATCTATGCTTTCAGCATTATTTGGTTTAAAAAAAAGTTTTTGACTTTCACGTACGGATTGTCTATGTTTGATGTTGGCTTGTATTTGAGAACGCGGAGAAATGTCAACATGCGAACAACCATAGACTCAGGATCTTCACTGCGAATGTCCAACTTGTGCTGAAAATGAAAGCTACTTTTGAATGATGGCAAGTTGAATGCTAAATTTTTACCACTACCCGTCCTTAATAAGATATCAGAGAATTCCTCTAATCCTCAAAAGCCCTAGTGCCATAAAAATAATCCAATAATTGATAGAGCTTTTCAAGATCTATCAATTAAGTTCTGGTGGGACAAGAAGAGAATGTTATGAGGTACAATGCACGGATTGTACATCTTTCTTGGGAAGCCTGTTTCCCAATCCCTCCAACCTCCTAATGGGTTGAATGTATATAGACATGCCAGAGTAAAAAACCCACAACTGTCCTAAAACTTATTTATAACTATGCTATGTGTGTTTTATTTTATGTTCAGAAACGACAAAACAAAAATACAGACCTGTGAATCGACTTCAGCAAACACATCATTCAGAACTTGAAGCAAAGTCAGCGGGTTTAAAGAGTCAAAGCTAGAAAGAAAAATAGGACAGAATTATTAAATAATTCAGTGAAGCACTCAACTTTAAGCAATAAATTTGACTTATGTGGACTTTCTCACTCACAAGGCTCTATATATCTTTTGGGGATGCAATCTGTATGCTATTGCAGTCAGCAGTAAATTAGGGATTTCATGTTACGTAAATTTCTCAAAAAAGATGCATACATGGAATAGCCTTGCAAATCAAAAATTAGAAAACAAAAATTATGGTTTATGTGCTGAATTATGAAGAAAGGAAAGAAGTGAAAGATGAAAAACAAACTCAAAAAGCAGTATGGTGTATGCTCTACTCATTCTATTAGAAAGTTAAAATTTATAACAGATACAGAAGATACAAAAGCTACAAGATACAAAAGATACAAAAGCCATTTCCAAGTCTTCCCAGTTCCCCAAAACAGACATTTTAATTTTGGTTAGAATGCCATATGTATGTCCCTGACCTAAAGTTTTCATTGTTTAGCCAGGCATTTGTGGACAATAGTCTGGAAGACTCACTATGTTGATTTAACTTTAACACACCAAACCTTTTAATTTGACTATATATAACAAAATACTGCATGCTGGAGACAAAAAAGGTGGTTGGAATAAAAAGAAATACATACCTTATCAAGTTCAAGTTCTTGTTGAATGGCTTTTGGTTGAGATTGTCAACGATGTACTTCAATTGTTTACTCATAGTGCACTTCTTCCAATGCTACTAACGAGAATTGGTTGAAATATTAAGATAATGCAAACTTATATCATTGCATAAGTCATATCGAAACCAACATGCACGTGAAAATGATATTAAGCGGCTAAAAATGACTAGAATTTCGACAAAGGATATAGTAATAACTACAAAACATGTTTACAACTTTATAACTAGGTAACAAAACAAAAATGCCTTCCCACATATCTTAGCGATGGCGATGCTTCCTTCATCAAAACGATCATAACACGGGGATTTCCGATTTCCGAGTCTAACAGATTTTCTCATATATTCCCATTTAGTTTTATGACGAAACCTTTGTGGCAAAGTGAATTTTGTTCTTGTTCTCTGGTTGCTTTATTTATGTTCTGTTGATAATTCATGTTGTTAAGCTACTCGACGAAAGATGTCATCAGAAGAATATGAGAAAAGTACGTAGCATTGTATGAAGAATTTGTGCCTGTATTAATGAAATAATAGAATGCTATTAGTATACAAAGTAAATTGATGACTTGCAAATTTTCACTATACTGTGACATTGTTGACGTTCTGCAAAACACATTTTCATTTAGTAATTCATTACTGTTTAGTAGTTAGTTCAGTTGCGCCTGCAATTTTACGGTCGTTTCGAAAAACTATACATTTTTATGTAAAAGCTAATTTCGCATTACATTTTTTCGCCTGTCAAAGTGACCACCCAGAATAAATTTGTTATAACCATCAACATTTTGACTATGTATCTTCAAATACATGTGTAGTCTAAAGTGCATCGTTTTGTATAGTTTGTATGAAGCCTTATTTTAGCCTTATTTTAAAAGCTACATTACAATACAAGACATTACAATTTAAGATTAATTTTTATACGAATAATGTAAACTACTTAGGCGGATTGTGACATGTAGTTAAAATCAATGATTTGTCTATAAAACAAAAACAGTTTATGGCTTCTGCAACTACTATTCATTGTTTAGCTTGAAAGACAGACATTCTCAACAATCATCTTTTCCTTATTCCATTTACAATCTAGATGAAAATGAACAGGAAGAAGAGGATTCAGTTGATGGTTTTGAGGTTATCGAAAGGCTTCGAGGGCGAGATAGAACTTACTGGGACATAGCTTCTCAGCAATTTGCTCATCTTGATCTCTCCCGACGTCCTGTTTACCAGCAACTTGGTGTTGGTGGAATCTCAGGATGGTAATAGAACTTGATATCATGTATTGTTTTTATATTAATATCAAAAACATATTCAAAAACATAGACACATTCAAATTTTTTATGACAAGAATCTTTCAGTAACCAAATGATCACTTGGATGTAGTTGTTTTGCAAATTTGGAGATTTTTCTGGTGGAAAAAAATTCTTTGTGTAGTCTTTTTGCATGGGACACAATCTTTAGTTTTGCTTTTAAAATTCTTCTAAAATCCTTTGCTATATGTCTTTTACATAGTAGCATTGACGTCAAAAGTGCATACTTATAAATTTACTCTTCTAAGCACTTAAATAACTTTGCATGAAGGAAAAGGTTTTTTTATACATAACTATTTGCATATGAGAACAGTTATTTTTTATTTTATTATGATTAATTTTCACTTGTAAACTTTATGCTAACACTTTAACAATAAAAGATGTTTTTTGTGTTTGCACAGCTTATGCAAACCAATGAGAGGTTTGAGAGAATTCAAGAGCAGATCAGTGCAATACCTTGAATAAACAAGGTAAGACCACCTGCACCTGCTTGTGCTCAAAGCTTCTCACTAACTTCGGAGGTTTGCATAAGCCAGTGCAATCACAAAAAAATCTTTCATTTTTTTATAAAATAACAATAAAGCGAAACAGAGAAATTCAAAATAGATGTTTTAGTGTTTCCTCTGATATGTATTGGCTTAATTGATTGAGCTCAGATCTGCTTACCCAGGCTAATGCAATTATAGACGAATCAGTGCACATGTTTTATTGTTTTTTTGTAATTAATCTTTATGTTTACTTCATATATCACTTTGAACAATATTTACCTTAAATTCCCTACAGTCAACCCTCTATTTCCAAGCATTTTATGTTTTGAGTTATTGGATTGCATTATCCGCTGGAGTAAGTTGTATCCTAGTTCATGCACATTGTTTGAATTCACAGTAAATAAATTTTTTTGGCATACCAAGAAACTAGACCTATCAAGGTCTTATGAGGCAGTATGTGCGTACTTAGCCTCATTAAATAATGTCTTTGAATCTTGGTTTGGATTAGAGTCAGGGTTAGGTTTAAGCTTAAATTTATATTGTAAGTTATAAAGACATAAGTAGTTAGGTCTTATTAACGTTTGAACATTAAGTTCCGATATTGGATGACTATTTACGACGTAATTTATAAGTTGAGTATGATTAAGTTTTTTCCTTCAAGCTTCAGATTAAAGATTGCATAGCATTTTCTAAAAGTTAAACATTGTGCATTGTGCATGACCGTTTTTTCTTGTTCCTTAGGTTAGTTGGAAGCATATTTAAGAAGATTGGAAAACTGACCGCTCTCGCTGTTGGAAGTGGTTTGTTAGTTTTACAGGTATGGCGAAATCACAAAAACGTGTGAATAAGATTAAATTACGTGTCTGTTGTGGGTAAATTGATTGATCCATCTGGTGAGTATAGACAGTGCTGTAGAACTAAATTTATCAGGGGGGCTCTCTTGACGTTTTTGTTAATAGTGCCCTTTTAAAATTACCAATTCCAAAAGTAGAAGGGGGGCTCCTCCCCCAAGCGCCCCCCACTTTTACACCACTGATTATAGATGCATTTAGGGTTTTTGTGTTATTTGATAGCATGACTTGGAGAGAAATATGTAAATAAGAGCGATTGTAGAGAACAGTTTTGCGTGGAGAAATTTTAGGTGTATGTTCCGTTTTGTGTAGTATGATTTCCAGATCACACATGCAGTTAGGGATTGATGTCATCTTTGCACAAAACAACTTGCTTCATGCACCACAAAACAATTACAATAGATGGAAATAATTGGATGAAGTAGATTTTTGTAGCAAAACTTTGTGAATATGTTCGATAAATGTGTTGAAAGTTACGGTCCCCAGAGTCTTATTGAACCAGCAACTGGAAATCTTAGAGGAGTTTTCCAACACCAATATTACTCGTTTATTTAATCGTCATTCTTTTAATTGGAAATTCAATTGGAAACTTTTAATGAGTGGCAAATTTCCCCCATTCAGGACATTGATTAGAGAATATTGTAATTTAAGTATATTATTGCAGTTGAGGTGTTATGAACACATCGACACATTAGGATTTGGGATGCGAAGCTATTATATTATATTTTTACTTTTCACTTTATTAAATATTTGAGTATGCGCACGCTAATTTTGTTCGCTCACTGAGTCAATATTTACTAGAAACCATGGAAAATTATTATTGTTGTTGTTACAATATTTTAGTTGGAAGCTACACTCACAACAAGGTGATTTTCAAGCGGGTCCTAAGGTTATGATTATTTAAGTGTTAAGATAAAAAACAAAATTATAATACCTTAGTATAGGTGAATAATGAAGTGAAAAATATAACTAAAATATTATTATAAGATAGGATAAAAAACATATATATAAAGATTCAAATATTATTTCATCAGCTAAGATAGCATTATATACGTACTTCTTAAAAGAAGTCAAATTGTTCGATTGCCTTTGGTCTAAATTAAGGTTATTTAATTCCAATCAACGACTGGAAGATGTATATCTTGACGACAGTGGGTATTGTGGGAGTGAATTTCAACGTTTTGTACTAAGTTGATATGATAATTTATATACTTATTTATAAATACCAAAACAACGATGTCGGCATCGACGTTCGGATAGAAGCACCCAGTTTAGCTGTGCAAGGGCTTCGGTAGCTACCAGAAAGAATATTGGAAGATCTAGTATAATTCTTGGATATTATGCAGTCAAATTTATTTTTCTTCTCTGCCCATACGACATCACCGTAATCAATATAACGGTAAAATACTGTAATACTGTTATGTATCGCCAAACGATCATGTAAAGGCAGCAAGTGCTTAATGCAACGAAGAACTGTAAGTCGTTGGCTAACTTTTTTGCTAATGGCATCAATCTGGTCCCACCAGACATAATTTGCCACCAACCAAAAAACATAATTGTCACTGCTTTGCTTTTGGCCATTTGTAAAAACGAAATGAAAACGATTTGGACCAGTGACGTGAAAATTCAACAAGGCCAGTTGTTTTTTTATTGTTAGATCAACGATGTCATCTTTTGCTGTAGATTACCTCGCAGTCTGGTTATGTGACTATAAACTGGAAAAAAATTAACAAGGATGTGGGAAAAGTGTCTCGGTCCATGTCCAAAAAAGTTGAAGAATACACGTCATTTCGTAGCAGTGAGAACAGAGCCAAAAACTTTCTGTTGAAGGTATGCTGTATGATGTTTTATAGACTATGCATAATGAAAATAGATAGATATGGCTTGTATTTGCTGGTGATCGAAATGTGCACCATCTATTTTTAATGGGACTACACTACACTCGAGCACTCGCGTATATATATTGCTATGAACGATTGCTGTGACTTTAGCATCTATCGTTATGACTTTAGCGTCTAAAAAAAGTTGGAGAAATCGCATCATTTCGTAGGAGTAACACCAAAGGCAAAAACCTTCTGTTGAAGGTATGCTTTTTATATTTTACGGCTAGATATGTACGTAGCTACAATGCATAATGAAAATTGATGGATATGGTTCTTATTTGCGTCGAAATCGTGAGATTGAAACAAGCACCATCTATGTAACATACGGCTACCTTACTGATTTCTTCTTCTTTTCCTTTCGAGTGTTCCCTTACTCGGGGGTGCCACAGTGGGTTTTCTCTCCAATAAGATTCACCCATACATACTCTAGATCACCCCCATGTTCACCATCGATCTCTTACATGGCTTTCCTTTTTTCTCTACCATTGCACTGCCATCTTCAGCATGCGTTTCCCCAAATGACCCTCTCCTCTCCTCGTTACATACGTGTCCAAGCCACCGTACACCAGGCCTCGTTCAATTTTCTCCAATCCTTGTAATTTTTGCTGTGCCTCGAATGTTCTCATTCCTGATTTTGTCCTTTCAAGTCACTACAAGCGCCATCATTGCTGGTCCAACAACACTTTGATAAATTTTCCCTTTCACTTTTTAACAAATAAAAAAGGACTAAGTGCTGAGCGGACTAAGCGCAGTCCTACACTTCTTCAAATTCGTTCAACATCACAGTCGCTTATATGACTGTTGTTTTTTCATCTTTGTACATGTCTTTTCACTACTCTCGCATATCTTTCTCAAACTCCAGCTAGCCACAAGCATTGACTCGTGGTACTCTGTCATAAGCCTTTACTATGTTAAAGAATACGCAAGCAATGTTTTTTGTCCTTTGTTTTCCACTGTTCTATGAGCTTTCGTTACCCGAAAATTGCATCACTTGTGCTACTTCCTGGCATAAATCAAGGCTGTTGGTTGCCTTTTCCCACTTCATTTATCAGCCTTGCTTACACAACTTTCCAAATCATTCTAACTAACATTGCTATGTGAGCTATAATTTTGGTGTGTGGAATGAAAACCATTCAAGATGTCATAATCTTGTAAACTTTAAACAGCAATCTTAAGTCGTATTTCTACACAATTTTTTAAAATCATTTTTAAGTGAAGTGCATAGTATATACCAAAAAAAGTTACTTGTGGACGACCGATGTTGTGACTTCAGCGCTGTAACGCTTTTTCATTTCATAATTTTTTGCCCATCATAAAAAGTTTGATTTTCTTGAAATTAAAGAAAACTGTTACAAGAATCTCAAGCTTTAATTTTTTCCAAGGGTGGCCAAGTTGTGCAAAAGAACATTGTCGTCGCTAGTGGTTTTGCTGGTGGTTTTCTGCTCGGTCTTGCCACATAATCTGGTATCATCGAGGAAACTGAATTCCAGAGAATCTTCGATTTTACCGTTGTAGTATTTTTATCACGCGTTGAAATTGTACTATTTAAATGTACGGTGATATCATGATTTTACGATGTGCAATGTTGAGACTTGAAACGTATTATTGTTTAGTTATTTACGTAGATTTTATTCGACGCTTCGTGATTGAGTAACAGGGTAATGCTTTGCTCGCTAGGTTGACCGTTTTAAGGGACCTCAAAAATAGCGGCTTTCGAATATCAGGAGTGCAATAGAAAATAAAACATGAATTTCGAAGTAATAGTATTGCTTAATCTTTCAAACTTTTGCTACTCAAAAAATCCCCGTAAATTATGACTACCTGTTGTAAATGTACTGGTTTATGTAGCTTGCATGGGACACTACGTATATTTTGCAAAACGTTCAATGACGTAAATGGACAAGACAGAAGCACGCACCTTAGTTTATGAATCACGATGCAAGGGAAAATTATTAAAGAATAAGTTGCACGCGACATTGAATTGATATATCTGAAACTCCCCCAGATAAAACATAACCAGTCTAATTTTGATAATTACACTCTTCACACAACATTAACTTCCCGTATGTAAACATAAGTATGAGGCGCGCAAAGCATGACCCTGATATTCATTCTTATGGGTATTTGAATGAATTGGCGCTCATGATTTGTAGTCTTTTGCGACAAATGTAAACATAACTCATCGTGAAATTTGGTATTGAGGAGGTTTTTACAAACAAAATGTATATAAAAATAATCTGTATGAATAGATCATTAAATAGTGGTGTTGTAGCAATAATGTGAACATGGTTATTTGTATTTGAGGTTCATATGATGCTGTTTATACTGTTCTGACTTTACTTTATCTCTCTCCCCTCCTCATCATTGTCCCTCCATAATAGTGCTTTCAGCTTATTTTTACAGCAGAGGTTATGTCGTCATTTCACGTTACAAAAGTCACTTTTTAACAGAAATTATTTTCAATTTGTTGGTAGTATGACCTGTTGTTTGATCAATGCGGAAATTTTTTGTCAAATGATGTCATATCATGTCCATTGCTTTCACGTCTTATCCATTGGTTTCACACTTTGTCCATTGGTGTCACATCTAGTCCATTTTTTCACATCTTGTCCATTGGTTTCACATATTGTCCATTGGTTTTACACCTTGTCAAAGATTTTGCATCTTGTCCAAAGGTGTCGTATCTTGTCCATTGGTTTCACATCTTGTCCAAAGGTTTCACTTCCTGTCCAAAGGTTTTGTATCTTGTCCAATGGTTTTGGTAGCAGTGTCTCATATTTCAGTGCTTGATTATTGCTATTTCTGTGTTTATAGCAAGTGAGGACATTTATGCTTATGCTGTGTTATGCATATTTTTATGTCGCAATTGAGGACCTCTCTTGTCTGAGAGATGCATATACATGGTGCTTTAAAATAAAACTGAACAGTTAAATTAACGTCGCTAAATTTATGAGCGCCCAGGTTTGATATTAATGTTTTGTGGAAATCAAATATGTAGATGGCTTTCCGTGATTCATCTAACATATGCGTACGCGAACGCTCAGCTTCTAAATCACGGGATTAAAATATGAAGCTTTTTTATTTGCTGTTTTTTTTATCATCCTCGAGAATTATGCGTGTTACTTAATATAATATTTGCAACTTCAAAATAACGCATAGTTGATGCGATTTTTGGCATTTGAAAACGAAAAACCCAAACCAGCCCTCCAACAAAAATCACCTGCTTTGTCGGAATTTCTCAGAGGTGAAAGAAACCAGTTGTGCCTGCAGGGGGGGGGCACAAGGTTGATTCTGTTCTTATTAAGTTATTATACTTGTTTATACTTCGTACAAATGATCTTGAATGTTCAAAATATAATTGGGGTGAGGGAATCGCTCCCCTCCCCCTTGCCGACAGCACGAAAATAAACCTCGACACAAACAAATTATCCATTTGAAAAAACAATACAGCGATTTAACGCTCCGCAGTTTTTCCAGCCCACTTTACCAACGCCTTTATATTCACACAGCTCACTCACACTCGCCGACGCAGGAATCGCGTTCCCAAAAATTAATTGCAAACTCGTTTCTCCATCCAGCGCGAGATTTTTGCTAAAATATTTCAAATCAAACAATCAGCGCATACCTTCAGTGGGTAAATATGTGGTGATTTCGAAGCATTAGTCTGTAAGTGCGAAAGTGAGCTTTCAGAATACGGAAGACAAAGGTCGACAAAAGTCGCGTCGCGCGGCTTTTTTTGTTATTGGTGGTGCGAGACCTCCAACTAGGTCTAACGAGCAGAGTATTGTGGCAATGACTGAGATGTGAAGCGAAAGAGGTAAACTGTCCAAGATGTTGGCGCGAGTCAAATTACGTTTAGGGTGCAAATTTAATTTAACATAAATTATATTTCGCAAGTGAATTTTTAATCAAGTCTCCAGTTTTCATTCTCGTCGACTCTCCATAAATGATCAAGTATTGACCGCTCTTCAAAAGCAAATAACGGAAGATGCATTTGCAATTTCCAGCTACATATTGAACGTAGTCGAAGAGCATTCTTTTATGTGACATCGCAGACTACACTCGCAAAGTACAGAATTACGCTCGGTACGTTTATTTTAAATATGGCATGCCGGTGGTGAGATCAGTTATTTGTTGTAATTGAACCCTTTAGCATGATTCTATAACATTGTGAAAAGGTTATCTGTTTTGCACAAGGCCAATTTAAACTGGCATCCTCAGTTTTTGCCAGGTTGCTGCGGTTGTTGCGTATTATAGAATTTATATATGTTCTGAAAGGCTTGTTTGGTGTGGTAGTGACCTTGTTCCTGTAGACCCTTTGTCTAAGTGCATTCGACCGAACCGTCTACTTCGCTTTGGAATATATCTGCTCGTTCACTTTTCCCGTCCGAGTCATTCAAAATTCACGCAAGCGTTCATTGCACGTGAAGGAGCAAAACTTTACGATGTGCGAAATTTTCAATCCTATGACCGCAATAACTAACACGTTGTCGTCAAACAAAAATACGTATCTTGTCTGCAGTCTATTGCATTTTGAGAATATATAGTAAGTTGTTGCATGCTGTGAATAGATATATTTTCTTGGATATTGCAGTCGGCGGCAATCACATGCATTCATTTTAAATCATACGAGGCACGAGAGTGTAAACGCACGCAACTGCGCGGCACTTTCATATCTTCAATATGGCGAACACGGAGTGCTGACTACGACAAAAGAGCAAGGCGAGTTCATTTTGATTTCATCTAAACACATTTTGGCACGCAATTATCATGCTTATTTTTACTAACATGCTCATAATATCAAAAGACATATTTAGAGATGGAAATCATGTGATAAATTCAGCAATATAAGCCCGTGCTAAAAATTGATATGCGATCGGCTTAAAAATCACTTTATGTTTACATAACTTCAAGTGAATCAAATCTTTAACCATCTAAAAAGTATCTCGTTGAAAATAGCACAAATCTAGTACAACTGGCTCTTGGTCGATCACAATTAGTGCATGTATTCGTTCTCAATTGATTTACATAGCGAGATTAAAATGTATTGGCAAATAGACCACGAAATGGTAATAATGACAAAATCGCTGTTATTCTGCAGGAGCTTCTAAAAATTCTTGCTCTCTCATGAAATTTAAATTGTGTTTCCAAGTGCAAAAGGCCTTCAAATCGGCAACAGCACCGGGACAATAAAGGCGACAAAAAGCGTTGGTCTGCATTGTAATCTCTTTAGTTGCATGTCTTTTGTGTTTTATTTTTGAACAGCACTCGGCTGCATGAATGTCGGCATAACTTGAAAAAATCGGACTGTTCTTATACATTTACGTTGTATATATATCTAAATTTATCGTTGGACAGGTTGCTTATAAAGTATCCGTTTGACTACACTTTAACTATACACAAATGGTAGAAATTGAATGATCTACGAATCTGTAACAAGCAGTTACCTTAAGAAATTATTTATTCAATATTTTAATAAGTAATTATTATTGATGTGAATTGGACATGGTTGGCATCGAGTGGTTGGCATTACCACGTTGGCATGTTAAAAATGATTGCGCTCTGACCTCTGTCTAGCTAAAGCAGTGTTGCTCGGTAACTCGTTTTTCTTTCTCTTCCTTTATCACGTTCCCCAGCAATATTTACCGCCCTGAGTCGGGAGATAAATTCCACTTTTGAAATAGTAAGCCTTCATTTTACTAATAAGGACATTGCTGTGTTAACAATTTGTGTCTCTGATTATTATTTGCACACCCCTTAATTAAACTACAGCAAAAACTCTTTGACTCGTGGCATCGTCGAAAACTTGTATGAACTTGTAATCAGGTATACGTTACCGCAGAAGGCATCGTCTTTTCCACGGAAGTTACCGCAGACGGCATCGTCTTTTCCATCATCTTTTCCATTGCCTTTACGTCGTCTTTTCTAACGACTTTCCATGCAGCAGAAGGCATCATCTTTTCCATCGTCCTTTCCAATCTTTATTTACTACTGAAGGCATCGTCTTTTCGACGGTACAGTTACCGCAGAAGACATCGTCTTTTCCACAAAATCGATCTATTTGACAGATTCCCTTTGAGATCTCGATGATACTCACGTTGGAAGATTGTTTGTGGTGTTTGAATTTCGCATCGTCAAAAATTTCAATAGTTGCTTCCTTTCTGCTTTTTCTTGTTTCACAGTAAATATTTTGTTTCAGCTGTTTCACGTCTTCCGGTCGATCCCAGCGCAATGAATAGCAGCTTTGACTCCTTCGATCAGGCATGGCGATGATACTAAGCAGAACTCTTTTTACATAAGCAGTTTTCATGCTCTTCATCAGTAGTTTTTCCTCTTCCATTGGACCCGTCTTTCTCCTCTTCTCTTCTAAAATGCTTTTTAATGACTCCAATCAGAATCATGGGAAACATCGACATCGTTCAAGAACTTTCCACATCTTGACGTCGTGAAAGTGGTAGAGTGAAAGATCAATAATTTTCGTTTTCTGCCTTTTCTCGTACCGAGTAATTGTGTGAAAAAAAGCATTACGGATTCGGCTCTTGTACCCATTTAGAACAATAAATATATCAATCGACTTTATAATGATTTACTTTCATGCCTCGACAAAAAAGCAATTCTAAAACGCGCTAAAACTTGCTTGAATCTGATAGTATTTCAACAAGTGCCGGAGTGCGATAACCTGGTTCGGGCGAAAATCTGCAGGCCCTTCACACTACGTATTACCCACTAGCTTCTTCTATTTATAATTTCATGTTTCCTAAACAAGTTTTAAAACTATGTGCTGAATACGTGCCTCCCTGTACACGTTACTCAGGTGTCGTCCATAGATGGACTCTTAATTACTGACAGCCATTTTGAAAGCTTGCTTCTCCTATAGACTTTCATTTACTTGAAGTACTGGTAGTTAATGCTAGGAAGAAATCGCGCCAAATTTGTTATTAGAACATGGCGTAAATGAAATGGCAATATGGCGCACTCTAAAATAGATAGCTTTTTCACTAGTCTGGGACCGAAGCGAAAAAAGCAAAAAACTATATTATTTGTGAGTTCGATAACTACAATTACAAATGTCAAAATGCCACGCCCCTACCAAACAATTTTGTTATTCAGCCCCAGAATGCAAAACATCTTCCGCTTAAAGACGCTTAGAAAGATCAATGCGTTTATGTAATCATTTTGTTTTTTCATATAGACGCGCCATGAAAATTGGGAGGCTTTCTGGTCGTGTAAAAGACGGCAAACCGTCATGGATTTTCTTGGCTGTGTCATGCTTTGTCATGTTTCTAACTAGTGGAACCATAGAATCTTTTACCGTGCTTGTGGTTGTCTTCATGGAGTATTTTGACGAGACCAACGCAAAAATAGGTAATCCTTACACTCTCGAATTATATGATGATATGAAATTTAACGAACGTATCGACTTCAGGGGATCAAATAAAACACGGCTGCCTGTCAAAAAGTAGTAATAATTTGATCCAGTTTCAGTTACATGAAGCAAATATTAGATTAATAGTCTTGAATGTTGAAAAATTTTCCAAAAAAACGGCAGCAAAAGCTCATTAGACTGTGAGATTGTGAATTGATCCAGCCTTGCTCAGGTTGGACAATTGTGATGCGAGTGCGTATCCATAACCCGAATGACAGTGCGGCATTTGACGTTTTGTGCATTCAGTGTGTCGCAGTGGTTGACACACATTTTTTAAATTGTGCAGAATTGTAAAGAAGTAATCCACGTTTGCCCCGACTACCTCAGGATCATTATGGCGCATGTATCTCAGATTCAAACTCTAACTTGGTTAGTTAAAGGCGATAGGACATTCTTCAAAAATTGTAAACAAAAATTGTTGCTTTTATGGTATTTTGAATTTATATGTGAACCAATGTAATGAAGGCTAACCGACGTACTCTGGTATGAGTCAAAAAGGAAAGTGTTAAACTCAACCCAATTTTTTGTAGCTAATAGTGTACAGGAAAGTGGAACTGTACACTATTATGAAATAAGTTGAAGTTCTCATTGTCTAACCTGTATATTTTCTCGATCTCAATGAGAATATTTCAGCACCTGTTTCATCAATGGAAAAAACCTCTACGAATAAACAGGAATACTCAGTCTTTTTCCCTCCTTTTGACGTTTCTGGTTTTATGAAATTAGTCATGGGTTGAGTAGCCTGGGTATTGATCTTTGTCCCTTCACACCCCACTTTGTTCATCCATAGAAGACTGTGAGCTAATCAACGTTCGCAAAGCGCACCTTTTTTGTTTATTTGTCTAATTTTATCATTGATTGTATCATCAAAATACATGTGACGCTACCTACTTTATGATCAAATGCCAACACAGCGACAAAACGAAAAACGAAAGAAAATATATTTTCGACTTTTTTTGCAATGAGCACCAACTTCTTGTTGGTTTTCTTTTCAAAAAAGCAGCAGTTCAATCCATTGTCACCTTGCGAGAGAATCTCGAAACACTACACACACGTATCTGGGTGTAACCTCGCGTGTATCCTGGCTTAAGTTTTGGCTTTAAAAAATTATTAAACTTTTTTATTACAGGTAGCGTTCCATGTATTTTAGTTCAATAAATTGTATTAATTTTTGTCAGTAGCTGATATCTTGTCATGCAAATGCCTTAGAGATACATATATATTGTTACCATTGCATAAAACCTTTCTTTTTTATACAGGCTGGTTGGGTTCTATAACCTTTGCTCTGTTATGTGTTGCATTTCCTGTTGCCGTTTTTCTTAGTCGTCGTTTAGGATTTCAAGTTTTGATTTTCGGTTCGGGAATTTTAATTACAACCGGTTACATCGTGACGCCTTTCATGCCTTCAGTGAACTATGTGTACTTCACCTACAGTTTAGGAGTTGGTTTTGGTATAGGCTGCGTTGACTGCCTGTCTATCGCTATTTTACCAGAATTTTTCGACAAGCACCTTGGTCTGGCAACTGGCATCCGCTTGTCAAGTATTGCTGCTGCTTCTATATTATTCAATTTTATGGTTCCAATATTAGTCGTCGAGATAGGCTGGCAAAAACTTTTTTATTGTTTCTCTTCGGTGGGACCATTAATTATCTTATATTCGATGTTCTTTCGGACAGACCATCCAGAACATAGGGAAGGCAATGCGGTACCTGACGAACCCGAAAAAAAAGGAAAGGAGGTGCTTCCTCAAGCATGCGAAGAAAAATTTGATTTTAAAGATGCGTTGCTTCGTGATCGTGGATTGCAGTTAATTTTAATTGGCTGCATGCCATATTTGTTTGCAGTTTTGGTGCCAGCAATGTTCATGGTAGGTGCAACCATACTTTCGTAATATGCATATCTCTTCACCTGCTGTAGTAACTTTCAACTTCTTAACTCTTTAACAGCCATGTCTTTTCTATCTCTGTATTTCCCGTGGTTTTCTTTTAGTTGCCATGTGGCAACCAGTGGTGGATCCAGCAGGGATTTTTTAGCGTGGTGCTTGGCTTAGTGGTCATCTTAAGTTCAGCGATCGGAAACCAATTATTTATTATGCTAATCATTATTTAAAAATGGATACTAGTTCTCCTTGTGGTCAACAAAATGATATCAATGACGGTCATTAAACTTCAATGATATAGGCAATTAAGGCTTTTTCTTTTAACAATAGGATGGATTTTAATTTAATTTTTTCAATTTTCAACCCCTCTATGTACCCCTGTGAACCTTGCTTACAGAAGTGAGCTCCCCTGTGCCCCTTCCTCCATAAATCTACCACTGACTGCAGCACTTCTTCTAAAAATAATGCAACAATTATACAGTTTAGTAAGACTTCATTCACTTCGTCAAAGTGAAGCTGTATTTATAAAACTAGCTAGGAAAGTTCATTAACGACTGATCTTACGTCTTTCAGGTGGCTTATGCTAAATCTCTCGGCTATGCTCTATCACAATCCAAATGGCTGATGGTCGCGCGTGGTATTGGTTCACTAGCGGGACGACTCACGATGGGGTATATCGGAGATTTTTCTTTGAGACGCCGTGTTAGCGTTCACATTGCCTGCGCAATCGTCGCTATTTTTGGCCTAGCTTGTGCTCTATGCTCCCTCACGCGATATCTGCCTCTTATGATACTATTCATGGCTATTACGGGTCTTTTGGAAGGAATGTTCTGGGTGCTTAATCCCTTAATGATGCACGAACTAGCTGGAGGAGCGAATGCTGACTACGGATTTTCGCTTGTTGTTTTGTTAGTAGGTGTAGCGTTTTTTACAGGACCTTCGTCGATGGGTAAGGATTTGTACAACGTCTGCATATAAGATGTTTCAACTCTCGGCTTCTTGTGTATTCCTGAGCCGTGTCGCGTTTCATTTCCATGCAATGATGGAGCAATGTTTGCTGGCTCAGTTACCCTATCAAATAGCATTTAGTAGAATTGAAGTTGATTTCAAACTTGCTAGCGGAGTTAGTTCCGCAAGCACTTAACAAATTTTAATAATTTAACCACGGTATTGTTTCGATATCCATTTCGATAATAAAAATTGTATGATGGCTCGTATTTATAGTTCCCAAAAATTTTACAAACAAACTTGCATGCATTGCGGCAAATATTTTTATCAAATCTAAAACTCAAAGCTATGAGTCTTCATCATGGTTGTTAAGAAAGGCTTGAACAATTGCTCACTTGGGCGTGCGTGATATGTTGACAAGTAGTATTAAAGTAAGGGGGTTAATTTTTTGACCAAAGAAGCTTATGATTTTTTGACAAAACTTTTTCATCATTTTGGAAATCATAATTTATAAGCAAGAGTGTAAGAGTGAAATTAAAAAGCCTTATGACCTTCCTCGTGCAGGCTATTGGATGAAAAGCTTTTCTTGATAGCATAAGGTTAAAAATTACCGACTGTTTTTGCTGGAAAAAAGGGAGAGTATCGTAAGTCTGCCTCCTCCGCTTCGTACTCCCCTGAATGCACGCAAGCTTGTGCTAGTTGTACAAATAGCTAGAACAAACCGTTTTTAAATATTATCTGCATGTATCGAGTATTTGGTAGAAATCATGATCGCCTCTGGATATTTTTGATAGCTTTTCTCGTGTTCTATTTCATCGGCTTTAATGCTGGTTTAACCCAAAATCTAGACGTCCTATCACTAGATTTTAGTTCCATGTACTCCAATCACCAAACAATATTTTCATTTTTACAGGTCAGTTGTACGATGCCACAGGTGACTTTCGTGTTGTCCTCTATATTTTATCCGCATGCGGAATTCTATCCGCCATCATTATAGGAATGGGCATTCACATTAGGGAAAGAAAAACAGCTGGAAATGAAACATCGATTGTCAAGCAAGACATTTGCAGCATTCCAAAGAATATTTCCGATCACTCTCAGTCAATTTTAAAAAAACAACTCAAGAAAGTTACCATTTATGATCTATATATAGCAGCTGAACGCGAAACCAGAGTGTAACAATTGAATTGCATCGAAGTGAAATTTGTTGGGAAATAGCACGTGATACTAAAACGATAAAAACTCATCAAATGTAGTTGTTCTTGTCTGAGTCCATGAGAAGCTACAAATTCTCTACTCGGTCAGTCTAGGAAAAGATGTCTTTCATTTTGAATGTGTCTATGGGAGAGAGGAAATAGCGACTATTTCTTACAATGATTGGTTAAAAAATTAAATGGTGTAGCAATTTTTCTCATAGATAATTGGACGTAGCTACCTCCATTCCATGGCACCTTTTGTGTATAAGTATTCTGCATGTGCGTAAATCCAAATTTGATTGGGGTAGATCATATATTCATACATTTTGTTATGCCAGGCTGACTTGCTTTTAAAGTGAACTAGTTTTGAAAAGATATTAGCCAGGCATAGCAGAATTTATTTGAATATGGTCCCCTCTATCAACGTAGAATTGATGGTTATTGTATTCTGCGGCAATGGTTAACCAACTTTAAGTTTTTATCTGCGCATTGCAAATTATTAGCTACTCTGCGCAGAGTTGGAAAATTTGCGTCTCTCTTCTATACCATTTATTTACTTTTTTCTTGACAACATCGAGTAATTCTAATTGATAAATGGCAGTTGCGCTCACTGGCAAAATTTTTAGAAAAAATGATATAAGAAAGGTATATATAAGTTATCTATCTTTTAAAATTATCTAGCAATTTGAAAATCGTACTTCCTAGGATACATCAAAATAAAACAAATTCCGAAAACAGAGTTCTCGTTTTCTTGATATTCAAGATGATACAAGATTTTTAGACAACAGATTGTGTAATATTTCGTCTTTATTCCAGGGATATCAGACTAATAGTTTACAATGCAGGCTGCGAAACTTTTATATAATTATTTACAAGCGGAAGTGACAGTTACGTAATTAGAGAACTACAAGACTCAACGATTAGGCAGTATACTTACATTTAAAATAGAGATAACTTCTTACAGACGTTGAGACCACTATTAAGTTGTGGCATATTGCGTTTTATCAAAAGCGCTTCTAAGATGAGAAGTTGATTAGGATTATTATTATTACAGCGATATAAGATTTTTGTGTTACTTGGATCAAAGTACAAGAATTAAATGGCACACGCGTAAGATTGGAGTCGGAGTCAACGTCAGGAAGTGGGAAAAGGTGTGAGATGTAGTTGACGTCTGGACAAATGAGTAAATGTTGCGAGATAGCACTAGAATTGTTGTAGTTAGTAGCATGTTGGGTTAGTCTTGTGTGTAGGTTTCGTTCAGTTTTGCCAGTGTATGTATGACCACAGCCAGGACATTTAAATTCATATACAATATTGGGAATTTTGTCAATGACTCTCGTAAAATTTTCATTGGAATACCATATCTAGGCAAACAGGGTGAACGCTTGGTTTTCAATCTTCTTCGTAAAATTCGCCGTAGCTTAAAAATTCCCATCAAACCTATAGTTATATATCAAACAAAAAAGACATCAATTTTCTGTCCCAAAAAGGACAAAATCGATATTATATGCAATACATTAATATTATATGCAATAATTTGGCCATAGTATATTTTTCACCAACAGAGTTATTGTAGTTTTGGGGGGGGGTTTTCGAGCAGTTTTAGATGTATTATCTACCCTGGATCGTCAACTGGTACTGATGAATTAATTATAAACTTATTTATCATATGAACAGTGTGATTGCTTAATCAGCTGTCATTAAAGTTTTCTAATGGCTTAAATAACGATTTAAAATGAAACATCTAAAAAAAAGATTAAAAGTTGCTCGAACAAAAAGCTTAATTTCAGAATTATGAAAAACAGGTGTAGTGGCATTGGTAGTTGCCCAAAAAACTCCGAATAGCTGGTTTATATATGTCACGTCATGGCCGCCGTGTTTGTATTCAATTACTAAGATCATTTTATCAATGCCGCTATGAGCCCCAGCCGTCGTAGGTGAGCTACATTGTTTGGTAATTCTGTGGAGGTTGATTGCAGTTTAAAAACTTTAAATAGGACAATTTGTAAACCTGCATTGTGACACTTGTAAACATTATTGAATGTAAACATTAGAGAGCAGCTTTTTGTAGGCACCTTAAATACGTAAAGACCATCATTCCCCATACGCGCAGTTTGCATGCATCATTAATATTTTAATCATGACTTATCATTAGTACTTATCATTACACATTTTTTAATCTATTTGCAATGATTTATTACTGTACAATTATTTAAAAACTAAGTTGAGTGCCCGGCCTATAGTGCTAGTGCAGAGTGCTATAGTGCAAGTATAGTCAAATCATTAAGTACTGTCAGACCCATTAAGCATAGTTAAGTCATTAAGTATAGTAAAATCATTAAGTACAAATCAATAACTGCGTTGTAGAAATCCGAAGTCATCTTCTCGTTTTTTATTCACCGATGCGTACTTTCCAAAGGCAACAGCTCAATGTTCATCCTTTCATCGACATGCATTCTTCTGTGGGTGACAACCTTCATAATCAAAAGTACCATCAATGATGCAGTCAAAAGGATCTATATTACAGATACGACACCTAACAGTATCATCTCAAATACTTCAAGTAAGAAAATCCATCGTGTACTAACATCTTCTTTGGAAAATCTGTAAATTGATTTGTACATATTTGTACATAAGCCAGTACTACGAGGCTTAGTAGAGAAATGGTTTCCGCTTTGTTAGCACGAGGGTTTTGGAATGGTTTCACTTGGTTATGATGTAGTAATGCAGATGTATAATGTAGTAACACACAGATGATGGCCATTCACATGAGTCGAAGAGTGGGATCAGTGATAAAACAACTATGAAATGTCAAGACAAAACGTCGTGCAATGCTCTGCCAGTAGACAACACCTGACTTTCCCTCTTCAGGCTTGCGAAATGGAGCGAGAAAGATGGATTTCAGTGTATCTGTATACTCAGTGCTTTTTACTGTCCTGTTTACAGGTCTTCTATAAATACCCAACCTTCGCAGAAGATACTGTAAACACCAAAAGATGGCAAAAGGAGGGGGGAAACAAAAGCGAGAATGAATTGTTTTGCTGAAACCATTTCATTGTGCAATTTCACGGCAGCCAAAGCTAACATCAAGAAGAAGGGAATTACTACATAAGCGTCAATCATGAACAGTGACTGCCACCATTGGTAGCATACTATGTAGTATGTTAATATAATCTACTATATCCTAGCAGAATTAAATGCATTGTTGCTCCCAAGTAGCGTTGGATTTTGGGAGTGCCGGCACTAAAGACCTTAATTATAAAAATATGGAAACCACAGATAATGAATATGGCCAGTAAAGCTGCAAAGACAGGTGCAACATAAAACAAATGTTTTCCTCTTGCTGGTAGTCCGCGTATTGGACATACACCTCCGAAATGACCTCCTTGAAAATTGAAAAATCTTTGAACAGGAATAATTATTTGGACTTTCAAAAGTCGTTCTATGTTTGTATCTGTTTGCAGTAAGTAAGAAACCTGAAAGAAATAGAAAACAATATCAAGAAATCCTGCGGAACTCGTGGGTTCATTTTCAATTTCTTGATTGTTAGTTATGAACGAAAACAAGTGTTTTTTCAGAAGGTTGAAAAAACAGAAAATCTCGGGTTGAAGTATAAAAAGCAATGCCCTGATCAAAGTTATCACAATAAACACAACCCAAAACCAATAATCGAAACATTTTCCTGTCAATTTACAATCTAATGAGAACAAACTTTCGCTTTAACCAGGAGAGCAACCACCGCAAATCCAACCTTCACGCTTTCCTTGGCATGTGTTGTAGCCATCGTGCTGGTGGTTTTTTGCACAACTCCAAAACAATAATCATCAGGACACCTGGTGAATTGTAAAGATTGCATATTTTTATTGCTCAAATATCCCCAGAAGTCTGGCTTTGATTTGATGGTTGTAAAGCACTTGGCTCCATATGGACAATGGACAAGGTAGATAAGAAAATGGATGAACTGGTATCAACGCTGTAGTATTGCCACGCTGTAAGCTGTACGTGCCTTGAGCACACTGTGTACAATCTAAGCGTGTACAAATCAATGACGTGATATTATCAAAATCCACTTTCCCGCCACTAGAAATCAAAACCAAAGGATCAACTGACTTTATCCCTTGTAATGTAGTAGTATTTTGGAAAATGAAAAAGGACCTTCACTGTACGTATGTACGAAAGTTTCAGTATAAATAGAATTGTGAGCTAATGTGTTGTAAAAAGAGCAGTTGTGTAAATTTAAACTGTTTGAGCCATAAGATGACCTCTATCATGGGCATAATTGTTGATAAAGAGACAATTATTGAAACATATTATTCCGTTTTCCAGGGAGACTGCACCACCTAAATTGAGCTAAATTTTCAGTAAACTTTGTTTGCTTTATTTTTGCAGAATTTTTGTAATCCTACAAGCGCAACGTGTGTTTCTTACATCTATGATTTTCTAAAATATCGCTTGCAGTAGTTATTGCCAGACCACCGCTTGTGTTAGAAAGTGCTATATTGTGTTGAAATACTGGCTGATCAACATGAATCGTACTTCCATGATTAACATCTAGATATGCAGCACTTCCAGCATAAGAGCTTGTGTTATTCTTGAATGTTGTGCTGAATATGTTTATCGTTGAATTGATAATAAGGAAATAAAGTGCTCCACCAGGATCACTTGCATTATTTGATTCGAAAACTGAATGCTTCCAAAGAAATTCGTCGTTAACACCGTCTACATTCAAAAATTCTTCACATTTCACATGATTTTGCTCAAAAAAAATCATTTTTTTCTCATGATTTTTGCTCTATTGAAATTAAAAACAGTGCTGAATTGTGCTGAATTGTGCTGAATTCCCTTATTTGCAGCGTAAATCCCACCGCCTTTGTACAATGCAGATTTACGCGAAAATGTGACATTGCTCAAACAAATCATAAACCTAATAACGTCTCCAATAGATATTTCTCCACTCCACGAAGCTATGTTTCCTATAAATTTTGTGTGATTGGCTAACAACGTCACTGAGAAGAATTGGCTTTTGTGTTTTCTAGTACTGACAAAGACCCCTCCGTCACCTTCAACTGCAGTATTGTACTCAAATAATAAATATGAGAACTTCAAACGAATGATTGTTGATACCAAAATAAACATGCCTCCGCTCTTTTCGGCATTATTCACTGAAAAAGTTGAGTTATTTACATTTAAAAATAACCGACCATGATTTCCAAGTCCACTCCTAACATTAAAGCTTCCACCGACACTTGCATTGTTCTTGCGAAACAAGGATTGATCGATGTATATTTCTGCATGTAAACGTTTCAGGACCATATCACTGCGCCCTGTGACGCAACATTTGAAATAAATGTGGAGTTATGAATCCAGACGGTGAACTCTGATGACACAAACATAATTCCTCCATACAAAGCTGAGTTAGATATAAAATTTGAATTGAGTATTTTCATCTCTTCAGTGACAGATGTATTTGCAATTTTTTCCCGATACGTAGATCACGCCACCAAAATAACCAACGCACACCAAGTTTTTGAAATTAGAATTTTCATTATGTACACTGAAATTACTTGCATGACTATAGAGAAATCCACCATTGAAATTGTTCGATCGTCCATTACTTATCATACAGTTGGTCATTACGAAATGCATTATTTCACTTTCTATATAAAACGTCCCTCCATGATTTTTGTCTACTTTATACTTATCTATTTGTGTGTGAGTAATACGAATGTCTGCTCTTATTGAGTTGATCGAGAAACGTTGCTGTTTACTATTCTTTACCTTCGTGTTCGTTATCACTACAGAAATTATTTCAGCATTTAAAACGAAGAGGCTGTTAGTCACCATAGTGTCATTCAAACCATCATCTTGTAGATCTCCTTTTTCCATAACATGTTTAAAGCTATTGGTGCTTACGTATGCCATTCTCATCAAACGAACATAGTTATTAACAATACTTGTATTTTATATAAAATATTTTTGTGCAACAAGACTGAAATGATTCGACCTTCTTGTAGAAGAATTAAAGTTTTTTGTTTAACATTTTTTCTTATAGCTTGATTACCAGAGCTCAGGATAAATAGAATATGACCAAAGTATAACTTAGAGATAATTTAGTGAAAAATGCGTTTGCACAATTTGTACAAATATTCATTGCATTTTCAGTAAAAATTTCTTGCCAAAAATTCAGCAATAGGCTGAAGCAGAAACAACAGTCTATGCAAAGATGTCTTTTAACTAGCGATAGCTTATTTATGTCGTTGCAATTAGACTACAGTAAATGCAATAATTTTACTCGTATAAAGCTACAACTTGGCAAAGCTGACAATGCTATTATTTATGAATTAAAAAGAATAAAATATATCAAGTGGCTGGGTATTGCATATTTTTTGCCTAACACTGGACACGCCCCTGGCTAGTAGTGGGCTATACCAAAAATATCGATTTGCTGATTACGACTACTTTGTGTATAAAGTATCTTTCCATCCTATACTCAAACGATTACTGATCCTGTAATTCTTTAATATGTGAATTTCACTAAATTTCATCAACCAGAATTCAAACATCCAAGATGGCGAGTTTAGACGCATACTTTTCTTGCAAATTTTTTTATGAGTGTATGCTAAGATGAAAAGTACAAAATTGTAAAAAATTTACATTTCTCAGATGTGTATCATAAAACAAAACAATTTGGTTTCATAGCCCACATATTAGGTTTGCTTTGAGATATAGAATTACTTGTGGTTATGAAAATGTGGGAGAAACTCAAAATTGCTTGGAAACACTTCGTGCTTGTGCTTGCCAAGTAATTTCGAGTTTCTCCTAAACCTTCCTGGGAGTTTCTGTTACTCTACAGAAACATGGAAAAGAGTTTCCATCTTTTGTATAAAAAAGGGAAGCGGTTACTTTTTTATGTACAGTACAAATTTTATATTTTTGTCGAAAATACCAACTCTTGCTTGCATTACGTCAACTTGCATAATTTCGAAATAGCCATACAACCAAACCTTGCGGGCACTCTTCGTAATCAGTGCTTTGCAGTCATATTGTGATGGTATTTCTGTTAAATTTTTTATGTGTAGAAGTTTACTATCAAATCGTGCTTTCAAATGCAAGTATGGGAGAATTCATCGAGTAATTGAGCATTGATGAGGACCAGATGAGGGCACCTTTAACCAAATATGGAAATAACATCAGAAATATGGTGTTCATCTATCGATTGTCAGATTAAAGAGTCTTCTTGTGGTGTAAAAATAGAAACATGCACAACATGATAATAATTATAAAAAGTGAGACTGTGAAAACAAAAGCTTTTCGGAAATATAGTTCTATTGTGGCTGCGTCTTGCTTCCCGAATATTGAGGCAATAAATGATGCAAGAGCTGTTGTTGAAAACAGTGCAATATGAAAATAATGCACGTGGAGAATGAATCCCAGTAAGTATGACATCACTCAGGTGAAAATATCATCAGACATGAAACATATACCTCATGTTTCAATACTGCTAAATCTTCAACAGTGAGTGTAACAACGACCGGCACCAGGGACTTGTGGAAATCAACCGACAGCGCACGCTCTACAATGGCTAGCATAGTAAAGAGAGGTAACATAAAGTCATAAATAAAAACTTTAGACTATGTTGACTTGACTGCCTGAAACGGTTCATGCATGTAAGAAAAAAATACAAAAAAATCGCCATCGTTTGACACAAAACTCTGAGAGATCTTATCACTTGCCGAATTTATTGAAAATTAAAATCTGCTTCACCATGCTTGCCTATAAGGTAAAACCCCCACCTTGCTGGTAACTATACGATTTATTTTATATTACGCTTTGCCGGATGACATTTAATAATGGATGATACCACACATTGCCCACACGAAAGTACATGTTTAAAGCAATATACCACTAAGCATTGGAACCACACTATAGCCCTATTGACACGACATAAACTAACCCAGGCTTAACATTCTTAAAATATTGGTTGAGTTTAACCCAGTAGTATTTACACGCAAAAATTAACCTGAGTTAAACCCAGTTAGTTTATGCCGTGTGAATAGGGCCTAATTTTTACAAGCTGTGATCGCACAAATTTCTTACAAATTAAGTGCGACGTGTTGTAGAAAATTGTTTAAGTAGAAACGTAGGGGACTATAAATGCACAGTAACCTCAAAGTTAAATTGCTGCAATCAAATACATGCATTCCAAGTTAACATCCAATTTCCGAAGTTTCGTCAGGCGCAGATTCAGTTTTATTGCAATTTTCTGTATCTGAATAATGGAATGTATGTTCACATCTTCAATATAGTTTCATTGCAAGAAATTTGCATTTTCTCATTTTAGCTCGTTTTGGATGAGCTGATACGCACTTTTCTTTTGTGTCAGGGGAGAGTATTTCGGATTGATTATGATTTATACGATTGTAATTCGATTATTCAAAGCACAACAATTAGTATATTATGCCCCGGCATTGCACACCAGATTATATGACTTGCGATCCGCGTTGAAAAATGCACAACTAGTATATACCATGAGGGCGATTACCGCCAAAATCCTTCTTTAAATTCTGTTACAATTCTGTTGTTTCAAATCAATGTTCCTATCACAACGTAATTTCAACGAGTGCAATAAAATTTACGTCAACTGAACAAAATTTAATGCGAAACAGAATTTACAAAAACAAAACAGAATTTAGTGCGACACAACAGGATTTAACTAAGTACTAGAAAATTTAAAACAACATAACAGAATTTGAGTTGATCCTAAATTCTGATATGTTGTTTCAAATTATGTTCTGATTTGATTTGAATATTACCGGGACTGGAAATTCAATGCTGTTTCCGCTGATATACTACACCATTTGATATTTGTTTTGTCATTATAATTTATTTCATAATTTTTCACGAAAATGACATGATTACGATGAGTGAGGAAATATATGGCTACCTTGCTAATATTCAAAGGCGTTTAGAAAGAGGAAATCACGATGCGGACAGCTTGGATTGCATTCTTTATCAACTTGACTAGCTAATAATTTGCAGAACTTTACTGCTGTACAAGGAAGCATTCTATTAGCTGTGCAAACTAGTTTGCGTTGCATTTAGACTTTCTGCGTTTTCAGCCGAGTGGTAAAGGTTTTTATTGCTTGAAAATGACGAAAAAAAAAACACAATACTTCAAAAATATTTCAAGTGTGCTAGGAAGAACATGTGATATTTTGATGCTTGTCATGAGCCATATTACACTACATCACTGAACTTGTATGAGATCGTGTACTGTACACTCATAGACAGAAACTTGTAGACACAAAAATGTACATATAGCATTAACTAAGTCTAAGGCTCACAGAAATACTTCAGTTCTGTGAGTATATGAAAACATTTAAATGGGAATCAATAATCAATTTTAGTTGTCTCTGTTCGGAAACAGGCATAACAGCCTTGAATTTCCGGTTCCGGTAATATTCAAATCAAATCAGAACATAATTTGAAACAACATATCAGAATTTAGGATCAACTCAAATTCTGTTATGTTGTTTTAAATTATGCAATACTTAGTTAAATCCTGTCGTGTCGCACTAAATTCTGTTTTGTTTTTGTAAACTCTGTTTCGCATTAAATTTTGTTCAGTTGACGTAAATTTTATTGCACTCGTTGAAATTACGTTGTTATAGAACATTAATTTGAAACAACAGAATTGAGATCGCTGTAACAGAATTTAAAGCAGGATTTTGGCGGTAATCACCCCAATATGCCAAAAATTGAATTTTTTTATGATTACAGCATGAAGCCTGAGATATGCTACCATTGATTCAGAAAGAAGGCTACAAGTACTTACCTGATATGATGTTATAAAAGGATGCATTATTAAACTTGTACTTTGTCCCTAAGTATAACGCATGCATAAACGTCAAAAAGGATTAGAAGATGACAGACGCAGCACATGTATGATGCATGCATCGAGATAAAAACGTGGTGTCACTCCAAAAGCAATGACTAAAAATTGTTCACACAAATATGTTTAAGCTATAAATTAAGCTAAAAATGAGTTTGTATTTATCTTGCAAACGCACGATGCAAGCGTGCGCAATCTTGAATGCTGATTAAAATTGGCTGCCTGTGAGTTTTCGGCATGAGTACATTGATGCGCAGAAGGAAAGGATAAGCTTTTGTGCGTGTCGCAATTCTTTAAACTCAGAGGTTGGTGCGATGCAGGTTAAGGGAGGTGATAAATTATTTGTATTTTGAAGTGCACTGTAAAGAAACCAACTAATGAGAAAATTCATCTGCTAAAATATCGAGTTCTGTCAGTATTATGGTGATATGGTGGTCAGCATAAAATCATTCAAGCTCTGCTCAACATGATCACGTTAGATATTCCACGTGATTAGATCCATGTTATAATGCATACATCAGCCCATATCCTTTTCTTGCCTTCACATCTTTCTTTAAATTATTCACTCATAATCAATGCTAGTTTTTTTGTGGTGCCTCGTTAGAAGCACATGAAGTTGGGCCACCTTAATAATTTTTTTCCATGTAATGGGCGAAGAAAAATCAATAACTGCGCGGACTCATATTCATAAATGCATGGCTTTCAATGACTGTATCTCATGCAACATGAATATGAGCCCCCCTAATTATTGACCTCCTAAGCCCATGTTCCATGTGATGACCATAATGTCAGCAAATAATCGGCATTTTTTCGCAAAGAACGTGAAACGGCGAAGTGTCATTTTAATATGGAAGGAAACAAAGTAAGGTTAATTCATTTGAACGTCATTCAAGAGACAAAATGTCATAGTAGGGCTGTAGACTAGGTTCTAATAATGATTCTTTCAGCACGTAATAAGGATGATCTCAAAATGCGAATGAAATTATATCTCCGTACTGTTTCATGATATATCATAAAATTTTTCCTTTTTCAAAACTAGCTAAATTTTTCGACTCTGATCTGAAGTTGTTGCATTTTCAAAAAGCTACAAGTTTGATCCTTTTTCTAATTTTGTTAGTCATATAGATTCCTCATGAATACGGTGACGTTTTCGGGTCGTGTGAAGGACAGCAAAGCATCATGGATGTTTTTGAGTGTGTCATGCTTCGTTATTTTAATGACTATTGGAACACTTGACTCTTTCACTGTTCTTGTAATCGTCTTTATGGACCATTATGAAGCGTCCAAAGCAAAGATAGGTATAATCTACCGGAGATATTTAGTCTTTTCAATCTTACTTTAAAGTAATAGTTACTGAAGAACATCTTCAATTATAAAATAAACACAATAAACTGCGTGCGCTGATTGGTCTAGAGCTGTGTTTTCATTAGCCTGTGCAAAACACATCTGAGCTCAACCAATCAAATCAATCAAAACAATCAATCAGTCAAAGAGAAATTACAAATCGATCATGAATACATTTTAAAGGAAAAATTAAAATGTTTGTCAGTTTCACATTATTGTTATTTTATAAAAGAAATAAAAGATGTTTTTCGTGTTTGCACTGGCTTATGCAAGCCTCGCAGACGTCTCGAGCAGGTGCAGCCCTTGACCTTCGGTCTCGGGCGGGACGTTTTCAACAAAACGAAAATGTTTATACCTTAAGAATGAAAAGGGATATTCATAAACTGCTTAGAAAGTCTGCTTTCATTTTATAAGTTCTTTTTGATAAGACTATAATTTAAAAAGTAAAATTTTCTCTACGTAAGCCCATTTAAAACGATACAGTGGCGAAAAGATTAACAAAAATGCGTCAATCTTCAGAGAAACTTGACAGTACAATATACCTGTTTAAAAGAAAAAATATAAAGCAAAGACTTCGATATAGTAATGAGCTAAGTATTGAATAGACTGAACAGCGTAATTGCTCTGGTGAATCACCAAATTTGTTCTAAAAGAACAGTTGAAAACCAAAACCAAGATAGCTATTAAATAAATAACACGTTGCATTTTGGCAGACTTCTTGTAAAATGCCACTTTGATGAAAACCAAAAATCTACTTCAATATTTTACAAAGCATACATGGTGCCTGATAAGAGGTCTGGAACCGACATGCGTCGTGTCATTAAATTTATAGCTATCTTAATTTTGGTTTTCATCAGTCCCTTGAACTACTTCGTTCTCATTCCCCTTGAGAAATACGCTGTTCAAAGCAAACAGACAATTTATAGGCATGCATCATATGCATTCATCAATCTGTACGTATACTATTAAATAACAATTATCATAAATGGGATAATTTTCATTTTGGTATAGGTTGGCTGGGTTCAATTGCCTTTTCTCTAGTTTCTATCTCTTATCCCGTTGTTGTCTTTCTCGGCCGTCGTTTTGGATCCCAAGGTGTACTAATCATTTCGGGAATTTTAATCACAACCAGTTACATCGTGACACCTTTCATGCCTTCAGTGAACTATTTATACTTCACTTACTGTTTTGGAGTTGGTTTTGCCGCCAGCTGTGTTGACTGTCTGTCTGTCGTTATTTTACCTGAATTTTTCGACAAACACCTCGGTCTGGCAACTGGCATCCGCTTGTCAAGTATTGCTGCTGCTTCTATATTGTTCAATTTTATGGTTCCAATATTCGTTGTCGAGATAGGCTGGCAAAAACTGTTTTATTGTTTCTCTTCGGTGGGACTATTACTGATCATGTATTCATTTTTGTTTCGGATAAAGCACCCGGTGCACGATGTACCATCGAATGAAGTGGAAGAAAAAGAGACATATTCGGTATGCGGTGAAAAGCTCACTATCAAAGAGAGAATTTTACATGATCGTGGATTTCAGCTGATTGTTTTTGGTTGTGTCCCATATTTGTTTGCAATTTTGGTGCCAGCAATGTTTATGGTACGTGTATATGTTTTTCTGCTGAGTGTAAGAAATTTTCAGGAATGAAAAAAATTAGTCTTGGAGTTGTTTCACAGAATGAAACAGCTCGACTGAGCAACTTAAGAGCTTTATCCTTCAGTTGTGAAGACAGCTAGCATGTTTTGGTCCTGCTATATAAATTTTTGAATATTAACATTATTCATTTCCTTAGAAATCTGTTGTTTTTACAGTGAGTGAACACAAAAAAATTAACTTAGCAGGACCAAATTTGCGCTCTGGCTTCGGCACTGTTATCCGTTTTGTTTTAGCAAAGTCAATATGAAAGCAATTTCATTTGCATGTTGTTTAAAGTTGTTTTTTGTTATGCAATTGTTTTGCATTTGTCTTATTCCATGCAATAGCGTCATTAATGTGAGTAATTGTGTGTAAAAAAAACAACGTGCATACACAGTGACGTAGCCAGCCCACAACTTTAGTCGTACCATGTAAATTTCAGATCATTTGCATAATTTGAGTCAGCACATACTTGATTTAGCACAAGTTAGCACTACCAACTTCGCCACTTGTATTCACACGACAACGTAATTTTCAATAAGTTCCCGTGCAGTTGACAATGGTTGATGATGCAATGTTGGTAGCAAGAAAAAGCTGTAAACAATGAAAGTAAAAATGAAACATCTTCTTTCACGGTTGCAAGTGAAAAACACTGACGAGGTCTTAAGAACAAAATGCTCCACAATTTTCAATGATCTTTGCATAAAAATCCTTCGCTTTGTCATTTGACAAACATTTATTTTAAGATTCTCGGAACTATTTTGCGCATTGTCATCAGGCTCAATTTACTGCAGGTTTTAGAACACTTTTCAAAGCCGCCCGATATAACATGGCTACCTCATTGTGGAAAAGATTACAAAAGTTATGGAAAACTTAAAATTGAAAAGTTTCATCAAAGGTTCTAGGCTCAGTTTCTTTTAGGTGGCTTATGCTAAATCTCTCGGCTATCCTCTATCGCAATCCAAATGGCTGATCGTCGCACGTGGAATTGGCTCACTAGCAGGACGACTCGCGATGGGGTACATCGGAGATTTTGCAACAAAACGCCGTATTATCGTTCATATTGCCTGTGCAATCGTCGCTATTTTTGGTCTAGCTTGTGGTCTATGCTCCTTCACGAAATATCTGCCTCTTATGATACTGTTCATGGCTTTTACGGGTATTTTGGAGGGAATGTTCTTTGTTCTTATTCCGTTAATGTCGAACGAGCTAACTGGTGGTGTAAATGCTGACTATGGATTTTCTTTCATCACTTTTCTAGTTGGTATTGGCTTTTTAACTGGGCCTTCATTGATGGGTAAAAGTAAATACAATTCTCATAAAAGCTACATATGTTTTTGGGGTAAACTGGAAATTTCAACAGCCCTTTAGCAATAAAAGTTTGTTTATTTTTCCTTCAAATTACCAGATGTGTAGCTAGGGGAAAGGGGCTGCTCCTCCAAATCATTATAATAGCGTCGTATCTGACTTGAAAATTAGAGGGTGTAATGCCAGAAATCCATTTAACGCAAAGTAAGTCTTTTTGCTTATTTGATAATTACAGGTCAGGTGTACGATGCAACAGGAAACTTTCGTGACGTCCTCTACATTCTGTGCGCATGCGGAGTGTTATCCGCCATCACTGTAGCAATGGGTATTCACGTCAGGGCAAGGAAGACAATAGAGCGAAAAACATCATTCGCTGAAAAAGGCACCATTGAAATGTCAAAAGAGAAAAATTTTGATCATTTGAGTTTGTCTATGGATAAACAGCCAACAAAAACTGCTATTCTTGACGACATGAGAATTGCAAATGAATGCGAAACTACTTGATGGGAATAAACATGTGCAGTTCTTCTCCGAACGAACACAGCTTTTATTCTTTATAGTTTGTACCATCCAGTAATAATTTCGATGCATATAGTTAATTTAATCTAGCCCGATCTTTTACTCCCACAATGCAACTTTTTTAAAAAAATTGTTAGGCATGTCTTTAAAAAGCTATTTCAATTGATTATTTTTTTCACCAAATGAAACTGCAAAATATTTCATTCTAGGAGTAAAACAGGAACTGGCTTTGCTACTGATTTGTTTTTAATTTATCTGTTTCGCATTAAGGTTGGTTTATAAAAGAAACAAAAGATGATTTTCGTGTTCTCACCATTGGTTTGCACTGGCTTATGAAAACATTGGAGACGTTTGGCACTGATCTGCTCTCGAATTTTCCAAAACTTCTCCTCCGCTTACATTAAACTGGGAACAAGAAGAACATCGTTATTTTTTAAATGACTTTCACGCAATACGCTTATTTTCTTCGCAGAGAAGGAATATAATGTTCATAAAACTTTAGCTGCATGACTGAATCATTAACTGAATAAAATATTTCTATATAAAAAATTGAATGATTGATCGCTTGAAACCGAAGTATCTTTATTATAAATAAAAGAATCGCTTTTATTTGAATAACAGACTTTCACGAAACATACGCATTTTCGGGAATGTAGCTAGCCTCGATGATTTGGGGGGGGAGGTATTCATATAAGCCTGTAATTATAAAAAAAGACAATTCATTTCATATGAAGTTAAGACGGCCGAAATTGAGCATGTGAATATTCCCCTCCCCCTTTCCAATTATATCGAGCTGGCTATACGTCTCTGCGCACCTGTCTGTCGATATAAAGCCAAGAATCTAAGTGACAGTTGTCTTTGTAGATAAATTATTTGTCGAATTGTCATTGGCTAGTGGTGTGGCCATTTGTTTGAAATAAGATTAACTGTACGCGATGGCGCTGGCAATATCTTTTGGACAAGGTGGAAACACCAAAACAACCTATTTCACATATTTACACATTTTTCCTGTACAAATAGACTACATGAGCTTGATTGAGGGGCGATTTTCATTCCTTTCTCCCCTTTCCTACCCCTTGCTGGTCTCTATGCCTGTACCTTCAACATTTCTACAGTTCAACAGTTATTTGATAAAACAAACTCATTATAGATGTAAATTTCTGCTTGTTTGTAAATTTCATTAGGAACTCTGACATTAATGGCAGAGAATTTTAAAGAAATATTCATATAGAAATATCAACGATCGTGATCAAAACAAAATTTAAAGCAGAAATTAATATTGATCCAAATTTAACCAACTATTTGCTTCCTGTTGGCGTTGAAATGCACGATGGCATATAATCCAATGACAAAAATGACATGCTTTGCTCCTTTGATACAACTGCTTTCTTTTACTCATTTTCATTGCCTTGAAATTAATAAAATCGCTTACCAAATGTATGAAAACACTTTTTTGAAATTACTTTAAATACAGTTGATTATTGTGCACGTGAAGAAAATGCGATCACGTGATAACAACATATATAATTTGCATTTTGTTTGACTCAAAGATTTGCTTGAAATATTTCATATACCGTTTACTTTGCACAGGTTTGAAAGAAACAATCGCTGGACAAGAGCCCCGACAGGTAAAAATATATGATATTCTAATTCGAATCGATTAAGCCCACAGTTGAATTGCATTTTGGGGCAGAAATTGTTCTCACGACTGCTATTTGCCGGCATCGGTATTTAGTATATTCATTGCTGCATCGCAAATACTCAATATTTTTCCAAGATATATGCATACACAGATTCAGTTATCAGATATTTTCGAATGTATGCATGACATAGCTATTGCTTTTGGGCTTGTTTAAAAACTCGGTCATTTTGTGAACATGTTAAGAGCTCATTAAAAGCCATGGCCGTTAATTTAAATATATGATGTACTTCATTTGTTCGCAAGCAGACGGCTTTACGCGTACCGTTTCTTACCTACATAATCAAATGTTGTATAAAACTAGAAATTATATCGTATCGTATCATAATCATATCATTGCAAAATTTCCCAGTCAATTCAATCATAGAGTATTTCCGAAACGACATGTACCATTGTGACAAGCAGTTCCATTTATTTTATGTTGGTTACTTATTGATGTTTTCCTTATATTGATCGATCAAGTGTTAGGTAAGAGATAATAACAACCGGCTTCAACTATCTGTCTGTTGTCTGGGGTAAAGGGAGATTCAAATATTATTTAAGTAGCATGAAACAGGCTCTCTTCTAGTAAAGAGCATGCAGCCAGTAAAAGAGTCTCAGACTCTCAGTAAAGAGCATACAAACAGGCTCTCTTCTAGTGCAGAATGTCAACATTATTCTGAGTGTGAAAACGCTCAATTTTTAGCCACTCTACTAAGCCAATTCTCGCAACTCAACGATCTCCCTCCACCTCCTAGAACTCCTTCACCTGTAGAAAACCTTATTCTTAACAAGTACTAAATACTTCACACGACCAAATCTAACTATCGTGACTAAAACACCACACGAGTACATACGAGTGACATACGAGTACATACGGGTGATATACGAGTGACACACGAGTACTAATGAGCTATACATGAGTGTATAGGAGTGAGTAAAATAACGCTAGAAATGTGTTTTTATAACTTTTAAATTGCATTAGAGACGAAAGTATTAAATTTTCTTTAAAAAACTGAGATAGACAAAGATCCAAAATGCACAAATTTCACCGAATGGCTAAGTATAGTTATCTGTTTTGCAATTTTTACTTCCTACACTTATTAAAATAAAATCAATGATGAAAATCAACTTTGTTTTCTAAAAAATATTACCATTATTAAACTGAATTAAAGCTGTGGCTATCAACAATAAATATTACGCTATTTCTTGAATGTCAACATTTACGTACAACGTTTACATTTTTCTGTTGGTTATCAGTTTATGGTATTTAAAACAGAACACAAAAGTCCATGATGCGTCTAAATGACCGCATAATACATAAAAGATGCAGAAAATTTTAACAAAACTTTACTTTAAGCTTTCATTATAACTGATTGCTGATCAGCTGTTAAGTGTAACTGCGAACTTGCATACACTGTCCCATCAAAATAGGGATTTTTCTTTGCAATTTGGCTAAAATCACAATGATAGTACGTATTAGTGAAGTCTGTACCATACTGAACTGTTCCGTTGGTATCCAGTTTTTTCCCACTTGCTTTGAAAAAGTTTAGATTTCTCATCGAATTCTTCTTCACTTTCACAATCGTATAAACAGCCATCTTCTCCCATCATTGGACCACCAAAAAAATCGGCTTGGATTACTTTTCTTTGTCGAAGAGGGATATTTAACTCTGTGAGCTTTCTCTCGATGCTATCTTGAACATGCTCTAATCCCAAAAGGTGAATTGTGTCACTCGTCTTATTCAGAATTCCACCACTTAACGCCTCATCTTCATCTGTGCACAGAACATGTAAGCCTTCTAACTGGGGTTTACCACGTTTAACTGCTTGCCAAAAGTAGCGAAAGTCTTCCGTAGTTCTGTTTCTGTGAATCAAAAGGAATCCTGGAAACCATGGATGTTTGAAACAGTCCCGCTTGCGCAAGCTTAAGTTCTGGTAAGCTCTCTGGGTGAAATAGTACTCAGCAATATCGAAAGTTGCGTCAGCAAACAATGGAGAATATAAATTTCCACCTCCCGTTCTTGTGCAAAAACGTAAAATGTCCGTTAGCGTTTGGTTTGTAAATGCAACCACGAGTGGCTGGTAAGCTTGACGAAACAGCACTTATATGTTTGTAAATGATGATCGTCCATTTGACAAAAACAACTATAACTCTGACTTTATCAAACGCAACACTTACAAACCCAACGAACCCAACGAAGCGAACAACTCAGTGACAACAGCAACGATACCTTACATCAAAGGTACGTCTGAGACTATCTCGCGTATCTTACGACCATACAACATACGTGTCACACATAAACCAATCACAACGTTACGACAAGTACTAACGAACATAAAGGACAAAGAACAACCCAACGAACGACAAGGTGCAGTTTACAAAATAAACTGCTCCGACTGCCACGCCTCCTATATCGGGGAAACTTGCAGGAACTTAAACACAAGACTTACTGAGCACAAACGAGCTACTAAGAAACAAAACAAAACTAATCACATTGCCGAACATTACCGAATCACAAAGCACAACATTGACTGGGATTCGGCAAAATGCATCACTTACAGTACTGACTATAGACAACGGCTTACATTAGAAAGTTGGTATACCAACTTGGAACAAACCCCCCTGAACAGATCACAGCAATTACCGGCACCTTACAAACGACTTATTCACAATACAAACAAACGATCAACTAAAAACACTACACTTCAAACTAATTCACAATGACAATACACAATTGACACCCACACATTACAACTAAATACGTCACACCTAAATCACACATCACAACTAAAAATAAATATTTCACTTCACACTAATCCACAATGACAATACACATTTCCTGTACACACAATACAATGACGTAAGAACCAGATAACAAATACGGCTAACCTGACGTTTACTCCTCATTTGACTCTGAAGATGACTACCGCTAAGGTTGTCGAAAGTCAACAACAGCAAAAACAGTCCTTCTCAGGACTTTATTAACCTGAAACAGCACTTCTCGGACAAACGGCTGGTTTTCTTCTAAAATTAAAAAATCTTTTTCTTGCTTTTGCTCGAGCAACATAAGAATTACGTCATTAATCTCATCATTGGACTTCAAGTTACTAGCATAATTGAATTTGTATTTGGAAACTTGTTTTGGGTTACGGATCCGTGCAGAGTCTGTTGTACTTTCCAAAGCAGTCACGTCAGCGTCACCTATTGATTCTGCTAGTAGTCGGGGAGCCTTGGAAGATGACATAACAGCTTCTTGGCATTGCTGTTTGACAGAATGTTCAGTTGCTCTATAGAACGGCGTGTCTTCTCTGGTTGCATTTCCATGTTTTGACGGAGCAATAGGGACTGGATTTCCAGAGCTGAAACCGTAATGAATAATAATCATCTTAAACCTCTGTATTCTTTCATAGCTGTACGATTTCCATGAACGATGTTATACTCTTGTACGGGCATAACAAAAATAACATATCGTGTAAATTAAGTGTCAAACTGCCTCAGAGTCTCTTTATGTACCCTTCGTTTTCGTATCACAGCATACAATTTGCTAAGATCGGCTGTTGTACTTTCCCATTCTCTACAAAGTAAGAACAAAGGTATTCATATCTTCAACACATTCATCGATATTGAAGTTGTTCACAGAGGAACTGGTTGAAAACTTTGCTTCGCTTAATGACAACAGAGGTACTTTAATTCGCATATTTTGATGATGTACATCTCGTAGTTTGATGATACCGTTTTCAACTTACTGTTGCTCATCAAAATGTCTTTCTAAATATTTTTCTATGTCGATTTGTTTTCTTTCTTCACTGATGTAATAAAGATTATTTCTAGATTTGTTAAGAAGCAGCAGCATCATATAATCTCCAGTTTGTTTCAAAACAATGCAGGTCGACCTTGTACCATTTCAATTTTCTGCCATTATAAAGCCAAGAAGACAAACTTATTAGGATTAAATATCTTTGCCGGTTGTTTTGTCCCTTTCACAAAAATTTTTCTCGAGTCAAAAGTTTGTAGAACGAATAAAAACGCAAAAACTGTGATTCTGTAATACAAATTCCGGCTTCAATCATCTTACTATATTTTATACATGGTGCGTTATCCAGTGTAATATACATATCAGTGCTCACCATCCTTGCCTTCTTAGTTTCTAGACACACTTCTCATTAAAAATAACAAACCTTTTCTTGACACAGAACTAAAAGCTAGTAAGGAATTACAATTTTTTCTTCAAATTAAACACTCACTCCACCAGTTGGGACTCTTTTTTCACACGTAGCTTTCTATTGAAAATGCCACTTCTTCAAATTCCTCATTAGTAAATACTACGGAATTTGTTTTCGTTTTCGTGGCTTCCGTACTTCCGCTTCCTAATGCGCACGCGTTGTAAATATAGATGTGTATTTGTAAAATCACTCTACTTGAGGACAGTTTCAGTTTCGTCTTGTATTGATACATATTTTGCTACCATCTCAAGATGACTTGTTTCTACGGAATTTGTTTTTTTGCTTTATTTGTTAACAGCCGCTTTTTCATGTTCAAGTTATAAATTTCCCTCTATCTAGAAGTACCTCAAAAATTAATTAGCTCAAACGATGTTTTGTAAATTAACAGACGACCTTTATAGCCTTTCTTTGCTCTCAATTCACCTTGTCGAATATCTCCATTCCAGTGCTCAGCAAAGATTAAATTAATATATTTTCGAGATAATGGAAAAAATTGGTGCTCCTCAAGCCAGTTTGAACATTAAAAAATCAGACAAGTTTTCAACATTCGTCGAGCGAAAAATGCGAGGGAAAAACAATTTGACAAGTAATTTAAATTCAACAACGATAAGTGGCGTAGCAAGCCTGCAAGTTCAAGCTATGTAAATTTCTGATCACTAGCATTGCTCATGTCTTTAGAAATCTAATGTTATCAGTCGGTAAACATCGAAAAATTTCCATAGCACGACCAAACTTTAGGGCTGGCTGCCCCACTTATTTAGGTATTCCTATTGTGAGTTAGATAAAAATGTGCTGCAACTCCCCCCGCCTCACCCTCAACCCACCCCCACAGTTACTGTACGCTTATGAGTATATGGATGAGAAACATCTGTTTATTAAGTATATATATTAAATCATTTTACTAAATAGGGAAGTGGTATGTGTATCCACTGCTTATTATTAATGATTGCATTGGATAGTGACTCATTTGAGCTGGCTTTGTTGTCTTTGAATTTCATAGAAATTGCACACTTTTTCATATATGATTGGTTGGTGAATAGTTTCATTATTGGACATCGACCAGATATTGAACACGTTTACAATTGACATCTTTTAAGACTGCAGACACACATCTAGTTGACCATTGCTGATAAAGCGGCAAGATTTCATGCGTTAAAGATGATTGTTTTAATTATGAATTTTACGTAGAGATTGACTGCTTGGGACATCATTGTGAGCAGCTCTGTTTATTACCCAACTTGCAAAACTGAAAATCAAGTCATAATCCAAAAACCATGGATCGCTTATTACCAACCAATGTTGGAAGTAAAAGAATACTCTAATTTATTATAAACAATGACTTGTTTGATTTCTCTTGCGTTTTTCTGAGAAGTGGCTTAAAACATAAATTTAAAAGTCACGAAGTTTGACAATAGCATCGTCTTGTTTTATGACAATGCCTTATCTCTATGGTTTTGTAGTACCGTGATGAAAGTCAATTTGGATCACGTGACAGACAGTAAAGCATCATGGGTCTTTTTGGCAGTCACGTGTTGTGTTATGAGTTTGACTGGTGGAACGCTTGAATCATTTAGTGTCCTCGTTGTTGTCTTCAAAGAACATTTTGGTTCTACCAACGCGAAAATTGGTAAAATTTTTTATGCATTTTTAAATTTGATATTGCCCGTAGCTGCTTTTTTTGTGAATTGCTTTGGTGCATTTTGAAGGAAAGCGAAAATATATGTTCAAACTCGTTGAAAATTTTTTTGCCCAACAAAATGCAGCGATGTTTTACAGATTCTTTTTCAACAATTTCTCGAAAATTTTTATGCATTTATTTTCATTTCTTAATGGTTGTAAAGATGCATGCAAAGCGATCACCGCCCTTAAGAATTCGTTTTTTGAGTATTTTATACAAGTAGCAATTTTCTATTGTACACAAACGTAAAATCGCTAGTCGTCCTACGTTCTTGCTCTTTGTAGGTTGGATGGGTGCAGTTGTCTATTCTTTGGTAAATTTCTCGTATCCAATAGCAGTTTTCATTCGCCGTCGTTATGGATTTCGTGTTATAACTATCACATCTGGACTGTTAGTTACACTTAGTTACATCGTAACGCCTTTTATGCCATCGATAGACTATCTATTCCTGACGTATTGTGTTGGTCTAGGTTTTGGCGTTGGTTTTATTGACTGTACGACGGTTGTCATTTTGCCGGAATTTTTCGACAAATATATCGGTTTGGCGACAGGATTTCGTTTGGCCGGTGTTGCTGCCACCTCCATGACTTTCAATTTCCTTGTGCCGATATTGGTAGACAAAATGGGATGGAGAAATGTTTTGTTCTGTTTTTCATCCGTCGGTCTCTTGTTGATTCTGTATGCGTTCTTCTATCTAAAGAAGCCAAGAATAAACGCGGACAAAGCTGTGAAGGCTTCTACAGAACAAGAAAACAAAGCAGTGATTCCAGTCTTTGAACATACGTCCTATAACACCAAGTTAGGATTCATTCGAAATGGCGGATTTCAATTGATCGTTCTCGGTTGCATTCCGTATCTATTTGCCGTTGGTGTTCCAACGATGTTTATGGTATGTATTAGCACGTTACGTGGTTAGGTAACTCAATCCTTAAGATCTTTACTAAAAGCAGAAGTTAGTAGATATTTAAACCCTTGTTAACATCAGTAGCGTAATAAGCCTGCAGATTTCCTCCCGCTATGTAAATTTTGAAAGATTACCATTATTCATTTCTTTAGAAATCTGTTGTTCTCACGGTCAGTAAACACAAAAATATTTTCATTGTGGGAGAAAAAAGTCAGGCTTTCCACGCTACTGGTTAACATTAGCATTCGTTGCCATAACCATTTGGGATGAATTTGGCGACAAGACTGAGAAGCGGATGGGATTTAACTTATAGCGGAACGCCACTTTGTCTTCTAAGTTAAAATTTCTCTGTAATTGAAGTAAAAGAAACCATTTTTTTGTATGTTCTTCCGAAGGTTAGTACTTCTCTTCGCAATTTTCTATTAATAATATTTTGTATGTTTTCTATTGTCATTCGTTAACACATGGTTATCAATGTAAAGCAATTGCTAGACACGAAAACATCGACATTAACGTCTGATACTTTAGAAACAATAGCAGGTGCTAAAATTGAATTTATAGGCAATCAACCTAGCCAGGGATCATATTCTCCCAATACAGTGTGCAAAAACAATGCCACTAAAATTGACGAAGAAATAAAATCCCTACTTGCAGAAAAATGTTATAGTACGTTTGCTACATGAGCCAGGGGAGTTTATCTCCCCACAAATTTGGTATTGCTATGCAAATACGTTCTGCGTTCATTATTTCTGCGTTCATTCACAGCGAAAAATGGCCATTTCTGAAGAAATTATGTAAAAACAAGATATGTTCACTGTATTTTCACATGGGCTTATGCAAACCGAGGAGACTTTTGGAATAAACCTGCTCGAGAGTTACCACGAATGTCTCCGTGGTTTTTATATGAGCCAGTGTAAAAACGAGCAGCCACGCTAGTGGGGATTGCTTGTTATTTTTATGGACAGTTTATTCAGATCGCACTGACAAGGATAAAAGCTAGCAATAAAGGATGATGTGTAGAAGATCTCCCAAATCACTATAAACCATAAAGGGCAGAAAATGATAGAATGTGTTCAATATTAAGACCAATACTTTGTGTGGACATTGCATGTCAATATTATATGGAAGCGTCTTTGCTGTGCCTAACTTTAAAAGTTTAAGCTGTTGTTTCAACACTTGGACGTTGGAAGCCATCATGAGTCAAATATTGGAAAGCAAAGGTCATAAATCTGTAACTGTTTATCTTTAGCATATATACGGCAAAACTAAGTACACAATGTAATATTCATCTCATCACTCTAAGTAATAGTAGTTTAATGTGTTTTCGGAGGGATTTGATCAAATATAATTTTTGGAACAACTGTTTAGTACCATATTTTATTGGATTTCTAAATAATATGATAATCCATGCGCATATCACATGTTCTTCCAAAAGGACGCATGTAATAATTTTATCCATATGTATGGTGTTGAGTATAATATAGTTAGCAATTGTGCGTTTTTGCCTCAAACAGGTAAAATTTATACGATAAAACAGTGTAAAACACATTTTTTGATAGTCATCTATTGGAGTACTGGCGAGAAGCACTGATTGTTGCACATCAATGTTCAACTGTTCATCTTTGAGCAACTTCGCAGAGATAGCTTTAGATGGCGTAAAATTTTAAGGGGATAAAGTATTCACGCGGAAGAAGTTTCGTAAAAAAGCCCTCTAATCTATAGTTTTCATAAGACAATACTTTGGTCAAATTTGAGTTTCTATCTTACACGAAGTTAAGTGAACTACGTTAATGTGTATTAATGACAGTAATTGCTTTAAATGTTTTTCTTTCTTGAATTCATTAGGTTGCGTACGCCAAATCCCTGGGATATCCTCTCTCCCAATCAAAAGGGCTAATTGTTGCACGTGGTGCGGGCTCATTGTGTGCTCGTTTCGTGATGGGCTATATCGGGGACATTGCAACAAGAAGAGGCCAAATCGAGCACATTGCATGCTTGATCGTCGGCTTTTTTGGTATAGCATGTGGTCTATGTTCCATCACGAAGTATTTACCTCTCATGATAATGTTTATGGCTTTTGCGGGTATTTTGGAGGGAATGTTTTGGGTGGTCATTCCGTTATTGATGTACGAACTTACTGGTGGGGTTAATGCCGACTATGCTATATCCCTGATGACGGTTTTGATCGGTATTTGCATGTTTGCAGGTCCTTCTTCAATGGGTAAGCTGAATTTTACGCATATTTAGCTAAGGTTGTCGAAACCTTCTCAGGACTCTACTAACCTGGACGATCTACATCCACAAACATGTTACGATACTCCCGGGTTCAAACCATTTACTTTATTAGAGTTGAATAATGTTGAAGTGGTGTAAGGAAGACTGAGTTTGTCAACAGACTTCAGCTTCCCAACTCGCGATTTCCTATCTTATTCGTGATCCCTCTGAGCGTTTATGTTGTCCAATTATTTCCTATCTTCTTCGTGTTCCTTCTGAGCGTTTGTTGCTCATTAAATTACATCTGAATCTTTAAAAAAGTGGTAATTTAATGAATAATAATGGACCATGTACTAACCCACGTAAAAGGACTTGCAAAATTCTATCCAGGACTTATAGGCGCTGGAGGTTTGCGGATGACACAAGTTGCTAATTTGTTTTAAATACCAAGCACAATCATTGATAAACAATTTCCAAAGAGGCTTAGATTTAGATGCGAGGTGACTCGTAAATAAATCAAAGTGATTCGCAATTGGTCTCGGATTATGAAATCTTTCCCCCCAAAAAATACGCCATCTCAGCGATCTTTTTTAAATAATTACTTTGCAATTTTTCATGCTCACATAGGTCAAGTATACGATATCACCGGAGATTTTCGCGTCGTCCTGTACATCCTATGCAGTTGTGGGTTTTTATCCGCTTTCATCACAGCGACGGGAGTTTATGTGAGGTTAAAAAGCGTAAGAATGATTGAAATACTGGGAAAAAGTAAGGACAATGATAGCCTTCGGCAGTGTAACGTGAGATGTTTGGGTTCGCCAGATGAAAAGTTAGGAAAGGAAATCAAACTACACACAAAATTCCATGAAATTACGATAATAGCTGAATACGAGACAGCTGTATAGATGTTCTAAACTCAGTAATATTTGCTGGGCCGTCAAATGCAAAATAAAGATTGAGGGGGGCCTGGGGTCGATCCAAGTATGTGACTACGATTTAAAGGATTTGGCAAGGAAGTGGAGTAGATTAAAATCTTTCCAACTTTTATTGTAATATAAACATTTTTAATAATGAGCAAAATAGTTCAATTTTATACTTTCAATCACTGTCAACATTGTAAATATCCTATCTATAATTCGCACTAAAGATGGCTTGTAGACGAGCCAAAACATAATTGCGATTAAAAATATAAAAATGAAAAACACTGTCGCTTATTTAAAATTTTTAATAAGAATCGCGCAACTAGTGAAATTTTCAACATAAACAACGATGGCTTGTAGACAAGCCAAAACAGGACTGCTATTAAAAATATGAAAATGAAAATTATAGAACGTGTCACCAAGATCATATAGCGGAATTTGCACAAGTTAATAAATTATTGGGGGCTGCAGCCTGCCAAGTTTATATGACGAGTCAGATTTGTGGATCGTAGCATTGGATGAAAAGAGATTTGCTTAAAATAGATGATATTGAATTCATGCATGCATGATGTCTGACATGGATATTTACTACACATAGTGTAAAAATTTGTCAAAATACTTTAAATATGTGCTTTATAGTTTTCTCTGCTAAAATGAACACATTCTCTCTCACCAACACACAAACTGATATTTCTTCGAATACGGTAGCCTTAATTGGAAATAACTGCGCTAGAGGTGAGCAACCATTAAAACGCGATCATCCTGATATAATTGTGCATTACGAGCAGAGTTGTAGCCTTGATTCAATGGAATAATATTAAAAATGCTGAGTAAACGACATACAAAGTTTAGAGTTGTACCTATTGTGACACAGGGGGGTGGTTCTGCGATGGTATGAAGGTGCTTTAGATTGGAAAGTCTGGCGATCCCATCGTGGTAAAGGGATTCTAGAAAAATAGTAGTGACACTATGTATTGCAACGACACGAAACATCATCTTGAAAAAAATTATTGAAAGAACTTCATTTTTCAATGATGCAACTAAATCACACGTTAAAGAGTTACCAAGTTCATATTCAAACAAAGGAAAGAAGCAGTGTCTTTAGGATCATTGTATTTGTTGCATGTATATATTTGCCGCTTCCATTAACTATCCTACATCTGTGGAAAGGTTTTATTCTATGTGCACAGGTTTGCCAAAAGTTGTTTGATATTATGATCACTACCACGAAAAAGCAGTACAAGAACCTCTTGTTACATGCAGAAAAAATAAGAGATTCAATTTGAAATTAGACAATCGCATTACAATTTCTTAAAATAAGAGCGAATATTTAGTCCTTTTTCAAAATCATTAACCATAAAGAACTGTCATATTAGCATCTATGACTCATTAGTATGGTAAGGCAATTTTGACAGTAAAAAATAATACAGTAAACGTTAAATACTCTTTTCACCATGCAAGTGCCCTTGAAGTTTCTTTTTCGCACAGCTGGGATCAAAAAACAATCAATTCCTCTCAGTGAGTAATTATTTGTATATTTGTTGCTAGTATTTTGGATGAAGGACGAGCCTGCGTTGGAGCTTTGATTTTTTCCGATGCTATCGTGAAAGTGGACCACCTTGTTATAATTATTTAATTTTACTCTAATTTCACGTGTCACTCTCGTGGCTCTTCTGTCGTGAATAATACGGATATCACAGTGATATGAGTATCCCTGTATTTGAATATTCCAAGGCCAGTACTTAAATCACTAGGGTTTGGGGAAAGTAATAAAATCTACCAAAATGAGATATTTGATGAGCAACTGTTACTTGCTCAATTTTTCGTCTTAACTAGTATTTCATAGCACCGTTTTTAACATGCATATGAATTGCTTCAAAGAAAAATTCATTGACATATGATTTTTTTGATGTGATTTCCACATTTTTGATTCTGTATGTGCAGCATAGAGAAGTAATTTATTATTCAATTGTTATTTTTATTCTGGTTTAACTCTCTTGTGTTGATGATTATTTATCATGGTTAACTGAAATTAACATTTAGTAGCATATATATAATGAATTTTTGCAAAACTGCCTTGTAATTATGTCTTTACTAATAATATTACTCAGCGTTACTCAGTGTTTTGTGAGGTGTTGTAGATCTCTCTACGTCAGTGGAAATCCACTGTAGGGAGACCCCTGAAACCAGCGTAGTAACGGAAACCGAATCCTATATCACTAGTGATTTGTGAACTTTGGCTGACGTTGGGTGGCCGGGTTTGGATACTGAAAACACGGCAGCTATATTTGCTGGGGATGCCATGCCCAAAACCCTAGTGGTTTAAGTATGGGGATATATTCATATCACTGTGACACCGACAAAGAAAACGTTTCACATAGATCACTTGAAGTATCCGCATTTCGTAAGAAAACTGCGGGCTCAACTTTAATCGTCGCCAAAACTATTTATGTTTGGTATTAATATTGATTTTTTCTACTTTACGTCCTCTTTTCATTTTTTTATCCATGGTTCTACTCTGGAAAAATTAGTGCATCAGCTATGTTTGTTATGGATAAGGTTGCAGCTATCATTGCATTAGCATTGGCAAAGAAAGCGTCGGCTTACGCTGTAGTTCGGGTTAGTGGTGTAACTATTCTGGATACATTCGAATGAAACATGTGCTTAGACAAGTTAGCTTATGTTTGTTTTGTGTTTAGTGTAGCTGCTGTGTTGTGCGATTTGCCTGGATTAGTTAGTATTTGTCTATTTATTTATATTCATGGAACTACTTTTGAAACTTCTTGAAATTATGAAATGGCTTCTAATTGATTACGCAAGTTAATTATTACATAAATGAGAAACTGTGTTTTTTTTCAGGCGTTGATTGGCCAAAAAGCGCAATATAGAAGCATAAATCTACATGATTTTCCATTCAGATATTTGTAAAATAGAACAGTTTACAAATGCAAGTACAGGGACTTCTATATTGATCAATAAGAATTTCAAATTATTTGTATATTTATTCATTATGCATTGTGATCCTATGTGAGCTGATTAAATATGATGCACTTATTTGATTTTAACCATACTAAGAATTTAAAGGTTTCATTCCTAAGTACTATTGTAGATCCAGTTCCCAGAAATGTTCTCTCGCAAAGCCTTTAATGAAAACTCTCATTTCTAGAAAGTCTGCAATAAAGTAAATGGTTTGAACCCGGGAGTATCATTACATGGTTGTAGATGTAGATTGTCCAGGTTAGTAGAGTCCCAAGAAGGACTGTTGTTGTAGTCATCTTCAGAGTCAAATGAGGAGAAAATATCAAGTTAGCCGTATTTGTTATCTGGTTCTTACATCATTGTATTGTGTGTACAGGAAATGTGTGGTTGTCAATTGTGTATTGTCATTGTGGATTAGTGTAAACTGTAATGCATTTAGTTGCTTGTTTGTTTTTATTGTGAATAAGTCATTTGTAAGGTGCCGGTAATTGCTGTGATTTGTTCAGGCTCCTGTACACACAATACAATGACATACCTGATAACAAATACAGCTAACGTGACTTTTACTCCTCATTTGGCTCCGAAGATGACTACCACTACGGTTGTCAAAATGTCAGTCAAATACAACAACAACAGTCCTTCTCAGGACTCTACTAACCTGGACAATCTTCATCTACAAACATGTAATGCTTGCAATATTACCAGTGCCCAAACCAACTTTTACTCACCCATTGAAAATTGTTCAGGAACATTGGTGCTCATTTTTTCATTTCCATTCGATATTTTTACACCAAATAAACACAAAATTATTTGATATTTGTATCGTGACAGTAAAAACTGGCTGGCTAATGGTTATTTCTGAATTAAAGCATTAGTTAGAATTACTTTCTGATGAGGGACAATGAAGAGTAGCATACTTTCTTTGACTTATTTTGAGGGATCTCCTGTGATCATGTTTCATAAGTATCCTCATCAAGAATTTCCTTATTGGGAATTTTCTGAAAAATATCCCGCATGGTAAATGTTCAAACTGTGTGGATAATTTATAGTACCATTTGTATGTTTAATTTAGTTTGAATTAGAAGTACTTGATTTAGTTGGTATTCCATACAAGTTTCATTACTTTCCCCTATCAAAATTCACCATTTGGATTTATTAAAAGGAGCTCAAAAGTAAAAGTCTGTCTTTCTGGGTTACATATGTAGTGCATTCTTCACAATTGCCTTTGTAATTCTGAGAAAGATAGTGAAAAACTATAAAACACCATATGCTTTTAGATTAAGCTACCCTAAGATACCTAAAATAAATTTCTCTACTTTATTAGGTCTTAATTATTGTCAATGTTTGGAGACAGGAATACTAACAGAATTACAGCAGAAATGTCATATATTTATTGTATAATTGCCCTGTGTCGTGCAGTGGCATAGCCAGCCATGCAAATTCAGGCTATGTAAATATTAAATATTAAATAGTAAATGTAAATAGTAAATATTATTTGTTTGAACACTCACTGTAATGACAGTAGATTTCTAAAGAAATGAATAATGCTAATGATCTGAAATTTATGTAGCACAACCAAATTTGCCAGCTGGCTATGCCACTGTATCCCTAATTGTAAAATTGAGCCAATTTACGTCTTCAATTCTTTGATATTCTGCATCTTATCTTGCATACAACTTTGCATCACAATGCCAGGCATGTTTTTGCCGTTTTACCTCATTATTAATTAATTAGTAAAAAGGTCTGTCTTTCATTGATAGTATTTTCTATTGGTTTTAGTATTATGGATTTCCAAGAGTGTACAGGAGATTTTGCGAGTTCAACAAAAGGATAACAGACAACAAGAGTATAATTCTAAGACGACAAAACATTATGAAATATTGCATAAGATTGCCTGGTCGAATTTTTTCGTTTTGGTAAGTAGAAATTATGTTTCTTTTATTCCATATTCACGTGGAATTCAGCCCGTACATAGAGGGCTAGAGTGTGGGAAGAAGGGGGGTAGGTTGAAAAAGTTCAATTAACAGTTTTTAATTGTACTACATATTGGGATGCTTTGAATATGATAAAATGCTGATGAGAATGACTCAAATGATTTGAATTGTCTCATAAGCTTCATGTCAAAAGGATTGGAACCATTGTTTGTTTTGGTTAGTTGTTACATATGTAATTTATTCAGCGTACATTTGATTCGTGATTAAGGCGTGTGTTTTACAGTTGATGGTAGTCTGCGCTGCGTGCGTTTAGGGAAGTACAGAGCTCTTAGTTTGTTTATTTTTTATTGAAAATGCTTGTGTTTTGTTTCATTCAATTCATAACCAAAGTGCAGTAAATATTATTTTTTGGATCCCAGCTTTGTTTGCGCTGTATGTCCTTGAAATGCACGACAGCAACGAGACGACGATCCTAATCATGCCATATATACAATCCGTGAATGTAATCTTTAACCTATATTTTATTGTGCATAATATAGGCTAGGATTTTTACCGATTATTTTCAGATAATGGTTCTAGTTAATGCGTAAACATGATGTTAGCCTGTGGCGAAGCTAGCGCAAATGTTTAGTCCCGCTATGTAAATTTTTCTGTGTTGTGTCGCAGTGAAAAAAAGATAGATTTGCAATTACACGAATAATGATAATGCCCTGGATTATACGCTAAGCAGAGTTGTCGGCTGGCTAAGCTATGGCAAATGAGTGATATTTTTCTTTTATTGCGTTGCCATAAATTGCGTTGTACAGTACTGCTCGGAAGTAAGTTTACCGAAAACGCGTTCCGAACGCATTCAAAAATGCGTTTCAGTTGCGTTCCAATTGCGTTCGGCTTAAGGTGGAACGCGTATCAAAACGCGTTGTTGGCCGCATCCGATCATTGATCGGTAATCATCATTTATACCTTCTATACAAGTGTTCAATTTTGGAAATTTCCATGTTATACCAGTTTTTTTGAACAATTGGAGCGCGTTCAGAACTTGTCCCCTAATTTTCTTGGAACGCGTTCGGGACGCGTTCCGGCCGCGTCGAAACACAAATGGAACGCAAATGGAACGCGAACGCAGTGATAACTAACTTCTGAGCAGTGCTGTAATATGAAAATTTAACCGAACACTTTTCTCGAGCAGCCTGAGTCAACGTGTGATAGGCATCTCGTTTTATGTTTATTTGGAAATGATGTATTTCCTGCAGAAGAATTTTATTACATTCCACAAACAATTCTAATTTTTAAATTCTTATGAATTATTTGTCGTACGTATGATCTTGCGTCTTGTGTCTTTTTTTTTACGTTTATTATCAACAAGTGATGTTGTGTTTGAATTAAAGTGTACTTTTGAAACGAAAATTTTACCATTTTGCCAGTAGACTTTCTTGAACGCTTCATGCATAACTCTTTTCATTCCCGTGATGTAGAGGTTTTTCATATGTCCAGTTTACACAGTCATGTAGTTATTATTTGCTGTATGTGTTACTTCAGTAAGGCAAAGCTTCCTTCGTGTGTTAATGGTGTTAAGTTCTGCCTAAGCATTTCATCCATAAATTTAATAATACTTAAAATTTTGCGGCGACTTTCACTTATTTTGCAATATGACGTCACTATTTGAGTAACCGAGAAAAAACTTTTTCAAATATCTGTTAAATGAAAGCCTAATTTAAACGGCAAAATTTTCGTTTCACAAACACTCGAATGCAGTTTTTTTGTCTTGGTTACGCTCCAAGGCATACTGTTACAACTAGTATCGAAACCCTCCCGTTTTTTACTTCTATGCTACAATGCAAATGTTTTTGCCACTGATTATAGCTTTCGGTACATTACATATATCTTACATCCTGTTTGTGTTTGTGCGTATACTTTAGGTCGTCAAAGCCCGCTAGAAAATTATGACGTAATGGCCTTGGTGTCTTGGCCTGGAAGATATCCTTTGTACAAATTTCATGTCTATTATTTGCCAAATTAATTTTAAAGAGTTTCTGTGGAACATCCACCTGCCTTCATGCGAAGATACGTTAGCGATATCGTTAACACATTCGCGAACTATTTACGTTGAGTCAAATTGGAATAACAAATCCACAGTCACACAAAAGAAAAATCATATGGAAAATATGTAATTTTAACTGAGGAATATCATTCGTTTTTAATACACTTTCTTTCGGCAGAGCTATTTTCGTCTCAGGTATACATACATTTCGTTAGATTTTCGCCATTTGGTTAGATTTTCGCTGCTCGAATGCATTAGTGTCACGGAAAGTGGGAGGTGTGCAGTGGGAGCCGAACTCCCCTCATTTTGCATTGAAATAGATGAATTTCTATGGAAGAGATTGTTTACGAAAGGTTTTTATTTTAAATTTAAAACATACGTATCTGTTGAGACAGAAAACGGTTCTAAGAGAACCCATTTTTATTTTCCTACGTGAAAGTGATGGCTTCGTTTAATTTACATCAGATTCTCGTGTTTTTTTCTAGCTTGCGTGTATGATCTCGTGTTTTCTTCTAGCATGCGTGTACGAAAACTTATGTAAAAAATAGGAAATGCCTTGTTTGACGTGATATAATGTTTATACTTTGATTTTCCAATTTTACCTAATGCATACACAATATGCAGAAAACATAATACTAGTGCCAAATTGGTTGTACTCATAAATGCTAGGATGCCCCCTCCCCCTTTTATTGTCCTTCAGACGCCCCTATGGTCGAATGTAACAACAATTTGATGAAATCCTAGAACTACTTCGCTTCGTCACAATTACTAGAACTTGGTGCCTGAGTAAATGAGGCAATATTTCGTTTCTTTGTTTACGTGTATTACACAGGCGCCGTGGAAGACTGATATTTGTGGAGCCCATATTCAAATAGATGACTTGTCTGGTTTACGTTTAGCTCGTCTGCAGATTTGGTCCAATGCTTTTAGACAATACTAGCAACAATGCTTAACCCCTCTCTCTCCTTGGGATAGCAAAACTCGGCAAGCCACATATTCATATGCTTTAATTCATAATAACAATGATTTCAATAGAAAATACTAATGCGTGCATGTATAAATATAGGCTAATGAATCTTCTGTGGGTTTTTCAACATCACGGAATATTGTTATTTCGTAAAAAGAAAACATTCTTTTCTGCAGTCACTTCCTGAAATCTGCGAGTACTTCTTCACGTTGCTTCTTTCAAGTAGCTTTTCATAGCCGATATAGCTGCATTCTTGAGAGATCGTATTGCGCTAGAAACTGTAAGTCTGTTTCATACGACTTGCCTTAAGATTCTATTTTCCTAAATGCTTGTCATGGATGGCACAATCTAAGTGCCGCTCAACAGTTGACTAATGTATTGTAAAGGTAGGATGTGAACATGAAAGTATGCATGCGATTCAGGATCTTGTATTTAAGAAAACAAAGGAGAATAGGATATTATTTGTTCATTCTACAAAAATGACAAGCATGGGGGTGATAAAAAATTTAGGGGGTGAGCATGTAAGGAATTGACGTAAAATGAAGTAGAGGGGTAACGGTTTTAAGGGCAGTCAGGTAGTACTACAACCGAAGTTAGTGAAGAGAGTTGAAAGTTTGCGCAGAAAACTCAGTTTGTCTGAATTGTTGATTTGTTTTGCTAAAAATGGGGGACGGAGTTAAAATTTTTCTTTCCGAGTGAAAAATTTATTTAGGGTAATCTGTTGATGTTTTTTGACTTCATTTCCTTCTTGCACATTGCGTGCTTCGTAGAAAGTCTACAACGCAAAGTCGTCAAATCTCTAAACGGACTGATTGACCATTGATTGAAATGTAAATATACAAAAGACATCGGATGTGCTGTAGTACCTTAAGGGAAACTCAACTTTAGAAAATATTCGCACCATGTTTTTTGTCTTGCATGCAAGTTTTGAAAGAAGGCATGCAGGAAAACCTTTAATATGTTGATATGAACGAGCTCAATGCATGAAATGATTTATGATGCCCCCAGCTATACGCCAATGCCTACAACGCACTTTCAGTTAATGATCTAATTTTGGGTGCATCAAAAAACTGCAACACTTTGAAATAACCCGATGTTTACCTATTTGCACGGTTTTGCTGTGGTTGCTTCTCAAGGAAGCGTAAGCGCAGTTGAAAGGAGTTTCTTACTGATTGCGAGTAACTGTCGGTTGGTTTCAAAAGGTTGCAGTTTTTTATACATCCTGTATACTCGACTCGATCAAAAATCCTCATCAACATTTTATTCGTGTTTTTACTGACATCTTGGCTAACGGTGACAATTAGTAGATGAAGATCCCTAACCACTCCAACGTCGCTGCTGCGATTCACTTCTGCACTGATAAGAGCGAAGTTCGTAGAACGTGGACGATGCACGTGACGGCCACGCTCGTGTAGGGCAGTCCGCAGTCGTTCTTCTAAATGATACATAACCTCGTTCTTCCGTTCGCTGTATTAGACTTGTTTTCAAATTGATCTGTTCATTGCAAATTTCAAGCATGTAATTCATTTCAATTGCGTTTTACGTCTCCTTGGAGATCTATTATTCCATAAATCATTCAAAATTTAAACGTCGACTGGTTTCAAAAATGAGTAGGTTTTTGAGTCACCATTATTACATCTTCAAATTTTTAAAAACACAATTTATTAAAATGTCTTATGTGTAGTCACGTGTCAACAGCAGTTTATGAACAATTAAATAATTTCAATTGCGTTTTACAAACATATAAATAATTTCTGCAGGGTGTATGTAAGAAAATCTGCAACCCTTTGAAATCACCCGACGTTTATAATTTTTATGATCAGCTGCAATTGATCCAGTAGGGTTGCCAGACAGACTTTTTACTCCCGCTATGCAAATAATATAGTTTCCTAAAGAAATGAATAATGGTAATCCTTGCAGGGCTGGAGTAAATCTGCAGGTTTGCTACCTTACTGAATTGGTCCCCAAAAAGTTGTAAAAGCATTTGAGTACAATAATCAATTGCCAATCCAAAACATGTAAATTTAGTCGCTTCATTTCAAAGGCTTGCAGTTTTTGATAATCCCCCCGTAATAAATAATGTCTTTTGTGGGGGAGAGAGAATACCATGTTTTATTTACAGATGCCCTTATCATTTTTGCTTGTTTTCACTTTGCATTCCAATCATACGATATGCTTTAGGAACATGTAGTAGGCATGCATAGTGTGTAGTGAATAACGAATCTCACCTTTAAGTTGCTCCATCTTGTAAAGGCATACTAACAATTTTCAATTTTGCAGTTTCTTCACTGCAATGCTCGTTATATTTTTAATAAATTTTACTTGACAGCTTAGTCGATGATTTATTCGTTATCTTGACAGTTATAAATCTGCCAGTGTCCTATTTTAGCAATGTAATTACTTTTGTCATACATCTCACTAATTATCGGTCAATCCAGTTCAATATGTGACAAAAGCCATTCTCCAGAAACGCTAGAGTACTGTGAAGTCAATTATTGCCAACATGCATTAGGTTGAATCTTGACTCAATCGAGGCTCTGTTCAGTTGGGCCACAATACTCATTATTTCTAGCATTTACTTCAAACTTAATTGATGTTTAATTAACACATCAACGTTTCCAGTAGTGATGTATTTAAGTGTATAAATTGCTTCTTATGGAGGCTGGACAGCTGGAGCAAAGCTCAAAACATCACGTGCACGCCTACCTAACGTGAAATTTAATGAAAATGTATATGGGCGTTTATTGGCTTTGTTCTAAAACTTGAGCGATTTGATATTAAAGTGCTTATCGTCGATTCTTTTCTAACACTTAGGGAAGTTAGAAATATCACGCGGGAAGTCTAGCTTCCTTTGCATCTTGACCATTATCTAGCCGTTTTAGCATTTTTTTTCGTAACTAGCTTTCAGAATCGCAATCTTGTCAGCTCAATTCTGGCGTTGAATCTTGCTCAATGCATGTTTAGCTATTTTAATTGAATAGTTTTTTGTTTTACCTTTAAATATCCTAACATCGTATTTAGTGACAACTTAAGTGCTCTTTAGAATTCTCTTTGAAGGAAACAATGAAGTTTATTGCCTAAAATTTGAGTAGAACACGAGTAAAAACCCACGTTGTTTCGTTATTCGCTATTTATATTGCTTTGCTACTTGCCACCTTTTAAAACTTAGCTAGCGAGAAGAGTAGCTAATAAAATTAAAGCATTTGTAGTAGAATACTAGTATGATTCTACTAAAAACAGTTTGATGGATTTATTGAGCTGGAAAGAATTGGAGTTTGTTTTGTTTTTTCCCTCGTATAGTTAAAAGTAGTAAAGACAATATATCGCTTGTTCCGTTTGTTGTTTTAAATGGTTTTCCATGCAATTCTTTTCGTGTTAACATCTTTTAAAAAAAGGTAATAGCACTTGTAATTCAGACTAATCATTTTAATTCAACATTGACATTAAACGTACGTTAATGGATCATTTGAAGATCCAGTTAAGTATCGGAAATACTATCATCTGCAAATTGTTTGTGCGCTCACGAGACGGATATGACACTAAATACCCTTGCCATCTGCACAGTTCAAAAATATAACACAAGTCATGTGCATTCTCATGTTTTTACTAAGTATCACAGTATATGTATGTTCCGAGATCATTAAATGCTTGCTCCATGACAATTTTTAAGTTTGGAAAATGTGTTGAATTAGTTCTGGAAAGCAACGATTTCGTGTTAAAAATTATGACATTAATCTTCGGATTATTTACATCAGCTTTTCTGTCTTGTCAAGTAACTCGAGTTTTGATTTACTAACCCCCCTGTTACAACGCGTTGATTAGTTTAATTTATTGTTTTCGGAAAACGTGTTTATGACAGAGTTGAAGGCCTGTCGTTACCATACACGTAGCTAACTTTTAACATGTTTTCACCCCTATATCGCACAGTCTAGTCCCGACAATGGTAAAAAAAATCACTTTTGTTATAGACGGCGCTCTCTTTCCAAGCATGTTGAGCTCAAAATAATGGCTGCCCAATCAGGCCTGCTGTTCACTAACTTTATCGCACTTGTTTTGACGGCAGCAACTAAAAATGACAGCGTTGAAACCTTTGCGGAAGTTCTTCCCCAACAGGCAGTAGATGACTGGATTGTATGCACAATTAGCAAGTGCCAACAACATCGAAAGATACCAAACAAAGCTAGAAAATGCAATAAAGGAAATGAAAAATCGTGATATTTCATTCAAGCATACTTAGTTTATTGCCTGTGTATATGCATATTTATGTGAGAATTTTCTCCTACAGTAAATTAGATGCATGCATGCACTTTATATAGATAATAGTATTTATCACACAGACAGAAATCTGATTGAATTCGTTTTCGATTCATAAAATATGTTCTTTCGTTTTTATTTTGATGATTTGTCTAAAAATATTTTAAAAAGCGTGTTTGAAGTTCTTGACAAGTTTTTGAACAAATTCCTTCGTCCTGCAAACCCTAAGAGTCGGCAAAATGTGATGTAGCTAGACTCTTCACCGAGCTTGGATAGTTTAGTTTCAACCCTAACTTCACCCTTATACCTCAATTACTTTCATCATATTTACCTATACACTGCCTTCTTCTCCACTCCAGTATCTCTTAAAAGATACGATGTGTAGAACGGTGTCCAAGCAATGAAAAAGAACACGGATGATGTAATCAACATCTTTACGGCATGCTTCTTCTTTTTTATCGACCTGCATCCCGTTTGATTTGCTGCAACGCTGCTCGAGCTTTGTTTTCGTAGATTTAGTACGACGGCGAGGTATCGGTTTATAACTAAGATTAATGGTAACACGTAGACCATGAGATACCTTGAAATGGCGTACGCCTGCGCGACGCCTCTCGATGGAAATCGCTCAAAGCACATGCAGCTCGCCTGTTTGTGCTGATATTTCTGCGTACCGCAGAACACCATTGCTGGGATATGTATAAGAATAGCCAGCAGCCATGTCTGCATTATGATCCGTTTTACAGGGATCGATCTTCCATGATTCAGCAGCGGTTTACAGATAGCGTGATATCGCTCGTGAGCCACGGCCGTCAGTGTGAACACGCTTGCCCCGTGGCAAATGTAAACCAAACTCCCGCGAAACTTACAAGCTATGTTTCCTAAAAAATTTTTTAGGAAGAAGTATGTCATTATGTAGTATCCGTAAGTTGTATCTATGTGAAGCAGTTTCTACATGCAGTATTTTCACTGCAACAGTCACGATTCCGTGCCCCGAAAGACCAGTTACACATCACGTCAGCTGAGCATTGTATAGTCTGTTCTCATTCGCGTGATTCATTTCGCTAGCACACTTATCATGCAGCAACATAATTGGATCTCTACGATGCAAACCCTTTGCCTTTAGATATATATATATATGTTATTTACCTGCAGGGAGGTCCGTACGGAAAAATGTTTTTAAGAGGTTGCAAAAGCTGCCCGAGGGCTGAAAGCCGAGGGACGCTTTTGAGGCCTAGTGAAAATATTGTTAAGTACGGACCGACGTAAAGGGTATATAACAAATTTATTTTTTCATTTTTAATGAAGAAATTCGCGCTGTAAAATGGCCGATGCAACTTGATGTTCAGACTAAAATTGGATTGCTTTCTACAAACTTTGATTCGTCTGCATAGTAAAATTTATTCTTGCTACGATAACTTTCATCTTAATACACCTTGCCTACTCGTTCAACAATTTACATCACTTTTAAATCAATTTTAAAAATTAACATTTCACTTTGCAAAAAAATACATTGCAAAAATATCACTTTTGGCCCACGGGCAAGATATCGTAAAAAGCTGCCTGCTGAGGCAGCCAATCAAATTGCTGGAAACCAAAATATATCGCTTCGCATGCATAAATAAAAAGATAGAATTATGCTAATGTGTTATTGCTTGGGGCATTTTTAATTATGTGCGAAGCATCCTTGACGCGATGTAGCGGTTGTTGAAGGTCTTTATGCCATTAATAGCAAAATGGTAAATTGTGTTTTTCTCCCGCTAGTTGGATATAACCTATTTTAAATTTGTAAATGATTGCCTTACATGAAACGACAACTTTATTTCATTTTTGCGTAATTAAACACGACTTTGGAGAGCCTTATGAATTAATTGTATAGTTTTCGAAAGAATGATCTCAAAAACAAGATAAAGAAATATTTTAAATAACTGTTTTGTCACTTCTTTTATCTTGTACAAGTCAAAAGTTTTTCTTCTCTTGTGCAGTTTAAATTGCAAAGTCGTTTAAAACCCGTTTCAAATCATAAAATCGTGATTTATGTAATTTCTTGGTGAAGAAAAAAGTATCATCGATATGTGCTTTGACTTTAAAGTTCATACACCTTAGGAAGATACAGAATCAATAGGCTTGATTTGTTACTATACTGGTTACATTATAAGCTTCGTGCAACATTAGGTGATTTGGGTATCGTAGAACCATGGGAAACGGAGGCAGAAAGCATAACTGCATGGCTAGTATAGCAAGCAAGAATGTATCATACGTACCTAAGTGCAAATCGATTGTCAAATAATCAACGACGTGAAAAATCGACAGCACGGTTGCTAGAATGTCGGCAATGGCCAAATTGACAAGCAAGTAATTCGTGTTTGTTTGCATCAATGGATTCTTCTTTACCACCCAACAAACGATGCTGTTCAAAACAACCGACAGTACAAATATTACAACGTAAACAAAAAGAAACGCCGGCTCGTTGAAGACTTTGTCGTATGCGCAAGAATTATTTGACATGGATGTCGATGTCTTCTGAGGCGTTGGAAATTGTGATACTTGATGTTTATTTGTTGTTTGCAGGACAGGTGGATCGGCCATGTTAGATCCCGAGTACTCCGTCTATAGTATAAAGAACTAACATATAAATTATATATTAATGGCATATCATTGAAAATAAATATATTTTTATAAATTATATTCAAACCATCATAAAGTGCTTGAGAAGTTTTTGGCTTGTTTGTCCAAACAACTAATGTAGTTTGCGTTCAGTCAGCTTTCCACAATCACTATATACGCATTTCTGCAATTTCATACAGTCAACGGCAGGCAGAAAGCTGCATTAAAATGGCCTTATGACAGGTGCACATTTAATGATATGATTCAAGTGGGCTGATTTTCAATTTAATCCTAATTTTCTGTTTTCATGCAAATCGTTGTTCACATAGAGAACTGTTCTTATTGTCCCCCAATGCAATCTGCATTAATAAAATTAGTCATTTTCAACGAGACAAATGATAAAAATGTCAGTATGACGATTTTACTCCCTGTATTTTTGCAAATTTCGATTGGCTCAGTAACTTCACTTCCAAAAATACCGCCGCATAGATGACAGTGGTATGAAATGATACTCGATTATGATGAGTTGTAAAATCCCTGAGATTCGAAATACCTTTAATAACAGTGAAAAATTCTGTAAAACCTTTTCTTCCGGAACCTTTACTCGTCATTTGTTGCTGTTATATTAAAATATGATCTTACATGTGATCACACGCGTGTAATGATTGCCTAGTCACACGCCTTCCTATCCTTTCTCGCTCGTGCCTTTGAGGTCATAAAGGAACAGTGGCGGTGAATGAGGACTTTTCACTGAAACAAATTGAACAGCTGAACAGCTGTACTTACAGACGTACTCAGAATGGTAAAAGCCAGCGGTAGACTTAAGTCCTGACTTCCCTGTTGACCGTGAAATCATTCGTAAAATTAAGCTGAGTTAATGGTACTGCTTATTTTCACAGGTAGAAGGTGCTTCGTTGGTTTTTTACCCTCAAATAGTTCGTATCGTCAAATGCTCATCCTTAGAGCATATATATTCTATTTGTTTTGCGTTTAAAATGGCTACGAAACAAAAATTTTCCTTTTTGAGTTATATTTTCATCGAACAGAACTTTTAAAGTGACAATGCACGGCTTTCTATTTTTGTTTCTAAATTCGTTTCTGCATGACTCTTTTAATTTGTAAGATATTGAGATAATGTCCGACGACGACCAGTGACGTCAAATTACATATTGCAAAAAGGTATATTTGCTGATATGTAACTTCATCAGGGCAGAAGTCGTTCCTTTTATTGTGAAGTATTAATGGCATGAAATGTTGCCTTTCAATGGAAAATTGTCTGGAAACTAAAGGATATTTGAAACTATGTGGCGAGTCATTACTATAGCTATTTCTAAAAATAGGCTTTTGTTGACCAGAATGATTGAAGCATATGTAACAATGTGTTTTTCTTAAATGAAGATATGATCTTCGCCCTTTGCTGGGCAATTTAAGCAATTGTCTCATGAACCTGAAAAAATTCAGGTAACTCAACGGGATTCGAACCCATGACCTCTGCGGTGCCGGTGCAGTGCGAATGGGTTCATGGGTTCATGGGTTCGAATCCCGTTGAGTCACCTGAATTTTTTCAGGTTCATGAGACAATTACTTAAATTGTCCAGCAAAGTGCGAAGATCATATCTTCATTTAATTTCAAACACCGCACTATAACATTCTTCAATGTGTTTTTCTTTGTTCAGAATCAGTATAGGGGCAATATTCAGTATTGAAGCTGAGTTACAGCAAACAACAAGATTCATGAGCAAAGACTTAAATAACAAGGCGTATATATAAAATAAATAAATATTTTGCTGTTCATTTAGAAAATATATAGCTAAGTACATCTTGAATTTATACTGAAAAAAAACAGCTAAATAATGTCAAATGGGTACAACAAAAAATCTTACAAAAATTTTTTGACAACTAAAATATCAGATCTTTGTCATAATATGTGATTTAGTTCGTTCAAAAGCAATTAAAACTGCTAAAATGCAAAAAATTCATTCATACTAGACAATACCTGACATATTTTGTTATCTGCCGTTCACTCCTACGACAATTGAATCACTTTCAAAACCATAACAAACAAAGCAAATGGTCGTCTTCAAAAACTCTTTACTTAGAATGATAATAGAATATTAGCTTTCCTGCAATGTCATAGACATCTTCGGCCGTTATCATAGTGAACATAGCAATCGAAACGCGCGTGCATCATGGAATAGTTGGCCGCCATATTTGTATTAAGTCACCCGATTCGATGCAGTCATCAAGTTGCTCTCGAACCAATTTGGCACCAATTGTAGAGCAAAAACAACCGTTATGGTGCCAAAACGGCTCTTTTGTCTGTTTTAGCCCTTATTCTTATCCAATACGGCTAGCAATTTCAACATCCAAAACGACCTCATGGGGCTAAAATGGCCCATTTCTTTTTACTGTGTATGACGTCGCTACTTGTATAAATTGGAGATAGTGAAAACTTCAATATATTGGGCATGAAAAGGGAAATGCATGAACTGTTTTAGAAAGTACATTGTTTTTTAAAAGTTTTCTCAAAGGAAGATATAATTTAAATAGCAAAATTTCTGTTTCATAGACGCTTTGCTGCACTGGACGAAACACACAAACCAGTTTTCCATCTTCCAGCGTTCTTCGTTTCAGTGAGGTGTATTTAAAATTTCTCCCTCTTTCACCTACCTGTTGAAAAATGAAAATGACCCCATTTCGCTCTACCGATTCTCGTGAGCGCCAGAATTCTCAGATTGTCAGGCCTGTGACCCCAGCATCAGCATCGCAATAGCCGTAATGCCCTATGTACTCAAGCCATTTAACTGTGAAGCTCTAAATGAGCTCTAATTTGATTTGATGTACCAATTGAACTTCTTTTTTCACTTTGCTTTGTCATGGCTCATGCAGATCGAAGCCGTGCTTTGTCTCCATCTGTCGAAAGAGTGAATTTGTCCGGTTCTATTTCTTGAAAGTCACATTTCGACAGTTTCAAGAACATTCTCCGTAATCGACTTAGATAACCTTTAAAAATACTTTATGGCACCGTAAGTGAAGTACTTCTGGCGCACAGGCGGGTACTTTCCCCCAAAGAGTATTTATTGACATTGATACTGACCAAAAGCTAGGTGTTTAAATTGTTTTAAAGTAAATGCTACGTTCTTCCAGTTTTACTTTCAAGTTGAGAGACTAGCATTCTGCATAGTTAGCATCAGACTGCTTCAATAATTACATGAACATCCATTTATATAAAAAATACCCTTAGAAAGAATACCAGAAAGTCTATATATATTTTGCTTTTTAGTGTTTTTGGGCTTTAGAGGGTGCAATATAGCACTTGCCACTTGCGACAAAACCAATTACCATTGTTATCATTCGAGTCAGGGCTAGTCGAACTTTAAATGATGATAAATAAACAAATCACCTGCTCTGTTTTGTGATAAGCAATTGTAATAACTACACTGCTATTTGGTCTAAAGAAAGATCCTTTAACTTTGTCAAACTAAAAATCGTCAAGATTTTGCTGAAAATTTTTGCTCTCGAGGAAATTTATTTTTGCCTTGTAAGTTTTGCTTTTAAAAATGGCAGAAAAGGTCGGGGATTTCTTATCACGCCAGCTTCACAGTGTCTTATACGGCAGTTCATGTTTGCCAAATTGTACCATGTCAACAATCAGTCGCCTGTTTTTTGTCGTCTTTGGAAAGATGAAAAGATGACGAACGTTTGAACTGTTATAATATTCAGTAAAGCTACGTTCCAGTCACTTACTCGTTACCATAGAATTAACTGAAAAAGGTTTACGTAACCTCATCAATAAGTGCAAAATCCAACTCGTTGTTTTCTTTTTCATTTTGTCGGAAGAATTTCTGTCGCTTGTGAATGTTAAATGCAACTCACTTTTTTACATTTATTGCACTTTATAGACATTCAATTTTTCTCTATCAATCTCAGTATAGAAATGAGTCCTCTCGTGATAAGTTGTATTACAAAGTCCAACCAAGTAGACAAAGAACTGTTTTTATCAGCAAAAAATAAGAATTAAGTTCAATCCATCATCCAATACAACATCCAAACTTTTAGTGTCTTAATTGCTTTTTGTCTAAGATTGCGTTAGTAGCTAGAATTTTGTCTTCATGTGCATTTATTAAGCGGTTTGAATTTTTTACTTGATAATATGTAGATTCCCAGCTTCAAATAAGACATTTGATTTCATTTATTGTTTAATTGTTCGCATGGCGTAGGTCAAAATAAAAAGTTTCGATTTCAATAAATCAAAATAACTTTATTTCTTTTGTTGTGAAATTCCGTTCACGAAAGTCTCTATATATATAGCATAACAGATGTTCTTTTCTTTCTCCCTTGTCAAAAAATAACCATTGCCTGGCACGTGCAACAGTCACGGGCAGCAGACCGCAATCATCTACCCAATTTTATATTCATAATACCTTAATTCAAAAGAAAATTATTGGTTACAATTACTAAAGAATAAAATTCAAAGAATTGAGTAGTTAGGAATGTAAGTTTCTCCAAAAATTTAGTGTTTTCAAAATCCAATTAAAGAGTTCATACTTCATAGCCACAGAGCACATTCATTGCATCGCCACAAATTGAATCTTGCCGTCTTTTTTGTTCCATAATAAACGTCATTGATAGTCATTCCGTGGTACAGTTTAATGTTTCTGTAAATCACGTGTCAGGGGCGCAGTTAGTTTCAAAAAAAATGGGATCTACATCCTGGGACCGACTTTTGTAGTATTTGCACTTGATACAAAAAGAATTTTGGCCGTACTACCAACTGTTTTTGCTCTGTTGCTTTTCGAAGACACTGTACAAACTCTCTAGGACGTGTGAACCGTCGACCTCCTTAGTACTGATTCTGTCTTAGAATCTCCCAAAGGTCTCCTTGGTTTGCAGAAGGGTGTACAAACACAGTAAACATCTTAGATATTTCTTAAATAATCAGCTATCTTGGCAGCATGGCGACTTTTAAACTTTTGTAAATGATAGAAAAGCCTAAATAAGATGTTTCATTGGTATAGGGACTTTTAATCGATGCTTACTGGCGATTTAAACGTTCAGTCAGAATAGATATATTATACAAAAACTTTACTTGATGTTGGACCAGAGTTCTAAGCGATTTGCCATAGAAAAAAAACACAGACAAAAGCAAATGATAGAAAGTGAACTATATATCTTTTTTAATTTTCTTTTTCTTTCTTACTGTAATATTTTGCAAAATTGCACTCAAACTTCAGGACACCAAACTGCTGTAGCCAATGGTATTTCACATACGGAAAACTAACTCATCAATTTTTTTTGCAACTCATAAAAATATCTGTCAATAAGTCTTAAATGATTAAGAATGTTCTTGCGGCCAAATGAGCTGGAAGCCAACACAGACATCTCCATTTCATCGTCTTGCGTACATTCTAATGTTACATCAAATAACTCTCTCAGTAACAATCTGAAAATGAGATTGAAACTGGTTTTGATAATGATTGAAAATCCCATAATTAGCACGAGTTTCTAAAATGTTGTCAAGCGAAAGATTTCTATACAAAAACTCTTCTGTATTAACGTATGCAAAATCCTTACCTTGCACGATCAATTTCATTCACTTTGTCTTTGATGCGCGTCGTCGTTGACAATCCTTGATAATTTGTATCCGTACTTGACTCCTTGACTGCCATTTTCACGAGTGTCTCGATCGGAAAGTATTCAGAGTTTAGGTTGTTTATTCCTTCTGCAAATGTTGCAGCGTCGTTTTCGTTGATTCTCGTCAGCACTGTTGCTGGTCTCGTTTCATTTTTTCTTTCACATTCAAGACCTTTCTCGCCAAAAGCGTCGCCTCCTGTTTGGTTTACGCCTTTGTGAAGGGCTGGAACAGACTTAAGCATTTGGTATCCATTTTTTTTTGCCAAGTATCTTTTTAAAACCGTAGAGGTACTTATCTTGTTAATCGATCTTTGGTTTTTCATCTTAGCACGCGTTGAACACTGTCGATGTCTTTGCTGGACAATGTTTGGAACATTGCTATTAACCACATTTGAATCATACGATTGAAATTTCATGCACGACACGTGGTTAAAGGTATTGTTAACGCAAGTGTTCTCGAGCACAGCAACATTTGCACCAATAGTTCTTTGACAGTTACTTTCTAACCTATGATGACAAAGCTTCTGAGCTGGGTTTGCTCTGTTTAGCGACACGTGTAAATTTGTTGCCGGTTTCATATGGGAAGAATTGCTTTCCTGAAATGCCAACATCTGTTTTTGTTCCAAATACCTGTCAAGATCAGCATTAGCCTTCGCCAGAAGCTCCTTGGAAGACGATGTCCACGTGGCTTTCGCCGATTGAGCGGCACGAATAACCGAAGTCGAAACGGATTTCTTACTCGATGGCATTTTTTGTGAATAGTTCTGTTTAGGAAAACTCTGAATAAAGTAGTGTTCCTTACAATCTCTTGCAGCGTTATTTGAGTTATACACTGATGTATGATAGCTTATCCTGTTATTTAGTGGCAGAAACTCTTCCCTATCCTTTTGGGATTTTGTTTTTCCACTCGTGATTTGCCAATCATCATTACGGGTGCGACTGAATGCTTCAAAGGCGTTTGTCTGTAGTGTTTGTTCGTGTAGCTGCATTGTTGTTTGCTTAACAGGAGTGGTGTACGGAAAACAATCTCTAGATCCGTCATTCCAGATTTTGTACGCGTAAGATTTGCGATACGTAGCATTAATTATGCGATTTGATCGTTCTTTATCAAAGGAAAAGCTACTTAAGTGATCTTGGCGACTCCTCGGAAAAACTGGCTGTTTTGCCTCACTATTCGTCTTTGTTTCAGCTCGATTAGTAGCAAAACTTGCATTACTGAATTTCTTTGATCGGAGACATGCTCCATATGAATATTCCTCGTTGCTGTAACCCGGCATTGTTAGACTTCTTACGTTTTTTATGACAGGGTAGAATAAGTCACTAACTTCTGTAGTGGTCATATTTGACGGTGCAAATTGAGCAGATCGATTCATATAGAGGTATGAAGTTGATCTGAAAAAACGACCTGAAAAAATGACAAATAAAGACGTCAACAGTCCTGTTATACCTTAATTACATCAGCATGAAGAGTCAAGACGGCGTGTCAAATGTCTATTTTAACTATTAGGCACTGACTTCCAATGCAAGACATGACGGACTTCCAATGTATGGCTTTTTTACACTTTCTCGATAGAGAATAAAAAAATCCCATCAAAGTCCACCAACCCTGAACATTCAACGAGAATTTTCGTCGAGAAATTTGCTGTGAATAACCAATGTCTATGCCGGATATGACGCAGGTTTTGTAGCGGCGTAACTTACAAAAGCAAATAACAACTACTAAGATCAACTGCAAATTTTGCAGAGTTTTACATTTTGGAAGCATAGCGTTCAAAAAATATAAGTCTGACGTTTGAGACATGACTTGAATAAGAGCTTCTGATTTATAACCTGCTCAATTGACAACAATGCATAGTGGTAAGCGCTTTATTAGTTTAAATGCATGAAAATGTGGGAGCAATGTGTACTGGCATTTCTCTTTTCCGTTTTCTCCCTACTTTCATCAATAAATCATCAACAAGCAGTGGATGGAATTTCTTTGTACGTATCGGCATCTACTATTTTCATACGCCTTTTATTGTTAGTCTTTACACACGAAAACCGGTCATTTCTTGGTGTATTAACATGCTTGTGACTTACCTAACATTAGCCAGAAGATTGCATGTGACAAAAGTTTGCTACAAAGTTTGCCCTTCAAAATGAATCGTTGAAATAGCGACTTTAATATTTACTCCTTGAAGCAAACCAAACCAACCTTCTTTCGTTTTGTCAACCGATTGACTATTTTCCGTTTTACCAACAGAAGGACACTTCAAAAGTATTGATATTGTTTTTACATCGTTAAGTATTGCCGATATTGTTCCGATGCGTTTACCGACTGCTGACGAAGTCAATTGCATGTGTGATAGATATTGAAAAATCATTTATAGGTCTGGGGCAACAAACAGAGAATCATGCAAATTCATATTTATTCCCACATAACACACGTTCGGTGACGTAGCTAGCTAGAGAAGTGTACATGTGTGTCCGATGTTATATATAACTTGATCCAGTTTTCAATGAAGATTAGTTTTTGTCTAATATCTGTCAAAACATGAGCATGAAGGCGACATTTATTTTCCAGAGATTCAAAAAACTCAATGATGCATGGTGGGTAATGTGAATTAACTCGTCAAAACATGACAAAGAGAAGATTCATCAATTTCTTCCAGCTTCATTGCACCATTTGCTCTTTCTTGCGCGCGCGCGCGTTGTTAATTTTCCATTTGCTTCTGTATAAAGTCAGCAAACGTTAAATTACCACCCATCATGCATTATTTTGTCGAAAGTATTTATTGATAAATCACTGCAATGTAGTTTGACGGTTGCTCAAGATATCAAAAAAAATATCCATCTCTGGCACTGAAACATTACTAATTTTTTGTTTTGGAGAAAAGATCCCAAAAGAGTAAAGCTTTGACCTTGTGCATTTTCAGGCTTAATTGTGTTGTGTAATCGTGTTATGTAAGGCAATTGTGTAATACAGTTAAAACTTTCTATCGATCCAAATATTTTGCTGTTCACTCAAAGCAATAACGATAAATCTTCTAAAACTGGTGTAGTTGACAACATGACAATTTCTCTTTTTCGCACGGCAAATCGTACATCATCGGCAACTAAGATTTTATCTAATTTTACCCAAGTATAGTAGTCCTTAGTAAACAATTATCACGCAAACAGTGTTTTTTGTTTATCGACTTTTGTTTAGCTACTGGCTCTGAAAAGTTGTCGACAAGCGCAAAACAAATAAAACAAGATAACAACATACAAATTAAAATCATGGTTCACGATTCATGAACGGCAAATATAACTCGCACAAACAAACTTTGTCGTCTTTGTTAAATATGTGTATAATTATCGACTTTCCGGACATACAATCAACCTTTGGCAGTCGCAAAACAATATCGTTCGCCCATGTTGGCTGGTGCTCACAACAGCATATAGAACTGATTATTGATTATTGTGTATCAAACAACAAACAGAGTTGGAGGGCAAGTCAAAAATAGCTTTTACGCACTTTGTATAACGTGTCTTGTTTGGTGCATCGGTTTGATGTTTTTATTGTCACACTGCCCAAGGGAGTTCTTTTCGTGATGAACATAGGCAGCAACGTACAGGAGAAGTATTTAAAATATGTTTAAACCATGAAAAATCACTACTTTAGCTGGCAAAATAGCTTAGCGTTTGATATAAGCCATATTTTATATCTGATTACTTTTTGTAATAATTGTAAAATAGTATAATTTCATGTTTCTCGGGTAATATACACAACAAAGTACCAAACACTGGTATTGAAAATGTATTTTATCATGGGAGCGAAATTCTATAGATATGTCTTATCTTTTGCAAAGCATGTTTGTGTAAATAGTGTGTTTAAATTTTTAAGGAACGAAAGGTTATTCAAAAGCGGGATTTCCTTACTTGTGAAGCCGTCACTCCTTTTTGACGACAATGTGGCGTTGCTGCAACCTCAAAGTTGGATTTAGAACTTGCTTTTCGGCTTTGATCAAAACTTCAAACAGTTTTATTTTTACGACCAAGACTACAATAAGATGTGCAAATCGTGAAAATCAGTTTTCTAGAATGATGTCCACACACAATGATGTTTATTTCAATATTGATGCTCGATATACAAGTGTGACTTGTCTTCATGACAACGATATGATAATAAGATCAGTTTCGATACGCTGATTTCCTGCTTATATTTACAACATATAACCCCCTATGAATATGCGTTGCCCAAGCAAACATACCCTCTTAAATCATTTTTTACTTCATCATTGCCGCAAGGCAGTCAAATCTATGGATATAACTTCAGAAAATTACGATTGTCAAAATGTATTTTAGTTAGACACTAAACAATCGACACTTGTTAAAAAGTTAACATTATTTATTCTAAACATTTCAACAAGTATCGCATGCATGTGAGCTTCAATAAATTATTAATTGTAAATAAGAGAATTATTAACCGTTCATTCACACGTCATTTAAAATAAATAAGTAAATAATTAGCGGAAAATTGCTAGTTCATATGAAGCGTGTGCAGTATGGCTCATCGGAGCAAATTACATCAGCTCGACTGAAAGAATATTTACATTCTAATGGTTACAAGTCAAATTTTTAGTAAGGAACAAATGTCAGTTTTGAATCAACCATTGTTAGTAAATGGTTGATTTTTTATGCATGAGATTATAACAAATACATTAAAAGTATATCAGAGTAATCTGTGTTGGTATTTTTCTAGTTCTACGAAACGGCAGATTAGTATGTTCACAAGTGCTCACACCTTTACACGTTATGCTGCAAAGTAGCGCATGGAGTCCAAATTTATGGCGTACAATAAAAAAACTGGAAGTTCAGAAATTCAATAGCTAAGGTTTTGCCTATCTTCCGAGCTGCCATCTTCGGAAAAATTTCTCAAAAATTATGCGTCAGCGACTTTAATCAAAAATATAAATATACCAGATGGAGTTCAGAGTAACAGTACTTCATGAAATATAATGAGTTTTAAATATGAGTCTTGATAACTAAATTGTCGGAAAAAATGATGAGATTAAAGTACAAGCAAAGCAGAAATGCTGAAGGAAATAGAGAAATATCTATAATTGGCATTTTTGGAACTAAAATGAGCTATTTCCAAGCAGTCTTGGAACTTTCTGTACATTTTTATTTTTATCGTTAATTTATGCGAACAATATTCTCTTAACCCTTGTTCTTTTTTCGACGTAATTAAATGCAATTGGTCTATACATCGTGACAAAATTAAATGCAACTTGTCTTACCTTGGCTGAGAAATGAGAATTTACAATTTTGGCTTTGTAACCAACATGCCTCATAACAAGGTCGGAAAACGAAATTTTCCCAATATCGTCTCCATGTCCAAATCGTGATTACCAGAAATGTACAGCGGAATGAAAAAGTTCAAAGAAAGAAACTGGTCGGAAAAAAGAGAAGATGAAAGAAAAAGGTGATCGAGCTAAGACCATTTACACCAATTTTGTCCGTAGTTCGGTTTTGAAACCGGCTGGTCGGGTGTTAAATAGTGCGATATTTAAGCCAGAGGGGGGAAGTGAAATCAGATAATTTTTGGGAGAATGGGCAACATGTTGTAGTCAAAAGCACAGATAGCTCCATTTACGAAATGTAGCAAAATAAAGGAATTATAAGACTCACCGCCACAGATTACATCTCAGGAGGACAAAATATTGAATAATGAGGAGTGGGTCGAAATAGCAAGCGATCCTCTTCCCAATGAAATGTGAACAGCCCTCCATACCTCAAGATATAACACAACACTTGTCAGCTAACCAATCTCCGTATGAAAACTATTGACATAAAACCCAATAAAGAACTTGTTGGTTAAAGTGCCTCTAACACAATTTTTTTATTTGTCCTATCAATTATTCTGTTTGTTTAGAGTGTTTTAGTAAAAAAATAATTAATTTAGATAAAACGTCTGGTTTTTATGGCTCAGTTCCGTGACAATTAAGGGTCTGGTTTAGCGTTTGTTTCGACGTCACGCAAGGTAGTCGGCATTGTGCTATGAAGCTTTCATATGTTATATACACGTTGAGTCTTTGCGGTAATTCCGACCGATTTAGACACTGTAGCATTTGTATATTGCTCGATAATCATGTCTAGCAGTGAATCAACAATTGATAGTTATAAGTCTGATGACTCGGATATAAATTTTATTCCGGGGTATGTTATTATCGAAGATGCGATAATAAATAACGATGGCATTGTTCGGCATGACGATTCTGATGATTTGAATGCTGGCGCATATGCCGGTTTTTATATTTTTGATAATTTAGCTTGCTTTGGCTAGGCAAAATGAAAAATCTTCTCTCGAAATCTTCGGGTTGGAAATGGTCAGAGCAAAGCGTAGACGATTTTGAAGGCTCGAATACCCGCTTTCACTTGACAAAATCGACCCTTCGATTTTTGGCTTCTGGCAGGTCATCGTTGAAAAACGGAATAGTGTGAAGGCTAATGCCATCTTTAAGACTGTCCTTATTTGTACAATGTAGCAGTTACGCAACTAAAAACCATCTTTTTTACGAAGTGATTTTAAAGACGCTTTGTATGTTGATGTTATATGATTTGTATAGCACAAATGCGCGAGTCGCGAGTACCTTGAGTGACGTCACATAATACACTCGTTTCATTCTCCTACAAGTATATTATTCTCAAGGAAGTGAGACAGCCGAAAGGGCTATTTTGCCATCTTTAAACTGCCATAAAAACTTAACTATTGCCTATATTTAAATTCTGTTTTTGCAAAGATTTTAGAAATTACGAATACATTTGATATCGCTCAAAAAAAGAATTGTGTTAGAGGCATTTTAACCATTACTTCATTATCCATTTGTCGATCCGAGAAATTTTGAAGATAGACAACCCATTCATGGCGATGAAAATCCCGTTGTACCATCATATTCAAGGCACAACGCCCATATATTCCTGGTAAAACAGTTGGCGTTATTTCAATCGCTTTATATGCTCTAACCACCCTTACAGTAGACATCTAACAGAAGGCCCAGTCGGCTAAAATCGTGGCGTATTTTTTCACAACGCATGCGTGAATTCCAAGCAAGATACTTTCACAAAATCAATATGGAATAATATTACACGAGAATGCTATTTTACTAATAATTCTCGTTTAAAGCGAAAGTTTGCCGAAATTTTAACGAAATATTATCATCTTGGGAAGAACATAAGGTTCCAATCTTTTCTAATGCAAAAC